CAGGCTCAGCTTCAACATGAGGCCCACCAATGCAGCTGCTGTCAGATTAACGGAGAAGGACGCATGTCCAAAAGCTGCTTAACTCCAACCTGCACCCTGGAAAATTCAATTCAGTATCAGGCCTCCTGTGTTCTTACAAGACAAGGTCTTGACCCGTCATGTCACCATAATTCACTGTTCTGGGAGCTCTGTAGTAAGACTTTATTCTGCAATGTTATTTATTTTTGTGCCTTGGAGACTGTGAATCAAGTTTTGACAACACAGACTTGTAAAGTTGACATAAAGTATGAAATTAACTTGAGCATTTGCACTGTTTTACACATCTGGATATCTTCCAGAAGCTGGGAAAGGACACTGAATAAGGGCAGTTGTAAACTGTAAAATAAGCTGTAAAGTAAAAATGAGTTTACTAAAAGAGGTCAATGTGCTTCGCAGAACATTTTCCTGATTCTTGTGGCCGTCACTGGAAGCTACTGGGGTGTTTTGAGGAGAAAGGAATCACAGGATGTTTTCAGGTGAAACAAATAAATGAGGACATGCCTCCTTTGTGAACCCTGAAGCTTTGTGAATGCACCATTGACACAGACTGTGCTAATTACATTACTTAAGTAAACGTTACAAATGTTACCTTAAAGGCAGACCTACGGGCACAAAGTCCAGACGGACACACATGACTGGTGACGACCAAACAAAACACGATGGAGGCTCTTAATGAGGCAACAAGGGACTGTCTGTCAAACAGTCACAACTGAGAGGGGATGCATGAATACACACAAACGGGCCTTCATGTCTATACACACATGAGCACCCACAGAGGAACAATTCATTTACAGCAGCACAGGGATGAGTAAGATGGTTTAACGAAAAACATCTACGTGGCTGCTTAGTTGGTTTGATGCTGATCTGTGATGAATCCCATCTTCACCAAAACACTCCCGTCTCAAACCGGATGGATGAGCTTATAGGTTAAGAGTTTAAGCTCAATGTTCCCCATGTCAGCCGTGGCGGTCGTATCATGGCAGGCGGCATTCACAATGCAACGGCAATATCGGAGATTAGGGCTTTGAAATGCAGCGCTAAATACCCCTGCATTATGCTGCTGAAACATAGAGCTAAAAAATCCAAGATTATACTTGAGTAAAATAAAGCCTTTTGGCCTAATCCATATTCAAAGTCTTGCCTGTAGCTGCTATAGACCTCCATAACCTAGTTCTGATGGCTGTTATTGGGGAAAGCTGCTTTGTACTGGTCAGTTGTGTGATGACGGCTTGGACACGGTCTGCTGGGTTGACCTATATCTGGCTTGCCTCCCTGTCTGCTCAATAGGAAGCCCGGGCTTCTCACATGTCTTCTATAGGCTAACGGGGCCGCGGGGCCTTCCTTTCTCTGCTTAAGTTTAACTGTGATTGTAATGTAAAGTGAAACGTTCTATAAGAAGAGGATACTTAGAAGATTCAGGACAGTTTCACCCACCAGTAATGTGCTGGAATTTACAACCCACACGCAGCAGTGTTTATCCGTCCTCCATCTCAATGTGGAAATGCTGATTTATAGGTCAAACAGAGCTTGTAGCATTTTACAGTGAAATTTTGTCAGTGGTCCTTCAGCTGCATCCCGCTCAGAGATTCTGTTTGAGCCACATCAGAGGTGGTTTGCAAATATTTTCTTGGTTTGTGATCTACAGAAGCCTGTTAAAAAGAGCCCTCACTATTCGCCTTTCTGCTGGAATCTACTACACTGTGCTGCTGCTTTATGTCTTTATTTACAGCCACTAAAGACTCCAACATAACTAAAACAATATCTTGTGTTTCTAAAAAGGGATTTTAGTTGGGGAAACATTCAGAATAGAACATATTGAGTTAGAGAGAAGTGTTTGTGGCTTTCGGTTTATTTCAGTGATATAGTTCTAACCGCGTTAAACAGATATTTTTGCAGAAAGAATCCACTCCAAAAGATACTTTTTAGAAGTACTCTCTGGGCTGGGCTCATTAGAGAAGCCAGTGACGTGAAGTGAACAAGAAAAAAAAAGCTTTCTCTATTTCAGTGTTATCCAATCTCACTCCCCTTGAGTCCCTGTGAGGGTCATTACTTTGGCATAAAACTGCATTCCAGAAAAGTACTCACATTTGAGAGAAAAATCTAAACTCAGCAGATTATACACAAATAAGAAAAATGAAAAAGATGAATCCAAGGCCTGTTAAAAAAACAAAGACATCATTACAGCTGTGACTTATTTCTGGTACATAACTGCAGCAGGTCTTTAGTCTGCATATTGAAATGAAATGTCGAGTTTCTTAATGAAGATGTTGGGTCTATCTTTTTTCCGTCAGGCTGGTGTCTGGAGCTGAAGTGGTCAGACTCCTTAAGGTTACAGTGACCGGAACAAAGGAGTTTCTGGTTCTGTTGAGGCAACTTGGAATTGTCAGATAATTCAGCCATTTAAATCCAAGCACCCTGATAGTATTTTTTAACAGTGTATTTGTGTAGTTTCCTTCCCGTGGCACTCTGCTTTGAGGATTAATAGATCTAAGTAGATGGAACTTGTTGGCTGACAGAAAAACATGGGCTCACAGTTTTTATTCCAAAAAAGGTGTGTGCCCCACAAGCTTTTGAGCCACATCCACAAACCCTCTCCTGGAGCTGTCCAACAGGTTCAACAAAACCCAATGTTGCTGCTAATAAGATGTGAAAGCTTTTTCCGCTTTGGACTCTCCAGCTTTTTGTTCTGTCAAAAGTCAGCACAGTCAAAATGATTTGCACGCCGTGTTTGGCTTCGCACCCCTGCAAGCAAATGTGCTGAGTCCTGTGACAAATGTGATATCAGCTTCTGGAAATGAAGCTAAGTCTCAGTCCAGTGTTTACCTGCATGGAGCTAATATCGCCATGTCTCTGTCGAAGACGAGTTTTTTCTTTTTCTTATTCCGGCTTCAAATCTTAATTAACTCAGTAGGATTAATAGAAGTGGTTGTGAGTATTGATTTCATGTGACCAGAGTAAAGCAAAGATAAACTGACATGGAGGATTCTCAACGAGAAATTTATTGCATGTGATGGTTAGTAAAAATAAATAAATAAAAATCCAGCAAACCGGGCTAATACAATGGTGTTAGGGGGTACAGTGCATGCTCAGAGTGGGTGAGGGGGGGGGTGTCGAGAGGACTCAGCTGCACTGAAAAGTTCAGATCTAACCTTCTGGGTCATCCTTTTTTCTGCCACCCTCCACTGCGTGTAGTCTAATAAAGCAGAAACATGCTGGATTGAAAAGAGGCTAAAGCAGGTCATGTGAAGAGAAGTGGGAGGGAAAGGAGGGAAATCAAGTTTGGAAGCAGAATGGCAATATGGAGGGGGGGGGCGGGGGGGGTGCAACCAGGGGAGGCATGTGAAGGGGAAGAGGGAAAAGTCTAAGTAGCAAGGTGGATGGTTATGAAAAATTTAAGTTTAGAAACCGTGACTGTGGAAAGATGGATGAGGGAACACTCTCCAAAATGGAGGACAAGTAAAGCCAGGTCAGCTGTATTAGCAGCCTCCGGTGAGCAGATATTGTCCCCTAACAGCATGTAAAAATAGGTATTTCCTTCCTTTTTTTGTCATTTCGAATCCCTCCATCACTCCCCACAACACTGCTACTCCTCTTTTCTCTTCAGCTCACCTCCATCTTTCCGCTGCCCCCTGTGTGTGCTGTCGTTCTCTCATCCCTCCGTTCTGCTCTCACGACCCACTCTCTGCTGCATGCCCACAGCCAGTTTTTATGGATGTGAGAGCAAATTCCTCATGGCAAGCTTTTCATCAGCGTGGAGAGCCGGCTGATGCAGCTGTTCCAGCAGCTCTGGTCTGGATCAGAGCGGGATTCCACCGCAAAAATGGAACCTGTGTCCTCCCCTTGGTCAAATACAGGATGACACATTGCAGCCAGCCCTTTATTCTGTGTTGGGATGACTATTGCTCTGAGATTGGGTCTCCAGAGACTGAGAAATGATTAGTCCAACTGCTAAACTGAAGAAATTTTTAGGTGATGTAATGTTTCTAAATGTTCTTTGTCAAGACATTTCCTACAGACAGGAAACCACACGATGAAATATCAAAAGGATTTGAGCGTTTTCTTCAGTTTCATTTACAGTTCTGTCACACAATATTCCTCATTTCTTTATACATTAAACAAAAAAGTGACGGTGCAGCAAAATATGACCACAAAAGCAACATTTCTACTGTCCTAGTGTACGAATGGTCTTTGACTCATGGTTATTTGGAATCCCTTTGTCAGGGTAAAAAACTCTTTTATTACAGCCAAACCTTTGCTTCTCATTGTTCTGTGTGTTTTAATTGACCTGTTTTAATATATCAACAAATCAAATATCAACAAATGATTTGATGATTTGTGGAAGTGATATGTTGAAATAAAGTATAGTTATACACAGCCCCAGATAAGTTTGCACACCTATCTACTTCCTTTAAACGTAATATTTTGGGTCTAAAGCTTTGCCTGCCAGTGTTTATTCAACGTTATTTAATGTCTTAACAGTCCCAATACCCATGAGCAGTAGATTATGACATCCATTTCCAACAGAAATAAAGTAGCTTGCAATAAAGGACCTTTGCTAGCCTCCTGAAACGTCTCTTATGATTAGACATTCTAATGATCAATTTTCCTTTGCTCCTGCACGGCGCAGTCCACAAGGACATTTTTAAAGATACAATTTCACCTTTAACATTAATCTTTTTGCCCATGAGGGATATAGAGTGGTCTTCTGTGATCATAGTATTACAGTTCACTGAGTTAAGAGAGGCTGGAAATTGAAATCTCTCTTCCCCAGACTGTCCCTTAGATTACTTGACAACTAATCTTGTAAACGTGTTACAAAGTATGCTCCTCTCCACCCCACTCAAACATCCGCGTACAAAAGTGAGGGTGAGTGGAGGTGTGACGGTGTCTCTATCCTAAGTGCCGGATCGTCAGAGGGACTTTAGCAGTGATCCAGATTCTTCTGATCCCTTGTTTTGCAGGAGGTATGCCAGTGCCCGAGGCGGCGTCTGACACTGCTACTGCCGCCGCCATGTTGAGCCCCGTCCTCAACGCCTCCAACGGGGACGGCTCCGAGTCTGAAACCACCTCCGCCATCCTGGCCTCCGTCAAAGAGCAGGTCTGAGTTCTTTTTATGAGTGTGTGTGTGTCGGTATGAGTATGCAAATGACACGGTCTGTGGTTACAATTAAGGGAGGATTGATGCCAGAAAGTTGGAGGGAAAATTCCTCCTCAAACCATCGCAGGGCAAATGTTTATGACAGTAAATGGTAAATGTAAATTATGGGGAAAGCCATCCGAGCCAGTGTGTCACAAAATGATCGCACGCCTTGTTCTGTTGGAGGAGCCTGAGGTCACAGCTATTCTGATGCCATCCCCAAATTCTATCAGAGTCTCAGCAGCTTTGTTGGAGAAACTGTGTGTGATGAGTGAAGATGGAGACAAGGCTAAGTCACCTTGATTTTATTTTCAGTCTAGCTAAGATTAGGCTTCAGAGCCGGGCTCTGTTTGATGTTTCTTATGTATTAATGAGGGCTAGAATATTCATCACAGTGCTTTGAATGTATTAAGCGTTTTTTTTTCTTCAAACTCTACTTTTATTTTTGACTTTGAGATACTTTTTAGCATCTGAGGCATTGTGATTTTGAATTGCTTTCTGTCAGTGGTCCCGGAAGTGGCCTTGTACTGAACTTGTTAAGGTGTCTTTTGTGTTACACTATCAGATTATTGCTAACTCAAATGACATGTGGGTCCAATGTTGTGAATTCAGTTCAAACAGCATGTGGCAGACATTTTTACTTATTTATATTATTTTTGTTATTTTTCTATTAATGCCTTTGGTTTTCTATAATTAGTACTGGTTAAAATGCTATGGTTTGACAACCAAATGACAATTTAAGATGAAGAAGCATGAGTTCAAATCCGAGGGTAAATGACTTATGAAATTATCAATGATGTCAAGGAAATGTGAAGATTAATCCAAAAATATACCAAAAGTCAAAAGCGAATGAGTGTTGTGCTTATAAAACACTGCAAATAAAATACTCCAAATTAGCTTCATTTTGTGAGCAGTAGTGGTCACTATCAGATCTGGATGAGCGTAAATGCAGAGTTAGCTTTTTTTCTCTCACAGGAGATATGTTGTATGTTAAGGAAGACCAGGCTAAGTGGAAAATGGAAATGCAACTTCGATGAGAATTGTAACCTTAGCTTTGGTAAAGTATTCTGTCCATGGAGGCTCTGGACCTGCTGGTGGCTACGTCAAAAGGACAGCGGGTGCCAGGCTGATCATGTTTTAGCCACTGCAGGGAATTAAAGCAGCAAAGTTCATGTTAATCCAACCAGCGGTTGTCCACAAATTTTAATCTGGACTAAAATGTTGAACAGATGGACTGACATTGTCACCCCAAGAGCCAGGACTCTGCTGTATTTAAAACTACTTTGGACGGGTGTGGGATAAGTACCGGTCAGCATGCAGCAGAATCAAAACAGATTTGAAAAATATGTCTTTGTGAGATCCCATTATGTGCTTAAACTTGAATTTCACATTAGATTACGTTTACAGATGTTGGAGACGACTGCTGCTGGTGGTGGTGGGGGGGGGGTAAAACTTAGTGTCCAGAGGGATATGTGTGTGATCTGATGAATGGTTTCATGTGTGTTAGTAACAGTTGGGGCAGAAAACTAAAAACCCACTCTGTAAAATAGATAAAACACATGGAAGACTTTTGTACTGGAGGTCCGAAAGATCACTTCTTTTGACCAAGTCCATATTTCAGGGGTCTGAAGCCTTAAGGCCGTGTTGGCTTCAAAATAATCTGATTCACCAGCTAAATGGAGGGCAGTGGGGGTGTCAGTATGAGTAATGCTGGTACCAGCTCTCCATCATTAGCAACAATGACTGAGTCATGTTATATTAGTGAAGTTGTCTCCCTTAATGAGAGTATTAGGTAGTTAAATCCTGCTCCTTTTCTAACAAACCTACATTTGAGTAACCGCAACGTTCTCAAAAATCCATATTTAATCAAAGTGAATTCAGACATGGGCACAGACACACACATCGGTCGGTCAGAGGTTCAAACAGTCTGATAAAGCTTAGAAGAAACATCACACATCTTCCCTCTAAAGAGATTATATCTAAGAATGAGTTTTAACTATCTATCATATGATATGACTTATCTTAATCAACCCAAAAGTCATAGAATATTGCTTAGACACTGTACTTGTATTTGCTTTTTCATTCATTTGTTTGGGTGTTACATGCTTGTTGGGCAAAAAACAAAAAGGCAAGATTTTAAACAGGTGCTTAAAAATATAGAATGTCAGTATAGTCTAGTCCTACAGCTTTAAAATGAGAATGATCAAGCCTCCTTACAGATATTTAGACACACTGAACAAGCCATGTTCCCTCACACACACTCACACACACCTTTACAGACGGTCTGGGCAGGATAATGGCCTTCTGATGAGGACGCTTGTTGTTTGGCAAGAGCGAAGATGAATAGATTGGTCCTCACTCACTCCTCCATCCTCATTCTCTGCAAGCTATATTTTTTAGATTTCATGCCCCTGCACTATGGTTAAGTTATTTCTTTTTCAGACGGCACATTTGTCACCTCCTTTCACACTTGTTTTTGCAGTGTGTGAAATTTCAGTGTGTTTGGGCTCATGCCAGTATTTGTAACTGGGATTAGAAGTAAAAGAAAAAAAAGAAAAAGTTGTATTTGAGACAAGGGACACAAATACAGACAGAGCCCGCTCTTCATTCCAGTTCATAAAGCTGCAGTCAGACGTTGGACACTAAGAAAAAGCCAAACACACACACACACAGACTCTGGTGACTCACATCAGGAGATCCCATCTAATGTTTTTTCAACATGTCCCACTATCCACACGAGATTGATTAGCCGTTCGATGCCGTATTTATCACGGCTGCCAGCTTTTGTCTTCATATTGTTCATCATCTCTGCTGTCACCCCGTCTGATACTGGAACTCTCTGTGAAGTCTGAAAGAAATTCATGCTGATGTGGAAAAAAAGGGGAAAAAGACACATTGGATTATTTTGTGGCCGACAGTGAATGTGGGTCTGGGTATTGATTAGCTGTCTTTAGCTCTGACTGTTGACAATCCAGTCAGTTGAGATGTGTCCATCAAATCAAAAGTAAAGGAACCATGATGGATTACAATAAAGATGTTTTAGGGCACTTTTCCCTTTTTTTATAAACCACACTGCCAGATTTTAGAGGTTTTCCTGGAGGCATTATGGGGTGGAGGCAGCTAAAACATTTCAAAAATAGCAGATGATCCCGCTCAAAGAAAACTTCCTGACAAATGTCAGAGAGTACTTGTTATATTCTACATCTGTGAAAATCAGGTGCACCACCAGGAATGTCCTGAGTTCACACAGGTGTAAGAATCAAGTCAACGCCACATTGCATAGTCTGAGTCTTTTCAGGAGCAGTGAACGGTGTCCCCATTTGTAAGCAGCGCATAAGAAAGGATTTGTAAACTCCCATTTGAATAGGATTTGCTTTAAAGTGAATCATTACATCAGAACAACATCACTTTCGTGGGTCATCTGCCTCTCTTTCCCTTTTTGAAATATCCAGATTACAACTGGACGGATTGACGGTCAAATCCATGATGGTCTAATGTAGAGAGTGCTTTTCTTGTCATGATTGTTTTATATTGTTCATTAGATCATGGGTTCATGTCAGGTCCCGTGTGTCATCTCATATTTGGGAGTCAGAGTGAAGAAGTGAAGTTTTTACCCATACTAAAATGATGTACAGTAAATTGCATAATCTAAATATTCAACCTGAAACAGCCTCAAGACTCTTACAGTCGACCGAAATGGATTTCCATGTTTAAAAGATTTATCTGAGTCTTAATGTATTCATACTGTTTGGCAGACAAGCCCATCTTACCTATATTTTACATTTTATGGGGTTTTGCGATGAGGGGAAATACTGTATGCATTCAGCATTTTTTATTCATGCACATCTCTTTATCTATGTGAGCGTTAACGTGCACATGCAGTGCAGATTTGATGTGCTGCAGTTCACATAGAGGATGTAATCTATGTAAGTCTGCATCTTGACCGGAGATTCTGTTGATTATGATAATTTGACCATCAGCTGTGGGTTTAATTTTTTAGTCATGTTTTCACAAGCTGCAATGAGGGGAGACATTACCTGGAAAAGGCAAATGTTGTTAAAGTCTCCACCTCATTGGGAAAAAAAATCTTTTAAGTCTTGGTGTGTATTCAGCTTTATGGAACTCCTTTTGGCTCCTTGCTTTACACACTTCACTGTAAAACCTGCTGAAAATGTGATCAGTCGTATACATTTCAAAAACATAGGATCTTTTTCCAGCATATTTGAAGGTTCCAAATACAAATTTTCTTTGCTCTTATTATTTATGTGCGGCACATGCAATAATAAACAAAGGATTAGCTTGAATTCATTCGGTTCGATAATTCATTAGGCTGTTTTGTGGAAGTTTTTGCTCAGCAGCCTTGTGAGAATAAAAGACCTTTCTCCCCACTCACTGCTACTCTTTCATTTGCTAATTAGGGACTAATTAAGATTTGTTTAGCATTGGCTAACTCATTAAATTACCAAATATAGTTCTCTTCATAGTTCTATCGAGAGGTATACATCCAGCTATTTCAAATGGGATCAAAAATGTATTCTATTTCACTTCTTGTCCAATCAGGTAGGCAGTAAAAGCGAAAGCAGATATTTTTCATTATTGGGGAATTGTTAGGGATTTTTGAGCAATGTATTTTCTCTCCCTTGATCTCTTTGACGCTATTGTCATTTATTCAAAGTCTCTAAGAATTCTCTTGGAGGTGAGACTTCAGTGCACTGGAGGAGAAGTATGCCCCCCCCCCCCCACACCCATAATCCCCCAGTGGTGTTTTTTCAGGATCCTCACAGGTGGTGGATGGATTTTCCTTTGTTGTGAATGTGAATGGTTGAAGAGTGCTTAAATGCACATTTAACAAGAAAACAATTACCCTGTTCTTAAACGATCAAAGTCCTCACCAATACAGTGAGTATGAGCTAACCTTAAGAATTTAACAGAACCCAAACCCAGATCTGATTAGGTGTCAAATGTTTCCAAAGGACATCTCATGAACATCTCAGGTAGTTGAAGGTTTAGGATTTTGGCTTCTCTGTTTTCTCATGCTTTAGTTTCCTGTGTTTTACTTTAGTAATCTTTTGGCAATGTTCTTGGTTCTTGTTTTATTTCAATGTCTGTCTATATTTCCTGTTTCATTCTAGTAAGTTTCCTGTGTCCTCCCCTTGAACCTCTCAGTTTCTTCACTTCCCTCAGGTCCCACCTTTTCCCATTATGGCTCAAAATACCTGCACCTGCGTTTCTCTGTCACCTGTGAGTTGTTCAACAGTCAGTGTTAATGGCTTAACTCCCAGTAATTGTACTTTCTGCAGACAAAAGCTGACGGCAGCATTTTTGTCCTTTGTTTCCTCTGACATTAGCTTGTAGATTTGGATGTTCCAGTTTACTTTCTAAGGCTAATAGCAACTCACCTTTTGTTTAGTTGTTTTTCTGTTTAAACTGTAAAAACCATTCTTTTGGATATGCACGTGATGATTGAGACGTAATTATACTAAGTGACTGAGTAAACCTCATGCTGTGTAACGTAAGAGTAACATTCTGGATTAAGAGAATTTGCTAAATGACATGAATGGAGGTGCTCGCTTAGAGCACGGACCAAATGTTTTCTACTGTGGGTTTTTGCATACTTATTAACCCTAGTGTGTATGCACAGTAAGGTTTCCTCAGCCCTCCCCTGAAACGCACCGTGTAAAAACTGACAATTGCTGCATGAATTACAGATCCACTTGTTGCTTTTGGGATTGGGATATTTGCATGCACATGTCTTTCAAAATGACTGCTAGCTGTCTTTGGTTTTAAGCAGAAAGCTGCACCAGTGTAGGCAGAGCAGTGCATTATGGGTCCGTCCACGAATAGCCGAGGGGTTTTCCTGTTTGGCAGCTCAAAGTTTGAGTTTTCCTCTGATACCTGCCACAGCCAGAAAACAGGGGTGACTTGGGTTTGACTGACAAGTGAGTATGTGTGTGTGTGTTTGGAGTCTAGCTCTCCAGACCTGACTTAGTTTTATGCTGAGGGAAGAGCAGATGTCTTGCACTGTGAGGGATGAGCTGCCAAACTTGATATCTAAGCATAAGTGTGGTTCTAGATGTTTATTTCATTACATGCAAATCAGAAAAAAAGCAGCAATATGGCTGGAGCAGGGATTTCCACTCACTAATTACAGAGTAGAGGCCTGTTTTTATCCCCTTTCCCATCTTTTTATCCACATAAACTTATAATTTTGCATCTGAAGGTTGTTTTCTAGTTTGTGTACATTAAAACATTGATTTGCTTCTGTAACATTATTTTTTCCGATCCCATAAACTGTTCAATTAAACAAGGTCTCAGGGCAGCAATATCACAATGTTCCATTCCAAAACTTCATTGATTCTTTCTGCGATAAAAAAAATACTTGAAATCTAAAACTTATTTTATTACAAACTGAAGTTTAAATCCACACCACTTAAAGAAAAGCACAGCTGCAGAAGCTGAACAGAAATACTTCATTGTAAACCACATGAGGTATAAACTTGCTTGAAAGAGACTGAATCATTTGTAGTCTCCAGCTGCTTCTGGTCCTGTAACGTTGTCTGCAGTTAAAGTTGTCTCTCCCACATACACAACGTGCATATTAACTACTGTCCTTGATCAAAGTGTGTCCTCTGTGCAACACTCCTCATTTTGATGCCTGTGAAACACAGACTTTTCCCAGAGTGACCAATACGTCCCACTACTTTTCTTTCTCCCGCTTACTGCCCATATTTTTATAATTCAATTCTGAACAGTTTTATTTGGGGAAAAATGTCTGAACACCTTGTTTAATGCATAAACTCTTACTGAGACCTGTGTGTGAGCATCTGCGGGTGGGCAGACAGGCGGGGGCTAACGTTATCATTAAAACCTCCTTAAATCCAAGGTGACACATTTCCTACCTTTTGTCAAGCGGAAGCAAAGACCGAAGATAATCTGTCTGAATCGTTTTATCAAAGTGATTTATCAGAGTAGATCTTTCAGGTAATTTGATTACATGAGTCATTTTATCTGTATACATGTGGAGTTAAACTGTTTTCATGGATAGAATGTGGTGACATGCACAGCATGCATACACATATTAGTTTAAGCCTGAAAAGAGGGGGAACTGGGGAAAGGTGAACTGAACATAAAACTCAACAGGAAAAAATGGATCTCTACCTTTTTTCTCTTCTTTTTTCAAAAAGTAATTTTAGTTTTTTTTTTTTCTTTCGAGTAAATCAACTAAAATGATTTGCAATCGCTATAAATAACAGCCTTGTGCTGCAGTTGTGTCAAAAACGATGTGGAACACCTTACAAGTGAAGACTTCACTAAAAGGAGTGCGTACTTACAGATTGCTCTTATCTGGCACGAGGCTGGAAGCCTGCAGGGACAGGTGTTGCACTAAAACATTAAAGAGAAAAGGTGTTTCGGTGTTTTCCTGGTGTCATGGTTTTGAGTTTTCAGCATGCTTAAGATTTCATTTACCCTGCAGTCTGCGTACACAATTTCACCTTGATGCTCGACAGAGGCGCATATACTCCTGAATATTTTACAGCGACTCATAATTTATCTTTTCAATGTGCGTAAAATCTGTTGCATATGGGTGGAAAACGGAAACAGGAGTGTGTCAAAGAAATAAACCACTAGCTGTCACAAAACGAGATAAAGATGTGTTCGCCTTTTAATGAACACTCGTCTTATCTGGGGAGAGCTGAATCTGTTTGAATCCTTTGTCTCCATCTCTGCAGCATAACTCACTTCATCTCACATATACATCTTCATCCCTGCTTCCGCTCTCTTAATCTATCAATGCATATACTCGTGTTCACTTAAAAAAAAAAAGAATCTTTTTCTGGGACCCGTTTTTCCAGCAATTGGACTGGTACACCTGATAACTTTCCACCTGGAACAATGGCTCTAAACAGCAGCAGTGATGCAGCCAGAGTGACATTTTCCCATGGAAAGTCGCCCCCCTCTGTCTGGAACCTCGAAATGCCAAGCGGGCACCACGGAGCCCAATTAGACAACTTTAGTCTGGAAAAAAAAAAAATGCAGTAAAAAGTATAAGACACATGATCCAAATGTCCCACCATGCAGCCGTTGCTATCGTTGCTGATCGTAATTTCTTAATATCTAGTGTTTTTTGTTTTGTTTTTCTGGAGGGGTGACAATCTCTGTGTCCAGTCTGAGAGAGAGGTCAGAGCTAATCTTTTGTAATGCAGTCGGCTGTCGAGCACTTGACCGCACAGCCCTCTTATTCAGACATACAGTAGTTCATGGTTGTTCTCTCATAATTGCTTTTCAAACTATTTATAATCACATGCACACATGCAGTGAAACAGTGATCTAGTCATTTGTAGGCCAATTAGGTTTTTTTATCTTGCTGGTTGTAGCCAACAACTATCCATTGTAAGAGGCTTTTGATGTTTTGATAAGAGCCGAATAGCCAAAGTTAAACTGTGAGCGAGCTCAGAGAAAAAAAAGGAAAAAAAGTTTCTTGGCGCTGTCACTACAATTTGGTAAAACCCACCAACACTGAGAAACTAATTAACATTGTAGAGCTGAAATTTTAAGTTGATTATGAAATTGCTTATTGGAAAGGAAATCATTTGAAATGAGCTGTGGTGATTCATAGACAAAATATCTCACAACTCACAGACATCCGCTTTAGTGAATATAGGATTTGTGGGTGTTGCTGGTTCTGATGATCATCCAGCATTTTCACTGTTGGTCAAACTGGAATTGGCATCCGTTGCTCAACACAAACATAGATGAAAACCTTTTTGATGGAATAATACACTGAATGCCACAGCTGGCCTCCAGTGTAACAAATTTCAGATAAAGTGGAGGTAAATCAAATTATGTGGAGCTTAAGTAAGTCAAATGGATTAAACCTATGGCTGCCCAGTTGGTCACTAAACCCTGGTGGGGCCCCACAGTCTGAGCTCCACTCCGGAGGTAAATCCAACAGACGCAGCACAGGAGCCCTGTAAATAGAGAGGATTCAGATTTGAATAAAGAAATGAGCAGAAACTACAACTTTGCATGTGCATGAGAATATACTTGCTGGTGTGTAATCGCCAGTCAGAGAGAGAATGAGGTGGATAAGGAGAAGAATGTCAGGGGACCACCTGTTAGAAGGCCATGGATTCAGATTTTGATGCAGGCTGTATCTGGGTAAGAGATCATTGTGCATGCTTTTTTGTTTTCTTTTTTAATGTAGGGTTCATCTTTTGAACCTGCCCTTCCCATTATTGTTTTCTAACCCAAGCCAGGTGATGTTGGCACACAATTAGAAGAGGAAATTAACATGTTTTTTTATTTTTGGGGGTGTCCTGTTGTAGATAGAATATAGAAATGTATTAACTTTTATATCTCACTAAAATGTTCATAGTTTAAAGAGTAGCACAAAGCTTAGTACCTTAGATCGAACCCTTTGGCCTCGGCAGACTTCTTGCTTCTCACTTCCGTCCATAGAGCATCACTGATGCAGAATGTGTGTGTGAATATGTGTGTGTATCGGCATGTTTTTGTGGGCATGGGTCTACTGTTTTGACCGTGGGCCTCCTTTCATCCGGATCGCTCTTCAGTCCCCCCTTTTTTATTTAAAATTCCTCTTTTCCTTTTCAGTGATGGGGGGTGAGGGGAGGGATGCAGATGGTCTGTTCAGAGGGAAAAGACAAGGGAAGGAGGTAGAGTGAGAGGCTCATAGTGATTGGCAAACGGCGGGCTTTTTTGGCAGGGTCAGCCGGTGGGAGGGCACATTGTGATGCAACGTTGCATAAATAATGCCACGGGGCTTCTAAATGCTCCGTTGCCATGGGGACCTTTGTGCCTCAGTGAACAGCCAGTGCGTGTGTGTGCATATGTGTGTGTGTGTGTGCTTCATGGCCCCTGAGGAAGGAGAGAAAGGCACAGGCAGAGACAGAGATGGGGGGGTGGGGGTTGACTAGTTGCAGCTCAAGTGACACTTGTGGTCTCTCAGTCTCTGTGTCCTCCTCTCCGTCTCCATATCCCTCCTGTGTTCTGACCCGGGACAGATGAGAGTCTGGAGGAGGGCGAGGGAACATCGCTCTTGGCTTTTTTAACCAGAAAGGAACCAGAAAAGTGGGATACTTTGCAAACTTGTGCTCTTTTTTTGTTGTTTTTTTTTAGGCATGGTGCTTGTCAAGGTACGTGTCCTCTGAGCTTCTATTCCTCTCCTTATGTCTTTTCACCATTTGTGACCAGAACTTTTTCCCCCCCTTGATAAATTCCTTCACAGTTCCACCCTCTCTTGTAGTAAGGGTGTTCTGCGTGTGAGCTAAGATTGGGGGGGGCGGGGGGGGGGGGGGGGCTTTTGTTCTGCTGCTTTTTAAGGAGACATACATCTGATTTCTCATGGCTTGCCATCGAGCTAGCTCGGTCAGCTTTTTGGCTTACAAGATAAATTAGTCAAAAATAAAGTGGGGGAAAGCTGTTTCCACATTCTCCTTCATCTGCTCCAGCGATGGTACCCCAAAGTAGGTTTCTTTCTTCTTAATCTTTGCATCAGATGTTTACGGGCTGTAGAGTGATTCGGTTGCATACAAAGTCGGCTCACTCTGGAAAAAACATGCTGCTTTTCTGGTATTTAGTGTTTTTTTTTAAGATGTAAAGGGGAAAATCCACTTTCAACTGGCTCCGTAACCAGTGGCTGGTTTTCTTTGGCATCAGACGATTTGCAGCTTATGAGTATGGCCATGCAAATGACCATACACATTCAAACCATTGGTGTGCTTCACGTGGGTGGATGTTAAAACATAAACAAATACGCAAACGATTGATTGAACCTGTGTGTTGAAACAGATTAGTCAATGTCAATGATCTTTATTTCATTTTCATTCAAAAATCAGTTCTATTCCTATAAAACAATCATATCACATATCAACAAATAAGACCTACTATGATCAAGTTGTGTCAATGAATCCTTAGTGGGATATTCTTTAAATTTATGTCTGTGTGTTGGGGAGAATCTTCTTGAGACTCTTAAACTTGATGTTAAACTGCACTCACACTGCAACATTTTCTCCTCCACTGCTGTACCCAGAACTTCCTTCTAATGTTTCCCACTATGTAAAGGCCATTTTACACTTGTACAAAGCACTAAACCTCGGCCTGGAGTCGGCGGGAGGCTGTCACTGTGTGTCGTAGCGTGTGCACAATCCGTGCAGATGCATTTCTCTGCCTCTGTTTGCACATGGACAGATTTGTCCACGCTGGTGTTTGAGCCTGTATGTATGCCCTGTTGATGATGGTGTGGGGCAGATGGTGCATAATTACACTGAAACACGCAATTTGATTTGTGAACTTATTACATTAATGAGTCGTTATAATCAAATTGTATTATTCTGGTGGGAAGCCTGGATTTGCTTTAGGCAGTATCACAGTTACAGCTCGCCCTAACCAGCTCTCCATTAGCAGTCTTGGCCAGAAGATGAGGGTTATGCGGGAAGATTTAAGGCATCTTCTTCTTCCTTCCATCTTATGTTTAGATCATTTTAAAAGTTTGTTTGGCCTCTATGCCATAACTTATTGTTCTCTGAATGAAACTATTTTTCTGCAAGAAGCTTCTTGACGGCTTGTATTCTTTCATTTTTGTATATGTGTGTTTTTAGGATATAAAATTGTTTTTCCTGAATCATCAGACCATATCTTCACCATTAGTTTGACCAAGTTCAAGTTTATTTTGGGATGCTGCGATAAATGATTCCTCTGGAATTCATTGGTTTTCCTTAATTATTCAGTATATATCAATATTGAAGTTGGAATTACAGTTACTCCTTAAACCTGATGCTTGATTTTTGGAAGCAGTGCACGACTCTAAAGCATTTCTAGTTGATTATTTCTATTATGGTGCAGACATGGAGCCATTGTTTTACCATCATCATACTGAAAGGCTTAATTTTATTTTAACGATGATTTTTTTTCTTTCTCTAAATTATGTGAAAATAATAGCTGAGGTGTTTTCTCATACAGAACTATATCTACCAAAATAAAACCAACTTCTACTACCCACCTCTGAAACCAAATAAAGAGACCGAGTGGTTTGGGAATACCCCACCAGTTAATTAGAATTGTTTACTTTTTTGTATTTTTTTGTGGGTGTTTGTCAAAATTGTTATTTGTACATAAATTGATGTTGAAATCGATTTTCATAATGACCTTCAGCAGCAGCCTATAATCAGATGCTGTTTGTTTGTGTGAATCAGCTAATTAGTGGTTATGCTTCATACATAAATGAATAGTAAAAACGGGCCCCTTGCAGGAGAAACTCGAGGGAAAAAGATCTGTTTGTCTGCTGTTTATGTTTTCAGAGTGAATCATTAACAAGGGTAAAAGACTGGGCATCTCTCTCCATCACTTCCTAGACAGGTCATGGTAATGACAGGATAATCCATACTCTGCCCCTGTCCACATGTTTTCACCGGACTCTGTCACTGTAAGTTACAGGAAAAAAACCTGCTCCTTAAATCCCCCAAAACTTTACCGTGTGCCGGAGCTTTGGCAGTGGCAGAACAGCAAATGTCACTTTTGTGACTGCTTTGGTTTTTGCAACATGTCCGGCTCCTCTGTGAATGTCTGGCAGCTGGACACTGACAGACACAACCATATCTGGCATGTTGTCCCACCACAGACAGCAAAGTCTCCTTCACAACGATTAGAAAATGTGTCTGAGACGAAATACTGTTTAGGACGGCGGTAAATGTGACGGGAAAATCCACAGACGGATACTCATTCCCTCTCTCTCTCCCCAGGAGCTGCAGTTTGAGCGTCTGACCAGGGAGCTGGAAGCCGAGCGGCAGATCGTTGCCAGTCAACTGGAGAGATGCAAGCTCGGCTCTGAGACTGGAAGCATGACCAGCATCAGGTGTGTGTGTGTACGTGTGTGTGTGTGTGTGTTTCTCACACCTGCCGAGCCTCCTCTGTACGTTTTTTCCCGTGGCGGTCAGCTGTGCTCTTGCAGGTGACCGGCTGTCCAGCTGGTCACATTAGAGCCGCGCTCCTTGATGTGGGCTGGAAATCACAACCCAAAACGGTTGACTTTGATTTTGAACGCAGCCAGCATCACTTTTGCGTTAACCTGGTTCACCAGGTTTTGCCCTTTGTCCTGTTTCCACACTGTTTCCTTTTTTAATTTAAACGCTTTAGCAGGCTTCTATAATGTTCTTTTCTGATTTAATGGTTACAGTTCAGGTTTGTAGCCAATCGACAGATGGCAGATTGTGGGGTCTCATAATGCAATCAAAGTGCAGTGTGTTTATTCAGAGGTGCTATTTTTCTTTTTCTTTATCTTTGCCATACCTCTTGTTGATGTTGATTTTGGTTTTCCTTTCCAATTTTTCCTTTAAAAACAAGAAAGCTGTAAAAGGTTCCCTGTACATCCATATGGCTTAGATTATTTTCAGAACACATTCTCAGTGGTTTTCAGAGTTCAAAATGACCCAACAGTTGTATTCGATTCAATCATTCTGTTCTACATTTTTTTTCCTCTTTTCCTAATGTCCGCTCTGTTGTGGAGTATGTTGTAGCTGGAAAGGTTTCATAAAAACGTCCGGGCCATTTTGAATGTTTTTAGCTTTTGTTGGCAGCAAAATGCATCAAATCCCAAACAGGAACTGATTAGAAAAAAAAAGGGAAATTAAAGGCTGAATGTAATTAGAGTCTCATTTGGTGAAGACATTACCGGCATAAAATGATTCACTATTTCTACTTTTATTGATGATACAGGTGAATATACATGAACGCATTTCACGTGGTTTTACACCACCTCAATATTATAATTACAATATATTCACTGACCTCATTTGAAGAACACGTGCGAACAGTTGTCAGCCATTACTATTATTATCTCCCTTTAAACAAGCAACACACACACTGGGAGGTGTCACAGGCTGGGAGCTGTTAGGTTGTCATTTAGTCAAATACATCTTTCAGTCCAGAGTCATTTTTAGAACCTTAATGTGTGTAAACCGTTAAACCTAAACAGAAAGATACCACACATCCGATAAGGGAGGTGTACGAGCAATGGGTGCCCGACAAGATCAAATGTTATAAAGCCATTAGATTTCAATAGAAAACATGTATATTTGATGATTTTGCATAGATAAAGATCAGAGGAAAGATTCACAGTATAATTTGAATCAGTTCAGGAGAAATATACAAGCCAAAAACTGTAGACGAAGCAAAAAAAAGTCATTGTTTAATAATTGTGCCAATTAAAAAAATATTCAATTAAAAGTTTAGCTAAGATATGGCAGCACCGAAAAGAAAATGTCTCATCTATTACCAATGTTTTGTCCACTTTAAAAGAGCAAAAGTCGTTATTAAAAAACAATGTTGTAACGGGCAGCTGTTGCAGGACGAGATAAGAAAAAGAAAAGTCACACAATGAGAAGTGACTATCCTATTATCTGTTGCTGATTAAGTCTGGGCCTGAGCCTCATCTCTACCAGTCAGCGTATGCATTCTATACCCGCCCCGATGTGAAAACAGCACTCTTGACACAGGAGTGGTAATACAGTTAAGTCTGCCTCTTAGGACGGTGTAACACGATTAAAGAGCCACTCTCTGGTTCTGACTCACCCCCTCTCCCCCATACTAGCACATAAACACACTCACACAATCAATCATCTTTTTTTCTTCTTCTTTGATTCCGTTAAGTGAGCAGGGATTCTGTCTGTCTCAAACTAATTACTCATCTGCTTCTATTGTTGCTGTCATTTCAATTTGAGGGATGGACCAACAAAGAACAGGGAGATGGTCTAAAACTGATTCATTCAGCGCTCTAATTAACTGCTGCTTGGATTTAGCTCTTCAATGGTGTCACATGGCAGCATTCAGGGCCCCAAGTTCAAACAGCAGTGAAGATGGGACATAGGAGGTTTGGACTCCAGAAAAATAAGCATGTCTGCCGCGTTGCTGCACACAGCCAGGAAACAGTGGCTGGCAAATACTGCAGCCTTGCTAACTCGATTGGATGGGTTTATTATTTTGTGGATTGCTTTTTTCTTTTAATAGGTCATCCACTTGATTTAACTTGGAGGTAATTAACAAACAGGAAAATGGTCTGACAAACAAACCAGTCGACTAAGGCAATATGTTGGAGGTTTATAATGCTAGATGTGAATATATCTTTATATCTGAAACATTATATTTGCTACCATTCAGCGTAGTTTTGCGTAATGCTGCTTGTTTTAAAAGAGGCTAACTTAGGATGCAGTAAGTAGCTTCCATATATTTGCTGCAACATTGGCAGTTTTCCAAAAGAAGCTTTATTTTTCTTCGTTACATCACAGGATTTTTGCTTTCCTCACATTGCCTGCACCTGTGCAAACAGAAATGCCACAAAGCCCAATGGACACTTATTCAAAAGACAATGCTCACTGGAGAAAGGTAAAAGTGAAAGATAATGTGGTTTTTCTTTAGTTTTATCTGTTTTCTTATTGTCATGCACATGTGGTTTTTTATGGTGTGGTTAGCTTTGGAGAAATGAATGACAAGTAAAATGTTTCCTCTTTTTTATTTTTGCCATCATTTTTTAGATAATGGTTTTAAAATCTATTTGGAAGGCTCAGAAAACACCTGAAAGTGATAGCTGATTGATTTGTAATCATCATGGGAACCTTTTCACCTGCTCTGGTTCCTGTTCCATTATCTGAGCACAGAGAGATGAAGATAGAGATGATAAAGGCTGACTTGGTAAGAAAAATAACAGTATCAATCTTCAAATTTATGAACTATGTATTCTGCAACTTTCTGAGAAAAGTCTGATCACGTTGAGTAAGAAGTTTTTGTCAAGACTGCCTACAATGCACTTGGTATCAGGACAAAACGCTTTTTGCCATATTTTACAAAGGCTCCAAAAACTTTTTATATTGTCAGTGTACTATTTGCCAGGGTGGCCATATTCTAATCCAGATCGATTGTTTTGAACAGTTTGGGATTGTACACAAATACAGATTTGCTTGCAGTACTTTGCATTGACATCGAGCGTAGCCAGAGCTTCAGTGCATTTCCTCCCTTATGGCCCTCCATCTGCACCCGTTCTTTTAAAAATGTCTCACTATACGCCTGTTTGATTATTGACACTGGAAACAGCAGTTCAGCAGAAGATCGTGGAGCAGATTGCTCTATGTGGGGAAACGGGCCAAAGAGGAGCACACTTTTGTTCAGACTTTTTGTTTTCCTGAACTTTCTCAATCTCTAAATCAATACTCGCATAGTCAAAAGCTTTACCCTTTTTTCCCAAATTGTATTGAAACTCATCTTTATACTTTAAAGATGATTTTATTTAATCTCCAAACCCGTCTGGAACGGCTGTAGCTACAAATGTTTCTTCCTTTCTTTTTCAAAGTAACCTCTCATTTTTTAATGGTTGACACAAACTATAAACAAACTAATGCATTGTTTGTATGCCAAGAAAAGTAACACACTAAAAAAAAAATCTGAATCATGGATCAATTGTTTCTGGTGGTTTTTTGCTTCCCTTGTCTCGAATATGAAACTTTTATGCCAATATTAAAAATCAGGCACAATGATTAATCATAACTGAGAGCTCTTTAAGGCCTGGATGATCTGAAATGTGAGTTAAGAGTGACCATGCAGCCACAGGGGTGCTGGCAGGTCACAAATCCCATCCTGTTGTGTTGTGGAAAATGAATCCTCTCAGAGGTGCTAATGAGTTATTTTGCTGTGTCTTTGTTTCGGGTCTTTAGCAGTCACCATGTATACCCCGGCATATGCTGCCACTTTATTACACCAAAGAGCACAAACCCAGGGGTGTGTCACTGAGTCATTCACACTGTGTCTGTCTCTGCACGGAGAAATGGAGGACATATGTTACCTTTATGTGGTTTGAACTTGTCGTTGTAAATAATAAAGAAGTCCCATCCTCAGACAGTCAATGTTATGTTGACAGGAAAGTTTTAATTTAAAATGACTTGTGAGGTAGGCAAATATTGAGAGCTTTACTATCCATACATGGGAGAGGAATCTATTTATTCACCTTTGCAAAATCCCAGAAAAGATTGAGTCCTGTTTGCATGTGCATGCAGTTTGACTGCCAAGTGCTTTATCTGGTGTGTCTTACTTTTAAAACTCAGTTTTTGTGCAAAAATCAGGACAAACTTGTGTTTATGCATCTTTATTATCATATACATTGTCACTTTCTGAATGGTTGAAATGGAATCCTGGTCCACTCTTTTCAGTGATGATTGAATTATTTCTGGCCTGCAGACATCCGTTCATAAATAGGTGTTCCAATGACCCGGCCAGACATTTCGGTTGCAGATTTGCTGAAACTCAGGACATCTATAGACAATCTGTCACTTATTTTTTAATTCTACTGTAGCAAACTCTTAAAGTCTGGCCAACCAGTATGATCAGAAGGGGACACACATTACCATTTGCTTGGCTTAAATCCAGACAGCCGGTGGATTTTTTTATTTACTTTACTCTTTCAGTCTCCTTTACTTTTTTAATTCCATCTGTTTTTCGGATCTAGACACAAGGCTGTTTGCTTCAACTCTGAAGTTAAGACTGGAATGTTTTAAACACTGTGGCTGTTTTTAAGACCTTGGTCCAGATTTGACACAGCTGTGGAGTACGGAACATCTTTTTCTGCACCGAAGACTTGAAATATGGCGGGGAGTAAATTAAACCTTAGTCCAGGAACTCTCTCTGTGGAGCCCTGTAGGTGTACCTCTCAGCATATTGTCAACAAATATAAATATATTTATATATGTCTTTGCCTTAGGGGCATTATTGTGGATAGTCACCTCTTTGTCTGCCTCGTTTGGCTATGGCCATTTGCAGTAATTGTCTGCTAATCGGATTCCTTGCTTCTTACTGGTTGGGCTGCTGGGTAGCGAGTGTGTGTGTGTGTTTTTGTGTTTGCATGTACACGCGTTGGCCAGTGTGAGGAGTACCCGGAGAGATCCACCACCACTTGTCTGGCAGGAAAATGTGACCTGTCTAGCAAGCCCAGCAAGGGCCTATTACCCAGGAGCTGTCGGGGCACGGGCCTGCCAAATAACACACACCGACCTGCGAGTGTCTGCACGGCTCTGACACACTAACGAGGATGTTTTCAGAGCAGCACAACTACACCGAGACACACAGAAAATGCTTTGTTGCAGGTTTACGAATACTATTTGAGCATGACTAAGAGGAGTTAAAGATGAAAATCTAAACTCAATTTAACTTGAAAATAAAGTGCAGCTAAGTTTCCTGTTTAAATCCCATCACTGCATCAGGCGTACACACACATCCTCAGAGGGTACGGCAGATGGGATGGCCAAAAGATCTTGGTTTGCGTGGTGGCTACAAGCTTTTAATTAAAGATGAAGTCACAATGACATCAGTCACCGGTTTGCTAATTACACGTTTTGAAGCCTCAGATTCTTTGGCAGTTGGTTGTTGCCATCTTGTGACCATATTTGGAGGCTGAAGTCTGGGAGTGATAGACCATCGGCACGCTGTTGATGGTTATTTGTGAAGTTTGAAGTCACCACCCATCAGCTGTGTGGCGCTTCCATATCGTTTTGCTGTTGACACACAAAGAAAGTGTGAACATTTCTCCTCCCAATTAGGTGCTCCATGGCACAGGGATAATTGTCAACATCCAGAAATAGCAACACTGTGGTGTCACTGACCTCGCATGTGCTGCAGATGTTCGAGCATTTGCAAATGCAACATCTGTGAACACCCTGCTGATGTATGATTTATGGTGTCCCTCATCCCCTTTACGAAGCCTCTGTGTTGTCAACCCTCTGCCCAGAGTCGGTGTGTGCACAAGCCGATCATTCAAACGCAGCAAAACTCCACTTTTATGGCTCCATTTCCCTGGTTGGCCTCTTCTTAATAGGGTCATAAAGAAACATAACTTTTGTTTATCAGCTTGGTACGTTCTCTTTTTTATATAACAGTTGTTCATAAACATGAATTTGAAATGGTGATATATTCCCACAGTCGGCTAATTGGTGATTATGTTGGATTGTTAAAAGCTCTGTTTTCCTGATGGCTACACACAGTACTACTACTACTACTGGTACTACATAACACAGTAAATTAGCTTTATTTGATATATTATTTGCTTTCTTTTCCCAGATTTCTTCCACTGTTTGGTTCTCTTTTCCTCTCTTGGTCCTTTATCCCCCTACATTCGACATCAATGCTGAAGATTTGGCTTTTGCAGCTGAGCCTGTAGCATTATCATTATTTATTTTGGGCACAGAGTGGTTGCTGCCTTTATCCAGAGAGCTCTGAACACACATTCATCCATAACAGTAGAGCTCTCATGTGTGGAGATAACCCGACCATTAGGTTCTTCAAACCTCTTTATACGGAGAGCACCTGCATTACTACTGATGTACTAAAGCCAACTCAGTAACACTATACCATTACAAGCATTCCAACACACAAAAAATAACCCCTGAGATAACCATTATAAGTGGGGATTAAAGTTTATTGGTCACTTTTATTTGAAATGTGGGAATGTTTTATGTTCAGATATATTTGAGCTTATTTACTGTCTGTATTATAGTGGTGAGTTTTCTCAGGACCTCTAATTGGCCTTAAATGTTTTATTTATTTCTGTTTGTAGATTATTTCCCACATAGTTATATTTTGCTTATTTGGACAGAGTGTTAAAATTAAACTTTTAATCATCTCTTTGGATAGTTTAATTGTGAATGACATTACAGACTCTTCTATAAATGTCAGGGATAAAATAAAACCTCTCAGTCTTCAGCCTTGAAGAGCTTTTGTTTAGTTTTAAAAAGGACAAAAGGGTCAAAACCGTACGGATGATTAAATAAAATCAACTGCAATAGTGTATTCATTAATATTTTATTTACGTTTTTATATTAACTGTATAAGTAATAGCGGTGTTTATCATCATGCTTGTGATGATGAGGAGGATGATAATAATTCATTTTCAAACTATTGATCCACAGACTACCAGCTTTATAATGAGAATAAGAGAATGATCCATGGATGCATCATTCATTTCAAAGACTAACATTTCTGGTGATGTAGTCTTAAATCTACATATTGATCTGCAGTGTGACTGGAGAGAAGGGGAGGAGAAATGGAAGGAAGGAGTCGGTCGTGTTAGCGTGATCAATGGAGGGGTTGCCCTCTCGATAAGGTGAAAGGATAGGGGGTGGAGGACAGGGGAAGGCAGAGGGAAATGGAAATAGCATCACATCGATGCGGTGTTGAATATTACACCTGCTTTTCATCTCTCCATTGCCATGATTTCAAGGATTCTAAGAGGATGTAGGTGCATAATTAGGCTAAGATTTATTTCTTAGTAAAAAGATGGGGGCTGGATTACCCTTAGATTAGCAAATAAAACACCTGATACCTTAAACATGCTGATACAAATACATGATGTCTAAAATTATTTCTTATAATTTAGTCAGACTATGTTACTCTGCTCGTGACACATTTTCTCCAGTTGTCAAGAGTGATATCACTCTGGGCTGATAAAGCTGTATTTCTATAATAATACGGACACCATGGACACAGCTAAGATGTCCGAAGATGCAGGGCTTTTTTGTAGGAATAAAAAAAAAGAGCTGGAAATCTGAGCCGGGGGCACAAAGAGAACGAGGACAGAAAAGAGAATAGGGAGTGGACTCAGATGCAAAGTAAGGAAGGAGGCTGACAAAGACAACTGTGGGGGTAAGGGAATAACGAGATGAGTAACGGAGGCAGGAGGAGCTGGGGGTGGATGGGAGGGGGCTGCTAGTGGGGATGCATTCTCATGTTAAGCCCCTTTAACCTGCCGCCCTCCAAACACATGCAAACACACACAGACTTAGTATGAGTCACTTGGAGCCCAGACACTCTTAGTAAGACTAATATCCTCCACTGTCACAGACAAGCTCAGTCTGCCACACACGGCTGCCGGGTTGAGCCTCGGTGTGTGTGTGTGTGTGTGTGTGTGTGCTAACTGGCTCCCAGCACAGACACAGTCACATGCGACTGTATTATTGATCTGCCAGGGGAACGGAGACAGGAGTGTCATGGATAAGCTCCAATGAAAATCGTCTTAGACCACATGCACATAATAAGACACACTGTGTTTTCCCGTTTTTCTCTCAAACAAACATGTCTTCAAACACACATACACACACACAAACACACGGATAATAGTGTTGACAGGGAAGAAGCTGGAATATGCAGGCTTAAATGCAGCGTCTGTTTACTGTGCACTGGGAATTCACAGTGCAAAGCTGCTTATTTAGTTTTAGAAAAAGAGCAATTAAATAGTTTTTCATAGATTTGCCATAGGCATAAAGTGAAGTAGTGTACAAGTCTTATACTAACATTTTCAGCCAGACTAACATTTTTTATTATTTCTTTATCTTATATGTTTAAATAAAAGGAAATGGAGTCCAGGATAAACGTCTGGACACCTGGGTTAGTAACACAGTCATAAACCCTTTTTGTCTTTTTAATTATTCCGCCATCTTGGATGCACTACTCTTTAAAGTCTGTCCTCTCAAATGAATGAGGGGTCATTATCTGACAATCATTTCACCGCAGTGCTCTCTGTAGTGTAAATGGTTTACTGTTTGTTTCTGGACTTTACTGATGTTGAACTGCATCCGTGCTATTCACTAGCAGTAAAATGCCATTGTAGAGCAAGCTGCTCAACCCCAACCATGATTAATCTATCCTGCCTACAGCCATGAGTTTTTTTTCATTATGCAAACTATAAATGTCTCCCTACAGTGACACAATGTCTCAACATTCAGAGAAACGGCTACATTTTGACATAAAACAATGTTAATAGACTCAAAGGCTGACAATATGAGGTCAGAGGGCAAATTGATAGATATTTATAAAGTAAGTGGTAGAGAAATATTGTGAGCTGCACCAGTAAATTCTCTCAATTGGTGTCTCACAAATGTGATTTACTCGTTATTTAGCAATTACTTTTTTATGGTATTGTAAATATGTGGAGCAACAGGTGTGTGCTGCTCCTGTTGGCACAATTGTTCCTTCAGCTTTGCTCTCCTTTGAAAATAACATCAGTGAAATTGAATAAAGTTGTGCTTGTGTTCTTGTTTTTCTTCTGTTCTTGAGGGCTTGACTGTCTGGCCCCAGCTGGCGGGAGCCGGCTCAAACCAATCGGCATTCAGACGGAACGTAGCATTACTGGCTGAGTCATGCTCCTTCAGCTAAACGCCCCAAAACACGCTAAAATCAGGAGTCAGGCTGACCTCAGTGTATGAAATACAGTGCGACAGTATTCTTACCAGTTATGACCGTTCGGTGATTGGAAATAATCAAGGGGCTGTGCAACCTGGAGTCCGTCTGTTGTTGCTTCTGTAGCAATAGAACCAGAAAAGGTCACATTGCCATAATTTTACTTTGAGTCTATGATCTTCTATCAGATCCTGACTATAAAGAAATATGACAATCTGTGTTTTGAATTTCACAAATAATGGAACATAGTAAGACTTCCCTTTTGTTAAGTGTGTGTTTTTCTATAACTTCCTGCCCTTTGTCACCGTCAGAATTATTTTGTTCATTTTCCTCCCGTTGATGACCTTTGGATTAAAGAGCTGTGCTCCTGGTCAATGTGAGTTATTTGAGGGTTGCAGTGTTATTGATTTCCTTATCTACATATAATACACACATCCTGCTGAGATTTTGCCGGTACACATAAACGCGGCGCTCTTTGTGAAATGTCATAATTTTGCAGCTGATACTTGGATAAACTGAACATGGTGGTCTCTCTCAAGACTCTCTTTTGGCTACCTCTTGTGGCATAGATGGGGTGCCCATTTCAGTGGGCAGGGCTAGCCTGCCACACCCGACCACACCCATGCCCCTGCCGGGAAACCCTGTGCCATGTGCAGGCTGTAAGTTTGCTGCTTGCCCAGGGTTCACCCCTTTTGAAACTGCATTGCCACCTTTCCCAGTTCCAGTGTGTGTCTTCTGGTTAACGTGAGTTTGATTTCTTTGATTTACTTCCTTGTTTCTTTGGCCAACCACTGGATGTATATTGTGTGTTGGGAAGCTGTTTGGACCCTTTATTGTTTCATGTTTAATGATGTCATTTTTCTTTGTCCTCCCAGCAACACATCCAGTGAACTGGTTAATTGTTACCACCACCTGTTGAACGACTAATAAAAGCCTCAGGCATTGGGCTGACCTCTCTCATCCGTGTCCTCCATGCTAAGTCACCTGACAGGGACTGTTCACCACACTCCCTGCCACCAACCACGCTACACCCCCTGCAGTTTCTTCAGTCTCCAAAAAGCATTTAGCAAAAATGAATGCTATATGGCCTAAGGAATTGTCTCCAATTTTGCGAATGAAAAGTGGTCTTCATTTACACCTGCGTGTTCAAAACGCTGCGTCACAAATTTGGACAATTGGAGAGAATGAAGAAAGTGTCAATGCCAGGAGATAAAAAGCTAATAACAAAGCTTAATGAACTCAGTTCCTTGCATGCAGTCTTGATGGCCGCGGTATGGCTAAGCATGCATGGGGCAAAGCTGCAGAAACACCATGAAACTGACAGCAGGTCCACAGCGGTTTTGGCAACAAAACCATGTATCCCTTGATCTAGCTCTGGAAGTTTGCCACTCAGCAAAGTGGCTTTGCTGGACCCGATCGATCCTGATAAGGACACCTGGCACCCTGCTGGTGTGAGTGGATGTACAGTAGCGAACGTGGGTCCAAAGCCAGCAGTTTGATTTGATCCGCGGCTAGCTGGGGAGTAGATGGCTTCTACTTTGGCCTGTCATTCTGAAAAGGGAGAGAAAGAAATATAAACACAGGGTTGCCAGATCTCCAATGGCTGGATTGAATGCAGTGTTTGGCAACCTGAGCCTGATCCAGATGCTGAGCTGAAAGAATGGAAGGAGAATGGCCTGAATTTGTGCACTATCTTGGGAAACAGCCTCCCTTTAAATGACTTGGTTCTCTGTTTGCTTGTTTTTGTTGTTCTTTACATTCTTTCCCGGTTACATCAGAAGATGAGAACATGTCAGGATGTGTTGTATGGATGCTTTGTAGCAAAGCTGAAATTTCAGCCTATTATAAGACAAAACCTCACTTCTTGTAGAGAAAAGCTCAGCTGTCTTTTTAATAAATTGTTTCAGAGCAGTTATCCCAAAGGGAGCGTTTTAGTCTATTGACAGTCACACTTATTCACAGCTCTTGACAAGCCAGTGTTTTGGGACGTTGATAACTGGAAAATGTTGTACAGTGCTGAGCAGGGGGGGTAAAAAGACACGTCACTATGGACTTTCACTCTTCCAAAGAAAGGTTATCCCAACACAGCACCAGGAGACATCTGTAACGCAGCCATCCCTGGGATGTATTTACCACAATTTATGTCAATCCACATTGTTTTACACTGTTAATGTATCTGATTTGGAAACTATGGGCACAAGAAAAAAATTATTAGCAAAGATGAATGCATTAACCAACATATCCACCGATAGTAAACGTCTGTGGTCATCTCAGGAAGAGGTTTTGGAAATGCTGACTGGTCTCACACTGAGAACCAACATGTCCTCCTCCTTGCCTCTCATTTACTTCCTGGCCCCAAGTCAAAATGGCCGCCCCCCACACCGGCTGACTGGGAGTTGATTTGACCAATTTAGTGGGTCACAGGAGACTTCTGCTACCTTCTCCTCTTTCTGAGCCTTTGTTTTGGGCGTGTGGATGGCTTGTTAGAAATGATGAGGTGGTCCTCTTTTTGCTGTGCTTTAATCCTTTGGCTCAAAGGTTCCATGTTCCTCTCCCCTTTTTTGTTTAGCTTTTTTTTAGGCTTAAGGAAGAAGGAGAATCTCCACCTTCCCTTTGTGCCTGTGCATCTGCACCACATGGAGTTGATATCTTAATGCCTTCTGTGTCGTATCTTCAGTTTGGCAACACATGCCAAGTCTTTTTTTTTTTCAAAAAGAAAAAAACTTGACTCAAAAACTATTATCTTAAACTGTTTGCCAGAAATGGAGCTTTGCTTTGGTGATTGCGATCTGCTGCAACACCACTGGACTTCTGGACTTAAGCCGAGTTCAAATGCTCTTTTCTGTCTTTTGTTTATCACAATACGAATTCACTTGGTCATAGACTCAACTCAAGGAATCTGAGTTACTGGCATTCATTTTGACCCAATAATACCGTATGTAACATATTTGAGACAGTTTTGTAAATATTTAGCATCCGAGACCTTTTTCATCATTTAATGGTTAAAAATGTTGGCAAAAGATGACAGACAATACTTCTGACTTTTCACATGGCAATAAATTATGAATACTCAAAAGTAAATGATTTTTTTCATAAATTGTTAAAGGACCAAATAATAACTTCTGACAAAAAGATAACTATTTTCTCAATTTTTTCTTGGCTGGGGCTTTATAGATATATCTTAAACCATTTTTCTTCATACTAAGAATAACTGACTGGAGAGGAACAGTAAGGGGTAGCGGCAACATATCGCCACTGAGGAAAGATCATAAGTATTATTGTTCCCTCATTGTTGTGTGTTGTTATTTCCGAAGGCTTAAACCTCCTTGCTGCATGGACACTTACCAATGTTTTTGGCTTCTTCAGCATTGAAGAAACATATCAACAGATAATATGTTGAACTTGTGGGAAAATAATTGCTTATGAACACACACAGTAATTGGCAGCACCATCCAGTCAGAGTTTGGTCCAACTGGCTGATGTAATCCCAGTAATCCCCCTGTTAGCTCTGTTTTTGATCGTGTCCAACTGTGGAGGGAATCTGTCTCTTTAGCTTCTGAATGCTTCTCTATGTTCAACAGATCGTGTTTAGCTCCGTGTGCTGTTTGCTGCGGGGCTGGTCTTCACAGCAGATTTGAAGTGTTTAGCTAAAAACAGCAACCTCTTGTGGCCATACACAACACAATAAGAGCAGACAACTGTCATTCAGCACTTAATAAAGATCAAACAGATTCAGTTTGGCTAAGGTTAAATGTCCATGAAGATCAGCATGGAAACCACTAAAAAACACAGTGCCACAGAAAGATAAACCTGTGTGGATCCAGAAAAGGGTCCAAACCCCCTGCCAACACCACAACCACTGCTCTATTAATGCTCTGGATCTAGCAGTTAGTGTATTTTAGACATCATTTTATTTAGCTGACAGGTCAGTCAGAACTTCATTAACATCAGTTATGGGAGCAAACATTAACCTCTTTATGGTAGCACCTTATAATGTTGTTTGGTTCAGCCATCAAAGCAGATCAGCAGTACATTCAGATGCCTTATTTTGTCAGGCACACCATGAATTCATCAACTCAATTGCAAAATGACGGTCTGAAATTCGCTATAAAGCTCTGCAAAGCCAAGGGCCAGCTGCACATTAAGAGCCTAATTCCAGCACGGGCTCATCAGTGGTCCCAGAATTAAATTTGTTGCTCAAGGCCCCCCTTACAGGATTGACTCCAACTTGCACGAAAGCTGAGACCTTGGGTTGAAGAATTTCCCACCGTCTCATTATACCGTGCATAATGCACCGCACACAGCCTCTGAGTCATAATGTTCAACGTTCTCCTGAGGCTTTTGACATTTTCAACCTGTTCATTTCTGCTCTCTCTTGAGAAATGAGAGCCGAGTTAGATAGTACCTGGGCGAAGCAGCAACAGTTAGCTATTGTTCCAGCATAATGCATAATTAGGGGAAACCTGTGAAACCATGTGAGATAAAGCACCTACTTTTAGGGTGCGATGGGATCCTCTATCTTCCAGCTCTGGCTGTAATTAGAGGTATGAGTTGTCCCTGGACTTTCCCCTGTGACTGTGTCCACTGTTTGAGCGACTGTAGTAACAACATAGAATCTATTTTTGATGGAAACCCAGCAAACAGACAACGTTTTCCTCTGTAAATGTATTTTCTGAAAGCGTGTGAAAGCCCTTATGGTGTCTTGTTTAAAGCAATCTGAAAGTTACATCTATGTTTCATTGATACCACAATTCTGCCTCAAAGGTAAAAACTTACCCCACACTAACAGACTGATAGAGTTTCTCTATTTTATGTCAGTAAGTTAAACACAGAGCAACGTCATGGTACAATCCAGCTTTGAGATCTCCGGCAAACTCCACTCTCCTCCAGTCATCTGTACGATAACAGACAGCTTCTGCCCACCTCCTCTTGTTTCACCTGATAGCCAGAACAGAGCAGACTGAACCTCAAAGTGGCTGTAGCTGATATTCTTATAATGGTGGATCAAATACCAAATATGGAAACGATCCAGAGTGTTTCCCAGTATGAACCAGTCATTATCCAACCTTACAGCACCACTTGGGTTTTAAGTAGGTTTATTTAATATTATTTCTCTACATTTGCTGTTAAGTGTTAAATATTGTGACTTTGAGCCTAGTTTACAAAAGTGCTTTTCACCTTTTGGTTTATGTTAGTTTAGGTTGATTTTATACTAGTGTAGATTTCTATTAAATCTATACTAAATAATATGATTCCCAAATATAATGTAATCGCTTTTGTTTTTAGCTTTAAAGAATTAAAGGTATTGAAGGAATATGAATATCCAGCCTGATGTTTATTATTGAAACAACATGTTTGTCCATTTTTTAAAGATATTGTGTTTCTGGGAGATGGTTAGCTACAATGCCTTAGAATAAAAGATTAGATTAAAAAGTTGTCATTTTTGTACAGTTGCAGTTGCGAGCTGTCTTGTAGGCTTAAGTTTCTACATGTTCAGAGTAGGTAAAACACCAGATCCTTCCCCTGTAAAGGTCAGACTCGAGATCCGCTTCTTTTCATCTCCGTCCTCCTCCAGCAGCAGCTGCTGTACGCTCCGACTATTGCCATGGCAACGATTGCAGATGTGTTTCATGTTGCAGGATTGATGCTGTTATCAGCCACTTAGCTTTTATATTCAGGTTTCTCATAAGCAGTACTTTGGTTTAACAGGGTTATTGTAAATATAATATTGAATAACAGCCTGCACAGAGAAACTCAGTAATGTATATGATGCCTTATTGTTCCATAATGTATATAGAACCTGCAGGTTGATGAATTTTGAATGGCACAGTGAAACTGACTGACTGATTTCCAGTTTATTCTGGCTAACACATGCACGATGGATGCTGTTGTAATGACAAATGCAAAAGCGTTCACACTAATTAATACATTTCTGATTGTACACTAATATTCAAACTAGCCTTCAAATGTTTGTTTGTGTTATTTAAAAGGGTTGATTACAAAAAAGTTTGTTTTTTTGTTACCGTGTCAGTCAGTATTTCCTAAATGACTGAGGGCACCGGGATACGTGGCATGTGGAAAAGGCATTTTAATGACTGAATTGCCGGGTGTGGTTGTTTTATAGCCCACAGTTCAGCTGTTACAAATCCTATTAACTTTGTTTCCAACAGCAGCAAAAGTGTTTTTGACTAAAGTTCAGAAAAATCTCTCCCCTGGCTTCCATTATGTTCTTGAGGGAAATATGCAGCTCTTTAGCTGCTTCATCTTCCACCATCTTAATCATCCCCTCACTATCTGTCTGTGGGCTGTTTGCTGCAAACGTCATGCATGTATTGGATTTTTTTCTGATGGAAAGATTCCAGGAGAATCTAAAATGTGAGCTGAAAGTACTAAAAGAAGTGCAGTTTTCTCTACTTCTGGGTTTATATGTTGGTCTCTACAAATACTGAATTATAACAAAAGGCTATTTGGGATGGGCTATTCAAGTGGAAGACGTCACAATGTCTTTTTTGTTTTACTTGGATCATAATAGTTCTGTATCAAGTAGGTTTATAGAACTGGAAACAAAAAGCTTTTCTGTGGAGAATTCCAACGTCTCTCCTCAAATGTATAATCTGGTCCTGCTTTCACCTTTTTGTCATCATTACCTGATTCTGCTTTATCCAGAGGGGACTAGGCACAACTTCCTGTTGTTGCATTGAAATTGAGAATAGTTTATGTAGATATTACAGTTATTTACAGTCATATTGTTTCTCTGGGGATTTACACTGCTCTCCTTCTTACTTAGGAGCAGCACAGCAGCCTGCACCTCCACATTTTGTGGTAGAAATCAATAAAGGCAGAGCTGTTTTCTGACAGACGCAGAGGACGTTCCAGTCTGAGCGCATGACTGGAAACAGTGACGGGAACCAACTTTGATGAAGCTTTGGGAATTGGAGGGGAAAAAAAACAACCACTTTTTCTACTTTTTATTGTTACAGGAAAATCCTGGATACAATTAGATGGAAAATCCGACTTTATTTAGGTTCTCAGAGTGCAATGTCGGTGTCTGTGATGAGTGGGAATCAAACAGATGAACACAGAAGACAGAATGAACTGACAGCCAATAATTAGTGTCATATTAGACATATTAGTCATATTAGAATTAGGTAAAAACAATCTCCCCACAAAAGTTCCGCTCCTTGTTTTGTTTTTATTTTATTCTATTTTCTTATGAAACCAGTCTGTGTTGTTTAAATGGAGCTGTGTAAAAAAGCCTTTGCTTTCCTTTAGGGCTGTTTCTATAACTGAATAGCTCTGTCTACGGAGGTCCAGTCACTGTGATCAGCACAGATAACAGATAATAAAGGGAAGGCATTGAATTGGATGGGTTCTATGGATGGGTTTCGAGTGTGTTTATTGGGTGGATAAAACGACAGGATTTTCATTTCTATCTCTGGCATTCTCTCCTTTGAGTCCCTCTCTCTGGATTTAACAGGGCTCTCTTTGCTTTCTTTCCCTCTGCCCATCATATTCTCTCTGCACTGTTTACCCTTTTTTTCTCTCTCTGTGGATTTTATTATATTACCCCAGCCATCCTCTACCTCCATATTTTCCTTTTGTTCCATCTCTGGCTATGTCTGTATCATGTTCCTTTTTTTCTCTTTCTCCTCCCTTTCCTTTTCTTATCTCTCCATTCTGAGGCAGTGGTTTAGTTTACAAAAATATCCTCTTTTTTGTTTTCCTGTTTTACTCTTGAGGAGTAGCACCAAATAGCCAAAAATGTCCTACTTTTATGCAGCTAGAAATATCTGGTCTGGTTGTACAAAAGAAGGCGATCATTATTTGAAATTACAGAGCATCACACTTTCATCTCTGTATTCACCTCTCTGAAAATATCAAGCAAAGCTTTTTACCCAGAGTCAGAGCTGGGCTCAAGTAATGTAAGAGAGAGCTTTTACCTGACTTATATTAGCCTGATATGTTTTCCCCCCATCCTGACTTGAACATTCTCTCTTGGAGTAGAGGTTCAAATTATGGTCCAAAGATGGCAGCAACAGAGGACTGGGAACTAGCTGTGTGGTCCACTTCCTCTTTTATTTTTCAAGTAGCATCTTATTTTTTCTTGACTCTCACCTTCTGGGTAAATATCTGTCAAACTGTAGTCTTTGTCTTGCAGAGCTTCTGCCATATTCATTCTAATACGCTTTCTTGTTTATTGGCAACTTGAGTATTACCATGAGTCTTCAATAAAATAATCCTTGAGTTTTTTTTTTTTCATCTGTTCTGCATTTGAGGTGATGTAATTGTAGATTAAGCACAAAGAAGCATGGAAAATTGACAAGACACAGCATTCTGTGCATCCATTTTGCTTTTGGGTTAAGATTAAAGGTTTTACAATACCGGGGGCTTCATCAGCTCCAGGGCCTACAACATTTCTTTTCCTCTTTTCTTGCATCACGTCGTCGTATCATTTCGTCAGCGTCCAGTTGGTCACACACGTTGGGGCACACTGGAGAGGTCACACATCCCTTATGACCTGGAAACACCTTTGAGTCCCCCTGGTGGAGACAAGTGTGTCAGTGTGTATTGGATGGATGGATTGATTGATTGATTTTTTTTTTCCCACTCAATATTGGTGACCTAGTCCTCAAGCTGCACATGCTGGCTTTTAGTCATGAACTATCCCTTTATAGTTGTATATATGTATGTATATATATATGTGTGTGTATATATGGTGGGATTTCCTTTACAGCTTTTGGGTGGACTTGTACTGTCTATCCATTTGGCATCAACATGGCTTCTGTTTGATTAGTCGTGTCATAGTACAGTGAAATACATCACTAAAGGTGAGCCTCCACTGGAGAGGACACTTGGGGGATCTTTGGCTCATATTACCGTACTTAAAATGTGGTTGTAAATTAGTTTGACTCTTACACCCGCTGAGAGACTTGTCCACATTTATCTTCTTGATGCGACAAGTTCAGTTTTTTTTAGCTGATAATAAAACAATAAATAGACTAAAATAAATAGATAAAATAGAACAACAAAAAAACAGCCAGAGGCACTTTGAGATAATCCGGTTTTTCTTCTGAGCTGTTTTTGCACTACATTGTCCTTTTCACTGCAGATTCCATTGTTTTGGATTATATAATATGTTGCTGTTTTGTGAAGGAAAAAAAGAAAAAAGCAAATGTCCAAAATCAACTAATGCTTTGCTGCTGTTGTTGTGCATCATCCTCCAAATTTGTAACTCCAGCCTACTTTTGCACACACGCAAAAACCACAGCAGCGCATAAAGCTTTGTGTCATTAGCAGTAAGGAAGTACTGCGTTGCGTTATGACCTGCGGCTGGAGAAGTGATCGCACTGTCAATTAGTCTTCACTTCTTCCACTAATTATACCGTCGGATTCTATTGATGCACTAAAGCGGTTCAAAGGGGAAAAACAGCCTCTAGCTCTCTGTTTCCGGAGCCAAAAGGTCAACAAGCTGCTTCAAATAGTCAACAGATAGTAAAGATACTTACACCTGGTGGCTCTGTGGATAAAAATGGTCAGAGGTGGGAGTGCTGATAGGGTATTATTTCTAAGTCTGCTGGGTCCATCCCAGGACTGAAAGGCTTTTCAGGCTTCGTCCTTGAAGAAATGGAATGATACACAGCATCATTCTCTGTCAGGTCCAGAGAGCATGTGTAACAGAAACTCCAGACCCATCAGTGGGCTCCTGCACTAATCATTCATTGATGTCAGAATCCGACTAATAATCCAACTCAAAGAGGGAATAATCCTATTTTGTTTTAGCTTGATCTGAATATCTCTTCCTTTGACTTTTGATTTTCACTTACTGTTGACCACTTAATGCTTGCACATGGGCTCTGAGGTTCATTTATTTAGTCACCTTAGTCACACCCTGGGCATTGGTAAATATTCCCAGTTTACCCTGAGTCAGGCATGTTTGCAATGAATAAAGCAACAATTTGACACCAACAAAACTAACAAAACAAACCAACACGAGGAAACGATCGTTTAGTCTGTGTTAACAGACTGGCCCATCATGATCCAATCTGGTGACAACGGTCTTCATCGTAATGAGCAAATAAAGGTGTTGAATAAACAGACACTAAAGCTCAGTCTTAGTGTCTATTTTACTGCTTGTGTGCTCATGAAAGGGGGTGTTTTGGAGAATAACAATGCATGATGAATGAGGAGTTTGCTCTGCTGAAGGGGGCCTATTAATGTACCGCTTAGTTCCTCCTCATAATTTGTCACACGCTGTACACACCTACTCAGAATGGAGGTAATCTCTGAGATAATTTTCCTACATCGGTTGTTTACATGGATAAAAGTGATAGGTTTGTTCAGTTTTTTTTTTAGACCCCAAAATGGAAGATTTTAAAAAACTATTATAGTTTTGGCTCCTCTGCATTATTGGCTGGTAATATTGCTAGCCTGCAACACACACAAACGTATCTGGAGAAATGCAGACATTAGCTTATCGTACGGGGCCAATGAGAGAAGACCGATGCCCCACATAGGCCGTCTGCCTGCAAAGATAAGGGTCAAAACGGCCATTCAGCGAAGCTTCAACAATAGAAATAAGAGCATGGTATTTAGTATTAACACACACTGAGTTTGACGTTTGTCCGAGGAAAACTTGATATGTTTTTAATTATTGTGGATGTTGAGACTTTTCCCCGCTTCGACATAATTTGTTATTTAGGAAAGGCATCTTTATTTGTATCACACATTTAGTGTACGAGACAGTTCAAAATGCATTACATAGAGCATATGCTTTACAGATTTTTTCAAGGCATTACTTAATCAACTAACATCAGAAGCAGATATTTAAAAAAGATCAAAAAGGTAATATGGGTGAACATTGTTGATTAATCTTCAGAATTTTTTTAAAAGAGACTATTAGAGATCGTCTGATGCATTTGGGTTTTTATGAGCTGTAATGGCAGTGATTTTTAAATCTCTGTTTACTCAAATTCCTTTGAAATTGACTTCTTTACACACCTTATTACCCTTTCTCTTTGCAAAGTAAAAGTCATGTCATGTCATGTTCATGAGCCGATTAGTACTCCTTTGGGAACATTTTTTTCAAGACTTTGTGCTCACATTTTTCAAATATGTGCCATTACAAAATAACAGTTGATAAGAGTGTAGAAATATTCCATTGATATTCCAATTGACAAGATACATTTTTTCATTTAGAAAAAGTCATTATTGCTGCTTTATTTCTGACCAATTTTCCTCTATATGTTTTCTTTTTGTCTATTGCAGCTCAGCAGATGAGAAGTTTCGCTGGAATAATCAAGGTAACTTCCCATCCTAATTCTGACCTCCGATAGTTTGCATGATCATCATTTATTGACAGCCACTTTCATTTTGTATTTTAAATTCACTGATCAAAATTAATTTTAACTACCAGAGTTAAAATGAAAAGATAAATAATTAAAAAATGTGTCCTCCATATTTAAACTCACTCTGAAGGATCTCTTTCTCTCAAATTCCCTTTGTGCTCCTTTTGGAAAGCTCAATATGGGTCAAACCCCATTTTTAAATCATTCCCAGCAATAGTCTTGATATGATATGATATGATTTGTTAACAAATATGACAAATATTCACACTCTGAATTATTGAAGTCAAACTAAACAACTCTTCAGGGTTGAAAATTCCTTTTGACAGCATTTTCTTAGAAAAAGCTTCACTTTGCTCGTATTCTCTGCTTCCTCGTCAGTCCGGCCAAAATCTATAGGCTGTGTGGAGTAGGTTCACAACCTCTGCCAGGAAGAGGTGGCAAACACAACCAAAGCCAGAGGTTCTGCTGGGAGGGTTTCACTGTCTGCTTTAACTGCCCAAACTGCCGAGCTCAGAGAGGCTGGATTTATTTACCAGGAAAACCCTTCTTCTCCCCAGTCAGACCTTTTGATCTCATCATCGCTCACAGATCGATAAAAACCAATTGCTACAGAAAAAAAGAAAAAAAAAGAAAAACTTCTGTCTTTTCTGTGTGAGCTTTGAGAGTAAATCCGGAGCGACGTCACACGGCCGTGGTGATGTTTTACCAGCAGCATCATCAGTCACAGGCAATAAAACAGGCCTCCTAAATCCTCTCACTAAGGCCACAACTATTATCGTTTCTCTCCCCATCTCCGTAAGAGATTAATGTTGCCTCTAAGGCTCATTTGTAAGCTTTTATCCTCCTTGGCAGGCCTCTCTGACTGGAAGACACTGGGCATGCTGTCCGTCTATCTGACACACAAACCGCTGGGATCTAAGTACAAGGCAGAGCTCAGTCCCACCAGATTTGTTGCTAGTTTATCTGTTAGGTTTTCACCGTGACCTGCAGCTTACCCCAGTGTGCTGGATTGTGATGAGATGTCAGTAGAGCCACTTCTTTAGTAACTAATTAAAAGCTGAACAAGAATCCGTGTTACACGTTTATCCATCTAACACAATTACGTTTTAATTAGCTGTAGTAGACAGTTTCTTAATCCCATTTACTTAAGTGCTGTTTCACATGTTTATGTCTGAGATGCATATATTTAAACTTTTATGGTTGTGGACTAATCAAAAGGGCATAAACGGTTTTCTGCCTGTCATTGTGCATTGTTTGGCAACAATGACACAAAATGGCCTTACTTGGCCCACAAACGTATCCCTAATATAATTTATTCTTAACATGGTTTCCTGTACTTGAAATGAAATGTTGACAAATCTTGTCAGTTTTTTTAGCAAAGTCAATACAACACAACCATGATCTTATCTTATTAAACAATGTTAGACGGTATATTTGTGCATATCCAGTTCCAGTCACCAGTTTGGCTTCCTTAGCTAACCACTAACCCTAACCCTAACCCTAACCCAGGATGGGAATTAAGAGCCACCATATCTAACCTCATGGCAACAATCCTTCTCTGTTCCTGGTCAGACTGAGGTCATATAACCTCCCTTATCCAAAGCGACTTACAAAAAAGGGGGTTCAACATTCACATACTGATTGGTGCAATTGTGAGGGATAAGAAGAAGATAATTACATCAAGTTTTGTTGGTGGCGTAATGATTAACAATGACTGAAAGAAACTCTTGAAGTCATTAACAGTGTCCGTATTTCTTCTCTCATTTCCTCTTTTTCTTTTGATGCACGTGAAGATGGACAGAAGGACATAGAGGAGGAGCTGACGACGGGGCTGGAGCTGGTGGACTCCTGCATCAGATCGCTCCAGGAGTCGGGCATCTTGGACTCACAGGACACGTCTACAGGGGACAGTAAGAGACCGTTGTCTTTGTTCTGAGTGAGCGAGTCTTGGTTGTCTGTTTCCTTAAAGAAGAGAAATATGTGGAATAGTTATAAGTGAAAGAAAAACTAAACCTTTTGGTCTGCTTTGAGTCCACTCGATTCTGACAGGGCTAAATAAAAATCCATTTGAAGTTAGTTTTAGTGTTTGGGAAAATTAAAGGAGAATGCGGACAGACCAACGAGACAGCCCTCTACCTTCATCATCAAAACACCATAACAAAAAGCTTCTATCTTTAAAAATTCTCCAGAGAATAAATCCAGAGGGCTTAATAGTTGTCAAAGAGAACTAAACCGCTCCATGTGCTTCGATGCTTCTTCTCTGATATTTCTGCTATCAGTCCAAGAGATGATACCCTTGTCTGTGCTGGATCCGACCCCATGGGAGGGCGGTAGCTGTCAGCAGACATGCAGAGCGGTGCCAGAGGTTTGATATGCTAATCCATGCTTGCTGAGATGTCAGCTGGCCCGCTGCTCACAGTGCAGAGGGGCGGCGCTCCCAGAAACATGCAGCTACACATGAAACCATGGCCGCGTGCACGGAGACAGGAGAAATAAGCTCAGTGCACCAGCACACAGGGAGGAGCAGGGAGGCAGCCAGGTGAAAAAGCCTCGCATGCAACCGCCATCGATCCAACACTCACACCGCATCACGAATCTGCACTCACACGTCTGCAACACTGCTGACAGTATTTGCGAAATCTATAGCATTCAGAGAACAGTTATGCAACCAACCACCTGACTAGTCTCAGGAAGAAAAAAAAAAGAATGAATACACAGATGGTAGTGTGAATGCAACAAGAGAAGAAGAGGAGAGAAATGAAAAGGAATAAAAAGATACAAAATTATAAATGACCGTTTATTGCACGCTCATCTTCTTAATGTTATTTGTGAGTATAACAAGACACAATATGTGTATCAACATTTATGTCAGGAGTAGATTTAATCATTTTTTCTCAATTAAGAGGAATTAGCTGTTGTCCAATGTGGCAACTCACTGCATTCAAACGCTGTGTGATTGATTTGGACAGCTCCCATGTTCATCATTCGAGTTATCAGGCAAAAAACAAAAGTCAGTGAACCCTTATTAGCTGTTTTAGTGTCAGTTACAGTCGCACACACCTCCCACTTACCTTGTGTCCTGTGTAGTTTGTAATTCAGATCTCTTTCAGGACGCTTGTGTGAATGTTTTCATGTCTTTTGCTGGCATTAGCAGCTCTGTCTTGCTTATTCTTAAATATGATAGTTTATACTCTCAACTGACCTCTGTGTTAGCATTTAGTATGGTCAGTTAATATTGTCTTCATGGGGACATGAAAATAAAAAGGCTTTTAGAAATTAAAAAAAGTCCTTGAATATTGTCTTGAAAGGTTGATTTTTTTGTAAGAATACTTAATGTTACATTTACTCAAGTAGTCATTTTAATAGAATTTTCAACACCATGTTTAGATGATCTAAAGCGGTGTGACAATTTTGCTGGTTTCTATTTAATTAAAGCCCCTTGAAAACTTGAAAATATTTTTCACCTCATCTCATTTACTTACCTATTCTAGGTCATGTGGTATTTATTTCATTTATTTATTTCAAAGAGCAAAAACTGCTTAAACTGTTCCATCTCATGCACGAACATATGCTCAAATGCTTCCACATCAGACAAGTGTAAGCATTCAACAGCCATACAGCGATAATGAGGATGTTCATGCACACGGGCGCATGTCACACACGTGTTTGCGTCAGCAGAACCGCCGCTTCACTTGTATGCAGAGCAGATTAGTCCAGCACAGCAGCAGAGAGCAGCGCGCCTCCTCCCGCCTCGTGCTGGTGAAGCTCGCCAGCGTGCACGTTAATCTTTTTGGAAGGCGTTTTTATGCGCGCAGTTATTTGAGACCGTGCGTGCACTTTAGTGTGCGGGTTCCTCACTCAACATGTCTCAGCAGGATATCTGGAACCAAAGAGGGCAACAAATTTTCTAAAGTGTCTACGGAGGGGATCTGAAAATAAAAACTCTCAGCTTTACATCCGAGGCAGTGACAGAAAAGAGAAACGCTTCTCAACATTTTTTTCCCAGTCAGAATGCACATGACTGTGTGTGCGTGGTATCTCTGGATTTGCTGTTTCCGCACGCATGAGATCACAAGGCAGATGTCAATCAAGCGTGTGTGTGTTAATTTAAGTCTTAATACTATGGATTTCTCAAAAAAGCAAAGGTTTAGGTTTTCCAATGATACTCCACCCAAATGCCTCCACCTCTTCCTTTCCACATCAGATGGTTTTGCTTCAGCCTTCCATGTTTAACATCTGAATATTATGCTAAAGGAGGACTTTTGATTGCCGGAAGGCTCCACAATCCCGATGAAACACACCTAAAGTGGCAAACAAAAACTGTGGAAAACATTGCCCGGCTTGGAACACGCACATTTGGGTCCTTGTGCAATTATGTGTGAGTGTGAATCCATGTGAGACAGCCCTGCAGCAGAGATTCCTCCAACGGTGATGTGTTTTTTATACATGAGTGCGTTTGTGTGTACACTTAACCAAGAGGAGCCTACACCAGGCTTCGACCCAGTAAAGGCATCCCGGACTGTTAACTTTATATCACATTTTAAATAATGCACAACCACCAGCTTTATGGGCAGAAGGAGTTATTGACTGTATTTCAAAGTGCCCTTCCGGCCTGCACCAGCTTTATTTTGCAACACTCATTTAGAGTGATCCTTCTGGCTGTAGGGCGCTGACTCAATCTGTGCCATGCAGCGGACGCTAACCGCTGGCACCAAGATTCCACTCTGTTAATAATCACAAACAAACCATTCCTTCCTCTCCTATGCCTTTTGTGGCGTGATGTTGTCTGCTGGCAGAGAAAGTGACATCAATAGAAATAAAGGAACCGCTTCTGTTGACAGAGGAAACTCAGAAACTCATTTCGGAGCACAAATATTGAGTGTGAGGAATTCATAACGGCACGCAGACTTGCTGAATGCAGTAACGTGTTTGCTGAAAGGCATGGGCAGGAACAATGCAGGGGCTGCCCTGTGTGTGCACAGCTGCAGAATGAGTGTGTTTCTGCAGCCACTGGGGGCATGTGATCTTTTCCAAGTGCCAACAAAAAGTTGTCCCAAACAGTTTAATCTCTCTAATTAATGCTGTATATCTCACACATCAGTGCTATCATGGCCAAAAGGGAATTAATAAAGTGTGCATCAAACATTAAAAAGCTCTTCAATAAGAGGGACATGAGAGTGTTGGCTCTTGTACAAGTATCTCCTGCCCTCCTGTCCTGTAATCAGCCGATTAAGTCCATTTCACTTCAGACGTCTTTGAATATCCAGGCATAGCTCACATTTCACTAAACGGTCTGAGGCCATGAGGAGTTTTAGGGCACATCCACGCTGGAGATGAAATACAATAGCACACAAAGTGAGTCTGCACCTAAAACTACCAGTGAAGCATTTGGAAATTAGACTAAGACGGTTCAATTGACACCAGAAAGAACAATCATTGTTCAAAGTGCATGTAAACATGTTAGTCAGATTACTTTGGAGGGAGGTTGGTAGGTTTTCACAAGATTTATAATTTCATGATTTGCAAAATCATGATCCAGACAGACAGACAATCCATCCAATCCAGGTTAAGCAAAAGATGATAGTAGTACTGTTTGATAAGCAATTTGTTGCATCAGGTTAAGTTAGTCTTCGAAGGAACAGAAGAGATTTGTCTTGTTTGTTTTATTTTTCCCTTTTTATTGTACATGTCTGTTATGCCTCTGTTTGGATCCAGATAAATTAAAGCTGATGTACAGTATGTTTTCATTGAGGTGCGTTAGTTAAGATGTTGTGAGAATTGGTCACATCACTTTATCCTTTTATTTTTATTTCAAATCGAAGTGAATGAGCAATTTTCTTAAGCTTTTTTTCTGAGTACTATGCATTATTATTTTTATTATTATGAAATTAAAAGTTGCAATTATCTGTAATAAAATGGGATGGGAGTGGTTTTATTATATTGTGAGCAGCGTCATTCTTTCGTTATGATCTTTTTTGCTTAAATACATGCAGAGATGGTAAAAAATAAATAAAGGGGATGTGTAATAGAGGATGAGATAAAGGCAAAGAGAGGAAAAAATCTTGCAGAATGTGTCATTTTGACAGGTCAGGAATGGAGGGATATTTAAGGTTCACAGAGCATTAGAGCAGGAAGCGGGGGGGGGGGGGCTGACTGGAATAACATAGTGGGTTAAAAGCAAATGGCTCCGTCAAATGGAAGAACAAGGAATTTCGTTTAATTCAACTCCAGCTTTCTTTCCGCTTTTCCCTTCCTGTCCTCTTTGTTTCATTTCAAGGTCTGTTACAGACTGAGATTCATACTGGTTGTATTCATGTTCATTCTCTTTCCCAGACAAAAGAATTATATTGTATAACCTGTGGAATGCACACTGGGTAAGAGAACATCTTCAAGGCCATGAACAGAGTGAAGTTGTACCAAAGAATGACTGGTAGAGGATATCGAGTGTCTGAACGCAGCTATGATATTGACTTCTATTAATATATATCTATATAGATATATATAGATATATATATATCTCTTTATATATATATGAGAGAGGAGGATGACTGTATAAACACAGCTTTGTTCACGGATGTAAAAGTATGCTTATGCATTCGTATTTATGATGCATGTTAGAAAATGGACGCGTAGATATATGTGTGTAACCATCGAGTGAAGTTTTTGTCAGTGATCAGAGTTATTATTTTGGTTTTAAACTTGTGATTTCACAATCACGTCGAACTCCTCTTGACTTCGCTCTCTCTGGCCTGGTCACTAGAAACAGAAGTTGGCATCTTGTGTCTGGATAGAACATATATGTGTCTTTTAGACATTTGTCTGGCACATGTAGGATGTATTTTTGTAGTTTTTGATTCCTGAAGCCAGCCAAGGACAATATTTGCAGAAAGATACCAAGCTCATAAGTAGTAGGATTTTTATTACTGTGACCGAGTTACTCTCACAGAAAGACTAAAGAATGAGATGCTGAAAGATTTCCTCCTTTGATGTCGCTCAACTTTGTTTTATGCTATTTTAAGTCTTTTCTGCTTTCATTTTTTCCCCATCAGGACAAGGACTACTGTCCCAAAGCGCCTTGCAGCTCAACAGCCAGGATGCCTATGCGGCCGCTGGTTACCATAGTAATCAAGGGATGGCGCTGGGGGAACCGGTTCCAGGCCGCACGGGCCAGGTCGGGGGGGCAGTTCACAGCTACAACCAGGTCCACACTCTCACTCTGACCCCATGTATGTCCTCCTCTGCCAGACCACAGGTGACCAGACTCACCTGTCTGTCTGTTTCCCTCCTCCCTCTCCAGGTGACATCCAGTCGTGCAACAGCTCAGTTACTGGGCACAGACTCTCCCTCCCAGTCCCAGAGAGACTCCTTTGCCCAGCAGGCCCTCGGCAGCAGCTTCCACATGTCCACCGAGGGCGGACCCGCCGGACACGCTGGACCGTCCATGTACTACTCCTGTGCCACTTTACCTGCACAGGTACCACTCTGTTTCAGTTATTGTCTACAAACAAGCAGAGAGAAAGCTCTCTGATTCCCAGAACTTCTTTTTATACCTAACAACAGCATTTGTTGACATTTTTGGATGAGTTAATTTGATATTGACGTTCCGTGAGTAATTCTTTTCTGAGAACTACACAGCGTATTTGTCAGTCCTCACTTATCCAAATGGATTTTAGTTTTGCAGCGGCAAGACATAAGAAATATTATTTCCACTTTTGCCAGTGAGACAAAAAATACAGTGTTGAAATTCTCAGTAAATGTTTTTTTTTCTTATCTCTTCATAATTAAAAGTTGATGTCAACCCCTTTGTGTTGGGTTTGATAACCCTCAGCTCTTCCTCTGCGGGCTGTCAGAGATCAGAACTTCTGCTCTCTGGTTCTCCTGCTCTGGGGAGTCGGGGTGGGGGGTTCACGTCTCTGAAAATAATGATATCAACAGAAGAAAATGGATGAATTTTTAAACGTGCATACCCCTCTAATGAAGCACACATGGTCTTCCCTGTTCCAGCGCGTGAGCTCTCCTCTACAGGCGGTGGGCTCCCCCACCAAGCTGCAACGCCTGGGATCCGCCTCCGCCGACATGCCCAGCTACGCCACGCTACAGAGGGTGTCCTCGCCAAAACAGTCCCCCAGCCGACTCGCCAAGTCTTACAGGCAGGTCCCGGCTCTGCCTGACCGATGTGGTCACACCCGCTCTGCTGTCGGAGACAGAGGGTCAAAGGATTCCTTCCTGCTCCACTGCACAAAAAACCTAAACGCTCACTTTTCAAATGTTGAAAGTACAGGTAGAGAAGTTTTGACCATTTTGAAATTTGGCTGAGATCGAAAATAAATCAATAAATCAATGAATCAATCAATAAATCAATAAATCAATAAATAAATAAACAAATAAATAAATAAATAAATAAATAAATAAATATGTAAATAAATAAATAAATAAATGAATAAATACATTTAGCTGGGATCATCATTTGCCCCTAACCAAATCACTTCTCAACCAAACTGCATGTTCCCTATTTACATGTAACCATGTCTTCCCACACTTTTCACAGCTCTTTTGAAACAGAATCTGGGTGATCTCACCAGTTTTTGTCCATAATCTGTGTTCCATCTGAAGGATAATTGTTGTGATGTGGCGCTATATAAATTAAATTGAATTGAATTGAATTAATTTTAATTTTGTATTGTCCTTGTCTGAACGTGTGTTTGGACTGATTTTGTATTTTGTGATTTTGTGTTGTTTGGTCTTCCTGCCTCAGGGCGACAGATGTAAACTAGCAACTATGCTATAATCTTTCTCATTTACAATCTGTATGAGATTGTTCATTAATGTGCACTGTCCTGATTAAATAAATAAATAATATGATCATGCTATTGCTCTGTTCTCCCCTCAGCACCTCGTCGCCCATCAACATGGTGGCGTCCGGTGCTGCCGGTTCCTCCTCTCCGCTCCCCATGGCCGCCTCCCCGGGGGGAAACCACGCCTCCTCGCCCCTTCACCAGCTCAGCTCGGCGGTGGGGAGCTACGCCACGCTGTCGCCCACCAAGCGCATGCTGCACCACATGGGGCCGGACGGCTACAAGATCTCCCACGAGCTTTACGCCAACGCCACCCTGCAAAGGCCTGGTAGCCTGGCAGGTAGAGGTCAAGACCCTTTCATTACTACTTCTGTGTGTGGTTGGTGTTCATGTCCTGATTTGAATTCTGGGAATTATGCTAAATCACTATTGCAACAGCTTCTTTTCTCTTTTTTCTAGCGGACCAAAGCTGCCATCCATCTGCTATCTTTGTGTCATTTTCAGATGTAGTTCTCCCACATTAACTTCCATTAAACTGTTTTAATCAAACACCCGATCATCGGCTTTTGTAAAACCAAAAAGCAGCACATATTTTCATATATGTAAATAAATTGGCAGGAGGATTAATCTAAAATTCATTAGATCAGAAGAACACAGTTGTGTTAGTTGTTTGTTCTCTAATTGTTTTTATCAGGATCGAGACGTTTAAACCCGCTGAGGTTTTGCCTCTGTTCTGGGACTTTCTAAATGTCCAAGAAATGCATTTTTCATGATTCTGATGTGCTAAATGTGCTCAACTTTTAAGAAAAGTATTTCTATTAAGTAAAATACAGTTGAATGGCTGTTTGCTTGATTCATTGTGTAACCATAGCAAACGCAGTCTAATAATCATGGCTTTTTAGAATGAAATCAAGGATATTGTGCACTTATATTTGTTTATTTGTCGTTCAAAAGCACTTCCACAAAAGTGAGCATGTAAATCTAATCTCCATATTCTGTTCTGTAGGCTCCAGAGGTTCATATAGCAGCCAGCACAGTCACCTGGGCTCCGAACTGCGACCCCTTCAGTCCCCTGAACACCACATCGACCCAATATACGAAGACAGAGTCTACACCAAACCCAACCTCAGAGGACAAGGTGAGAAGGCATCACATGACACAAGAAAAGAAAAAAACAATGTTTCAATCCTCCAGTTCGTAGCAATCATTGGTGCAGCTGAAATTGAACAAACTCCTGCATATGTTTTTCTGTTCAAATAAAGGGTGCCAGTGCTTTTTTTCTGGGTTTTACTGCTTTTAATAAAACCCAGCCACATGTTTCAGCAAGAAAATTGGTTATTGATTTTAATCTCGATGTAGATTTTGGACGCTGTATTGCTGATTTTCCAACATGGGACTCAGATGTTGAAAGCAAATGAATTCCTATTCAAAACTCTAGAACTACCTAGAACTGCTTCCCTGGTTTTATAAAAGATTGGAACGAAACAAAAAAGATAGAAACTGAAGTTCTACCTCTATCATCCTGGTTTGTTAATGAATTACGAGGCATATTTTGTATCTCACAAAGCAGTTACAATGGTACCTGTGGTAAAAGAAAAAGGGGGGTAGATTAAAGAAAATCTGTAAGATATCTACTTGCTCGCTGGTAATAATGAGACTAAGAAGATTGCTGGGGGGAATCAACTATATATAGCTGCACTGTGTTCTAAATCACACATTTACATTTGAAAGTGAGATAAAAAAAAGTCACTTTGAGATTCTTTTAGAATAACAATGAAAAGGAAATAAAGATAAATGCTGTGGAAAGAAACAAATGCACTCTGGTCCCACTCATAAACTTGTTATTTGGAGGTGTTGTTGCATTTAAAGCTCGCACGCGTTAGAGATTTTCTTGTTCCATCTGATCGTGTACGACAATTTACCAGATCAGGTAGGTAAATCCAATTGGGGTCTCAATGGCAATTTGTCTCTCAGTCACAGTCTGTTAACTAATTAGTTTCAAGACTGAAAATTAATCTCAATTAATCCCATGGGTGTTAGCCTGGGTGCTTTGCAATCAATGTAAATCAAGCGTGTCCTGAAAGGCTGCTGGTGCTGTGCCTCTGGTTTTTGGTGTTTCTGTGGAAGGAAATGCAGAGGGAGGAAGAAATGCTACCACGTCCCAAAGAGGTTCTAAGCTATAGAGTTTCAGACAGATTATTTAAAGGATTTGAAGTCATATTTGTTATGCTGGAGCTCACTGATAGGCCACTTTGACGGATCAAATGAGCTCAATCATCGCCTCTTCTGGGCCTGTGAGTGAGAGTGGCGATAGCAGCAGAACCAAACATTATCTGTCAGAGGCAGTCTGGCCGCTGCATTCTGGCCATTTAAGGTCAGGCTTTTTAGTTTGAACACGATAAACAGAAATGGAAACAAACGGGTGGTAGTTGGGCCTTGATGAGGTGCCTGTAGTTATCCAACACAACAAAATGACCCGGCTTGTTTACCATCTATCAAAGCAGTGTGTCTGGAGTGAAAAGTGCCTTTTAGTCTTGTCTTTACATTAGAAAAAAAGAGAGAAAAAGACTTGAGCAACTGATAAAAAACCCTGTTTATTTGGAACAAGAAAGAGGAAATAGTGTGGACAAATTAGCAAATGCATGGGTGGGTGGAATGGGTACTAGAAAAGAGAGCTTTTTAGTTTTTATTCAAAGTGACTGCATAAACTTTAGAGAAGACGATATGCAGGATATGCATTTTTTGTGAGTTATAAATCATTTGCAGATGTGACTTGAAAGGGATTTTTCAGTTATTTCCTGTCATTAAGATGGGTCCTGTTAGGAGCTAATGAGCATTCAGTGTCTTATCAGTACAAGAAAGCTGTCAGAGCTCCTCTATTTGAGGAAGCAAGGAGCATTTATTATTGGGGGTTTAATCTAATGACTGCACAGAACACAGCCATCGGAGAATATTCAGCCCCCTCAACATCCATAGCTGTTTAATCGAACATGTACAAGGGGATTTAAAAAATAAATCTTTAACATGCCACTTTTGCACCAATTACTTACTCCATCTGTACATTTCCATGTTTGTGCCACATGACTCTGAGCTGTGATGCTCAGCTTTGTCTCATCACAGACTAAAGATGTCTACATGTTACTGTAGAACTCATGCCGAACATCAAACTGTTACAGGCTTTAAGTGTTTGTAGTGGTGAAAATCCTCTGTGGCTTTATTCAAGTAACTCAGTCTAACTCAGTATGACGAGGAAATGTCATAAATCACAATTTCCTCCTCGGTTAAAAATGTAGCAAATACACTAAAAATATTAAAAATGGCTACATACCTCCTCTGCATGACAGCTCAGTGATATGCTTTAGTTGGTCTCACTGGCCTATTTACAGTGAAGCCTATAGTTATTACGAAAAGTTCTTTCATTTATTTATTTTTTAACTAAAAGCAATGCTAATACTAAAAATGTAGTTTAATCTCACAGGCAGCATCTCTTTTGTTTTGTTTTTTAAAACTTTATTATTGGCTATTTTAGTTTTTAAGGATCATTTTTGTCATTACAAAAAAGCCATCTTAGGACAGCCTGCCAAGTTTTATGTTACATCTTCTTTGGACTTTTTTTCTCTTTAATTTCTTCTTCCATTTTTCTGCTTCTAAGTTAAATTACTGTGATTGTCTTTTTCAATTGAGAAATGAAATTTCTTGGTGAGTTGAGCTCTTCTTGTTTCCTGAAGTTCCCCCACCTGTTCAGTTGAATTTGTCTCTCCAGTGTGCTTTAATTCATTTGTCTTTTTCATTTTTCCCCCTCGTTCCGCTGGTGTGGTTGCTTTTTACTACCCCTGGTTGTTTATCTGCACCCTTGTGTTGGGGATTGTGTTTGGTCGTGATATCTTTATCCTCCACCCCCCCCCCCCCCCCCCCCCGCCTTTCCCCCCCCCCCCTCCCCCCCCCCCCCCCCCCCCCCCCCCCCCGCCCTTTCAAATCCGCCGCCTCTGACCCCAGTGGTGAACCAGCTGTACCAAGAGGTCCTCAACTATCTGTTTTATCCCCACACTCCTCTCCCCGCTCTAGCCCCGTCCTCTCCCGGTGTTGATCCGATCCCGTTGCAGCGAACAGGAAGTCAGAGCACCACTGCCACCTTCCAAAGAGGCAGCTTTGCCACCGGAGGAGGGGTGGCCGACTACGCCAACCCCTACCGCACCCTGCAGTTCTGCCCCTCCACCGAGTCGCCTTACAGCAAGTCAGGCCCCACCCTGCCGCCCGAGGCCGCCCTGGGCCGCTCCCCATCCGTCGACAGCATCCAGAAGGACCCAAGGTGAGGGCAGACATGATTCTGTGTCTCATAATCTGTTCCGGTTTGTTGATGAAGCCCTTCGCTCTGCTCCCTTCCACTTTCACTGCACCTACTGAGGGCCAGATTCACCACAGAAAACGTCATTAATCAAGAAAATATTAGTGTTACATGGCAAAGAAATGCCTTTTATGGAGATTGTGGAGAATCTCAGAGGCAGACCTGTGTGTTTGGACTAAAAGATGCAGCGACTGTCGGGATTTGACTTTCAGACCCGGTGAAACTGGCTGAATCTGGGCTTCAGTATGAAATGCACATCACACCACATCTCTCACTGTCCTCTCCAGTTTGCCTAACGCTGGGGCTCGTTCACACTGTTTGAATGCCTGCTCACACCTCCAGGTCCAATTTCTAACTTCGCTGTCGCCTGTAGGACTGCAGCGGCCCTCTGTCAGTGGCCATCAGTCACGTTGGGTGCATGTGCTCCACACATTTGATGTGGAAAGTCTGCTTTTAGCGGAGCAGAGCTCTGCGTACCAGCGTGGGTGCGCGGTAGAGAGGAAGTGACAGAGTCGAAAAAAAGAGAAGATAAATACACACAACGACAGCTTAATAGCTGTTTCTGCCCTCTCTCTTTTCCCAGTCCAAATCAAGTTTGGAACACTTTTCAAATGTGTCTTTGAATTTTCTGTCTCAGTCTGTTTTTTTTTTTCACGACTAATGACTTCATAGGCACACGCAGCCTCATTGAAGTTGAAGTGTCTCTTTCTGACATTTCAGCTCAGGTGTGAGCTGCTAATGTATATTTCTCCTCAAATAAAAAGCTCCAAATGTAGCTGTCACTGTGTGCTGAATTGCTCATTACGGCATATTTCAACTGGAAATTCAGACTTTTCCCTGCGTTCAGAGGACAGCCGACTCCTGTCTCTGCTGGTATCATCGCTCTTTCCTTCACCCATCGTCCACGTGGTTATTTTCTCTGTGCACATTGCGCTCACATCGTGTGTTTGCTCACTCTCTTGTGGATTCAGCACATTCGACCAGCTGCAGTAAAGAAACTGATTTGCGATGCATGGCATTCTGCTTTATGTCCACCACATGCACACTCAACATCAACGCTATTACCATTTGTAGCCATGTCAGAAGCTTTTTGTCCCCGCTGCTTTAAAACGAGGGTCCCCAAAAAACCATAGCTGTGTGATAACTAAACGACATCCTATTTATGGCTGATTCTTTATCTTTATCTCTGTCAACAAATCCCACTCAGCAAGCCTCAAAACAACTCAGCCTCAATTCTGAGTGTCTGTAACAGCCAGAAAAAGATGTGCAAAGTATTTAATCATGACTTCTGGAGTGTAGAGTGCTGCCAAGGTTTGGAAATCTTAACCCATAAGAACCCAGACACTTTTTTTATATAAAACAACTCTTTCCTGATAAAATCGACCAAATGGAATCCACAGATCCTATTAAAAGAAAAGCAATGACTCGTACTATCACCAAAGATGTCTGATGTTCTATTGGCCACCTTGACCACTGATTATGGTTTAAATAGTTTCACCTGGGTCACGCTGGGTTCTTCTCGGTTAAATGAACTGCTTATGTCTTGGCGGACAAGCAGATAAAAATATTCTTAACCCTTAAGACAGGTTGGCCCACATGTCAACATAGCTGTGGGGGGGTGGGGTGGCCACAGACTGTGACACAGCCACAGCCAAGTCTGAGCCAAAATAGTCCAGGATATTCACTACCTGTCAGTGGTGTGGGCTAATCATTAGTTAGAATTCGGTTAGAGTTTTTAGGAAGCCTGAATCATCCCTTTAGATAAGAACAGGCAGACTTCTATATTGTGAAGAGTCACATGAAACATTGTACCTACTGTTTTCTTGTTTGATTGAGCTGAGACACAACATAAATCATAATGGAACTGTAGTCTGTGCAGTTTCACAACTTAACATTTCCTAAAATAATTTAAACAGAGTCACAAATATTAGTTGTCACCTAGTTGCTATAAATATATCCATAGGTCACAGGTCATATACTATCCAAAACAAACAACATACAGTATTGAGCAATTCACACACACACAGGCTTTAAATAGCGTACCATTTACTAACAGGCTACAAATAGTCATGATTTTTCTATTTTGCTTCTAAAGAATAAACTATTCACCATCACATTTAGTGGGTTTTTTTACATCCACACCAACATTCACCAGCTAAGTTGACTTACAGGCCACCTAAATTTTTTTCTGCAGCATTTTCAATCCAACCGTTTGCTAAAAAATCAACAAGAAAGTGTGTTTTTCCGTCTGTGCTGAGACCCTCTTTTTACCCTCTGTCATGTCGTGTGCATGTCCTCCACCCTACACCTCTCCTGCCATTGCCTGTTAACTCAATGTTAAGAGAGAAAGATGAGTCTAGTGGCTACACATTTTTCTATTTACTAATCATCACTATTATGACCATTCTGAATAATTTGATGCCAGACAGCCAACATATACCTCTCTCTTGTGTCTCTCTGCCTGTCCCCCTTCGATAGGTACGACCCCGAATTCCTTGTGTGGAATCAAAATCAAGCCGAGCAAAGAATGACAAAGTAATCCAACTATTTATTTATGCATATGTACATTTTGTCTATCTATCTTACCTTTGTCTCATTCACTGAATCTCTCCATCTCCTTTATATGGCACCGATATCCGATGCAGTTGTTAATGTTAAAGACAGCATGACATCTCACATTTGTTTGGTCAGCCATGAAGTGGTATATTAAACAGGGAACTGTTTTTAGCGGTACTGTATTCATTTTAATTTGAAAAGTAGATCAGGATTCATTTCAGTATTAAAAATACATTCCCTCAGAACTGAAAGCACATCCAAAGAAACTGGGATTTCTGTTCAAGACCCAAAATAAATTAACTAACTAACTAGAATTTAAGTAATTCAAATATTGATTGGTTTGTTTATGATTTCTAGACATATTAATGTCAATATTCCTCATTCTCTCCTTTGGCTTTCCATCTATTCAGCCATCTTTCCATCCATGTGTGTACTTGTTGGTTAATTCTGTCATTGGTTTGTCGTCACTGTGTGTGTCAGTGGTTTTGTAGCCTGGTTTGTATTGGCTGTGTCCATGTGGCTTGCTCCGTTTTGATTTCAGCGCCCAAGTTTGTTTTTTGTCTCTTTGCTTCTGATCTTTTCATCTTCAGCAGAATGCAAGTACTTGTACAAACTGTTCAACTTGTGCCTCATGTGACTATCTAACCAACAGTACAAGAAACAAACAATAAGCTGACAAAACCGGCATTTACTGGCCTGTTACTTGATGATTCAGGGGAAAACTCAAATTGGATTAATCAGAAGGACAACTAATTCAGGATGTATAAACCGTAAGACTGACACAATCCACAATTTTCACACATTGACAGACCACACACTCATTTTCCTGAGCTGTGAAAACTGCTTTTTCAGCTGATGAAGGATTAGGACGAATAGACTGACACCACCAGTGTTGCAAACTTGGAAATTTCAGCCCCCTCAGTTACTTTATTTTTTAAAGGATATATATCTGCAGTACTACTCTGTGCAAGTAGTGTCTCATGTTTTGGTTGTGCTGGCTGTTTTATTCACATCCCATCACGCACCAAAACTGGCATAATAGCTGGTATTGTGGGGGCTTTGGTTGAGTGGAAGCTGTCCATACATTTGCAAATTTAAAAGATGTGAAGAGCTAAGATTAGTGAAACCTGGTCCAGCTTCACAATCACCTGGAGGACACGTGCAGAAACTGGACATTTAAAAGCATCACAAAACTGCTGAAAAACTAGAAACTGTGTTGTCAGGTGACAGTCGTGATCAAACCAAGTATGATGATGTTTATTCAAAGTCAAAGCTGAATACTGTATAACTGCCAACACAATCTCTAAATCAGTGTAATCAGAAATCATAAAGATGTTCAAAATCAATATGTGGCAGTAAAATAACCCCATTACTGACTCCACTGAAGTGTTACCTAATGTTACTGGTAGCTTTTACTAAAGCAGGATGCTGGCAGAGACCTGATATTTGCCAATGATCATCAAACCGACATGATCTTGCCATATCGTTAGCTGTTCTCATCCTGCTAATGTGCTGATCATTGGTGAATCTTATTTGATATACCTTTAAAGACTAACCATGGGCTAATTAACTAAAAAGTGACTGACAGTTAGATGAAGACTGAGGAAATAAAGAGGCAGAAAAAAGTGAGTGAAAACTTGAAAAGGAAAAGACATTTCTTACTGCGCTGATGAACTCATGGTCACATCCCCACAAATGGATTTGTGCCAGACAGAATCTCACCTGGTCATAAAAGTGTTTTGTTTTATTTTACACACTTAACACTTTGAGTACACTGATTTGTGTGTGTGAGTAAAGTGTATATATGTTTGGTTTTTTAATGCTAACCGTTAAAAAAAATTCTGTGGACCATTGAGCCATGTAATTACACTTTTAAACACACACTGTTCAGATTACACACACATTTTCTCTTTAGTTAACTTGTATTCTGTTATGAGAATTATTTATCAATGCTTTGCCCGCAATTATAAAAATCAGCATTCACTGAATGTGTTTATTCTGCCCCTATTATGTGGGTTTAAAGACTAACCTGAGTTTCCCCGTGACCACTGTGGTCATTTTATTATGATTATCAATGAGCTATTAGCTAGAACAAAGTCAAACTTAGGAAGGTGTAATCAATTTAAATTGAGAAAGTTTTCCACAGAATTTGGAAACAGAAATTGCTAAATTACATTTAGATGAATATGACAACATTTACATATCAATGGAAATCATATTTATCTCATTGTTTTACTGCTAAATTATTTTTGGAAAAAGCTCAGGGTGTAGAACGACAGCTGATGGTGTGAAATCTTCAGAGGTCCCCTTGAGTACATTTTAATGGTGTTACCACTGTGCTGTGTGGCAAAGTCTCTGGTGATGACACGTGTGACACCCACAGCTGGACAGAGCAATGTCCAGGAGGTGTTCTCTCTCCCATTCATGCAACAACATCTCATGCAACAAAATAGCTAATACTCTTATTCAGAACATCGTACATGACAAACCCGGCACGGTTTAAACTCTTTCCCTCTGTTTTCCACCTGCCCTAAATCCGTGAAGTTACCTCTGGATTTAGGGTCTTATACTGGGTAATACCTTTGGAACCCTCAGCCAGCTGCTCAAGCATATAAGCTGCACTCCATGGTACAACATGGTTATTCATCATTTAGTGCCATGAGCACAATCACAGCATCCACACTGTGGAAAATATGCTAAAAATGGTAATTAACATCATATGAAAGACAAACACATGACCAGTGTAATGCTTTCTTATCGTATTCTTACTGCAGCACTCATGATATCAATGATATTCCAGAATAGTTGAGCTATGATACAGTCTCCCCAATTCATCAAATTATGGGTGTCCTAAGAGCAGCACGAGTGGCTTTCAGATTTGTTGTTAGTCCCGTTTCATTTCACCCATTCTGCTAAAGTTTATACACATAATCAGCCTCTTGAAGAAAAGTTTTGACACTTTGCTGTTCTCTTTTTCCTCTGTCAGTTTTACTCTGCAGGTTTGCTCCCAAGCCATTTCACTCTGTTTATCTCCCTTTCATTTTGAAGAATGAGTCATCAGATGCATCTCCATCTCCCCCCGTGACATTTCGCTGTTGGAACTCAGACAATTCGCTTAGTTCAGTTTCTGATTTCCTATTGCGCTGTTCCTAAAAAGCCCTGACTCGCAGGAAGTCCTTCACACTGCAGAGCCTCACCCTGCTTTCCAATCCTAGTATTCATGGATAGATCATACATTTACCACATTTAATTGTCAGCTTGGTTGCGGTATAGTATTGTGTGAAGTGGTGTGAATGTATTGGCCACCCTCACACACAAACACTAGCAAACATTTGTACTGAGCTAGATGACTGCTGATGTGAGATAGCCCACCTGGTTGGCTTTGAACAAAAAGGGGATTCACACTTTGTACTTTGTCCCAGTCCAGTGGGTTGCCTAATGAAACATTAGGGATGGTTTAGTCTGACACACACACGCACTCACACGCACAAAGAGAGTTAAATGTGTATTTTTGAAGAAGGATAATGTCATTTAATACTACAATCCAGTTGGCTTTATTTAAACTGGATCTTCTCACTGTCTGTATTTTTAATATTGAATCTCACTCTTTGAAAGCTGTACTTTCATAACAGGAAACAGAACAATTTGCAGACAAAAGCTGGCTGAAATAACTTTTGTTCGATTAAATTATTCTCTCTATAACTACAGTTATCATATTGGCTCCTTTTTGAGTCGTGCATTTTTGGTTTGGCATTTTAGACCATACAATACAGGTCTGACTGAATAGTCTTTGTTTTTCTTTGGAGACATCTTTAGTGATTCATCAGTACCTGATATGCAACTACAATAACCATAGATCAAATTCTCAAAATTCAAATGTAAGGGGTGTCTTCTCTGTCTGAATGTTTCCATAAGCACAGAAAACTTCAGGAAGTTTCATAACACATGGAACAGACAGATCTGTGGAATGCTCTATATAGAGTTGATGCTTTAGCTTTGCAAAGTGATTAATTTGCTGGTATTTGTGTTAAGATTATTGTGATTTCCCCACACACTGCTTTTTACATATGCCTCTTTGCTGATGATGGTCTTCGTTGCTTTGTCCCCTTACCCATGAAATCAGCCATTGTGTCGGCCAGTCCTGACCACAGGCAGCCTGACCTAACCTTCAACCAATCAGCCTTTAATGAACGCACAGCATCAGGTGGAGTGTTGACAGGGGAGCTCACTTCTGTCTGTCTGTAGAGAGACATACAAACAGTTGTCTGCACGGGCTCTGAATGCCTCAGACTAATTACTGCATGCAGCAATAACCATCTGTGGATGGACGCATTGCAACCTGGTCTTCTTTACTGAAGAAAAAATAATCAGATTCTGATTTTGTATTTATTCTTTTTCAGTATTCAAATTCAAAATTTGCTGATCATACTCACCACATTGGCCATTGTGTCTGCAAATGCTCACATCAGGACAATAGTAACCATTATTCCCACAACTTTAGGCACCCTGAACTCAATCTAACTGTTATCATTAGATTGATTTCCTGCGTAATTATCCTCAAAGGTATTAATTGTTGCTTATGAAGTGACTCAATAATGAATTTAATATTTGTCTTTAATATTTGAGGAGCACTCCCCAGATACTGTCTGTGACATGTTTCCTTCTTAAGGCACCTCAAACATTCTCTGTGTGAACACTTGCCCCCAAGTTCACAGATGGCTCAGTTGTGTTTGCTTACCCCGCTGTGATGTTGCCACACTGTTTTGGGGACTAGCAGCACCATATTTTCCTGTGTTTTCTCTTTTCAGGACTCATACATAATCAGAAAAAGAGAGAGAAAGGCGTTGAGTGAAATGTTCTACCGCTTCAGGCTAGAGTTAGAGAGTGAATGAGCTATTATGGAGCAGCTTTCTGGGGCAGAAAACACACGAGAGAGGAAAGACAGGCTGGTTTAATTTCAACAGTAGTTTGATTGTTTTGTTCCACCTGTTCGAAATGAAGCTTTCTTTGAGATATAACATGTCTGCTTCCATGTTAAGTCTTTTTGATATAGAACACTAGGAAATAATATACTGTGTATATGATCATATTTAATGAATGCAGATATTTGTCTTTGTTTGTGTGTGTGTGTGTGTGTGTGTGCCTACAGTGCTTCACAGCCTAAAAGCTTAGCTTGATTTTGATCTCCTATGATGTGCCACCTTCTCGTGGGAGCTGGGACTATTCTCAGCCTTCATACCATTACTGTTTGTTTGTGTGAGTGTGCGCGTGGAAAACTGGCTTGTGTGTGGATGTGACACATTCTGCTGCCCCCAGGATCACAAACAGCAGGGACCGTGTGCCCCGATCGGAGTGAAGGGATCAAAGGTATCGCTTTTGTGTTTCCCCAACTCAGACCTCAAGAAAGAAGATACTCTAAGACAGAACACTTGAAGAAAAGCAGACACAAATGAGGAGAAAAGAGGCTGCTTGTATTACTGCTAAATGGGTCCTGCTGACCTTTCATTGGTGTTCAGTGTTTGGCTAAAAGAAACGGCTTGAAATACAATAGGACATTGAAAATGATAGGATTGAACAGATAAAGTAAAATGATAGTGTCAGGTTTTCCCTAAAGTGTATCGATAATAAACTATTTGCACAACTATTTGCCCACAATTTCTGTGGATTTTTTACATTTGCTGACAATGATGCATGAAATGATGCATGAAAATAGAAAGAAATAGTGATTCACCAAAAACAGATCCAATGCAATACCAATAGACCTGACAAGTGAATCACCTCCATTGTGTTTTGAAGGCTATTTCCTTTTATATATAATTTGATCAGTCTTAGATGTAGACAGGTCTCCTTTTACAGTTCTACATAATTTTGGGACATATAGATTCAAAAGTGAATCATTTGATGTGATCAATTCCAATATAAAAGCAATAAAAAAAAACTATTCAGCATAAGTCTGTGTTGGATCGTGTCCGGCTAAATCTGATGTCAGACTGAGGATGTTTGTTATGCCTGACTCTGTCCTTCTGCTGATAAAGAAACATATCTTTGAATTACAGGGGTTTTTATGTCAAATCTGCAAAGGAAATGTATACATTTCCCTTTGGAGTAGAATGATTTTGAATAGAATAATAGGGTGGATTTAATCCTTTTCCATATCTAATGCGGTAACATGTTTGTTGTTTTCATGATTGGGTTTGCTATGATATCATGAGTGGTCATATCTGCTGCATAACAGCAGCCGTTTGGTCACACAGAGGCCTTCTGTGTATGCTGTTTAATCACTGGCTGCTAATCACTGTGTGGAAAAATTACATTTAAACACACACATGTGACGGCTCTGTGAGGCGTAGCATTAGATATCTTATCGGCCAATTAACTCAAAGGGCGACCTATGCAAAAGTATTCCATCCTTCATCCTCTCCCATTGAGCCACAGGCTTCATCTGTATGTTTGTGACAACTGTACGACGGGATGTGTGCCTGTGAGTGTGCCCGGAGGCATGCAGTGGGAGAATCTGAGATGTTGAAATGGGGAGGTAAAAGGGAGAAAATAGTGAAAAATTAAGAAAAAATATAATTTGAAATGATTTTCATACCAGTTCCCCTGTTTTCCAACATATGGTTTGTCCCGTTGGCCTACAATGAAACAATGAAACATGGAGGCGACAGCTTTCTAATCCTGGCTTCTCTGTTCTGTTTTTGATGGCTTGGTACGTGTTCGATAAGTGCACGTGTGTGTGGTTACCATGGTGGGACACTAGATTGTGTGTGTGATGTTGTGTAAAACTGCTCTTAGCTGCAACTGTGTGTACGCAAACTAGCAAATGTTTGTGTGTGTCCATGTATTTATGTTAGCTCAGAACAAACTGAAATCATCTCCACGGGGACGTTGGTTGGTTTTTGCTGCATCCAGAAGAAGACAGATCAAAGAGTGGAGTAAACAGGCCTTCTGTGTACAGCCTGGACTTCTCTGCTGTCAGAAACACTCGTGTCAAATCCAGAAAAAAAAAAGAAGCTGGAAGGGTGGCGTAGTAAGTGGAGAATTCATCGTAGCAAAGTCAAATGAATTAATAGAAAAATTAGTATCCAGGAAGTATAGTCTTTCATGTTCCCTCGGTGAGAGTAGACTGTGAGAATAAAACCTTTTAAAATCCAGTGCCAGTCTGGGTTCATCCCACAGATGATGTGTATTGATTAGTCCCACCTCCCCCTCCACTCTCCATCCCTCTCTCTGATCCCTTACTTCTTCCTCTCACATCATATTGTTCTCACATTAATCTGTGTTTCTGCCTACACACACACACACACCCTTACACACATTAGTAGGGTTAGTATGCGTGTGTGTTTGTGTGTCTCTGCCCTTCCTCAGGCAGAATCACTGCTACAACCAGGGCAGGAGAGGGCGGAAAACAATACTCTGTATTCTCTTCTCTAAAGTAGCTGCCACAATACATTAAACATGGCTCCCGAATTTGTGGCGCGGATGCCAAACAGCCCATGCTTATGTGCATGACTTGAAAAGCTCTCTAAATGATCTGCAAATTTGCTAACTTCACATGAGCCTGAAAAATTGCTGGCAGGAGCAAAATCATAGACTATAAGTAGTTGATTCTCAGTTTGTCTCCTTTAAGTGTGGAAGCCATTTTCCTACAGATCTCATTTTATCTCGTCTGCCCAGAATTTTGCACTGACATGGAAGTACACAACTGCACTAACAATATTTAGGTCGGTGAATAAAGGGACAGCTTCCCCACATCATTTGAAGACAATGTCATTCTGTGTATTGAGTTTTTTTTAGGCCAGGGTTGTCAGTCCTCGAGGGCCGCTGTCCTGCAGGTTTTAGAGGTTTCCCAGCTCCAACACACCTGATTCCCATCAGCATGTGATTATCAGGCTTGTGCAGAGCCTTTGAACCAATCAACTTAATCAGAATTAATCAGAATCAGGTTTGCTGAAGCAAGGAAACCTCTAAAACCTGCCGGATAGTGTCCCTCCAGGACCAGAGTTGGACACCCCTGCTTTAGGCCAATGGCCAGTCTCCATATATACCTCTCTTTGGTCTTTTCTCTGGTTGGCTTTTTAAATAAGGGTCACAGTTAGGATGCACACAGCTGAGTAATGGGGTGAGCTACTCACAAAGACACACACCCAACCCCCGTGTTTCCTCTCTGTCTGCAGGGAATTTGGCTGGAGGGATCCAGAGCTGCCAGAGGTGATCCAGATGTTGCAGCATCAGTTTCCATCCGTCCAGTCGAATGCTGCTGCCTACCTCCAGCACCTCTGCTTTGGAGACAACAAGATCAAATCTGAGGTAGTGATCACTGAAAACAAACACTCCGATGTCCAGATCAGTGTGTAAATCCTCACATTTGACACATAAAATAATTGCACATTTTGAGTTAACAGCTATGTGCTTTAGAAGTATGCCTCCACTTATTATTGCATTACAACATGTCAGATTCATGCTACCTCATTTAAAAATATGTCCCTAGGTCTCCTTTCTGGATGTCAGTTTTTACATCCGGTCATGCAAACATTGTGAAAGCCGTAGATAAGAACTGTGCTAGTTTTAGTTGTAGTTTTAACATTTTCACGTGTCGAATAAGAAATATTCTTTGTAAAGTCACTTTTCTGAGATCCGTGAGATAAAAAAAAAAAAACACATAAAAAACAGGTAAAGTGGAGAGAAACGTTCAGTCTGAAGAACACAGGAGAAGGGCTTTCACTGGGACAAGTCTAAAGAGCAGTTACACAGAAAAAAACTACATTTCTATGAACCAGGACATTAACAGGTCAGCTTGTGTTTTTTTTTTCCTGCCATTTTCCAGCTCTGAGTTTTTTTTAAGTATTTGAAAAGCGTGTATTTTGAACTTCCTTATCCATTCATTGACTGTTCAGATACAAAGACCTATGCAACTAAGGTGCTAAGTTGGAACAAAAAAAACCTAAAAAGTAGTCTTGTCCGTGTAAAGGAATCACTAAATAAATGAAAATGACTGCATCATTTTTTGTTTCAAGCTAGCGTACATATGAGACAATCTGACCTAACCTTCCAACATCTCTGGACCTGAGCAGATCAGTCATAAATCCACCCTCTCTGAAGTTACTTTGTTTTGATGCAAGGTAATCATTTAGCACACGCCAGCCCCCAGAGATATTGATTAGTCTCGTTTCAGAAGAAAGTCCATCGAATATGTGACTGAGCTCTGCTGATCTCCACATCAAATGAGATGAAGTCATCCTTATGCACGCTTAACACAGCTCTAAATATAGCACCATTCATGAGGTCTCTCATCTCATCCCTGTCATCAGTCAGTGTCCCGGACAAACCTGTTCCACCTCCATCTTCAATGTCAACTGAATTCGGTCCAATTTCAGGTTATTAATGCCCTTTGGAGATGATGGATTTATGGACAAGCAAAGGTTTTCATAGCAATCAACCAGTGGGCAGTGAACACGGAGTAGAGGGGAGACAAAACGAGTGAGATGATTGATGATTGCTCAGAAATGCACTCTCAAAGACCATGCTTTGGTGTAGAATAGTTTGTGCTTTTATCCTCTATTACACACATTCATAGACCTGTGGGTGGCAGGCAAAGTTTAGCCATGATAATAAACGAAGGTGATGGATGAAAACATATCTAACCAAAGTTATTTATTACACTGCTAAAACTCTGCTCCTGCTCCTCCATGGTTAGATACTAACTGACTAAAAAGAGCCTTTGCTAAACTGTTTATCTACATTTTGGATAATCTTGGTGTGAAAGTTGACTTCAAGCTTTAAAAAGAAACTGTGGTTCAGTTTGCATTACAGTTCACTTACAGTGGGAAATGCAAACAGGCTCACAGACTCCAGCAAACCAAAGAAAGGAAACTAACCAGATGAGAAAGTGAGTCAATGTACCTGGCTCCGCGTATCGTAACAGTGATCCTGAATGGTGTTGGATCAGAAGCCTCTGGAGCTCGAGGCCCTGGGGAGCACTGAGTCCGCTGCACTAAAGCTGAGAGCGAGCCACCCGTCTTTTATTTTGCTGTCACCTAAACATAGGCTCAACTTTTTATACTTTGTACATGTGGTCGCACACAATCAACCCCCCTGTATTCTCTGTGTAACCCTCTGGCTGTAGACAGTGACACCCAACCTGTGCCTAACACCAATACTGCTCATCTGTATCTAAACACGACGGTTTGTAGATCATTAATTGTGCATTTTGGAAAGCTTTTGTTGCTCATAGCACCTGAGCACCTCTGCAAACATCTTTTAAGTTATGTTGCTCTTACTTTAGTATCTTCTTTCATATTAATTAAGTCACACATCTGGTTTCTTGCTTGCTTGGGTACTTTCCCGGCATTGCTTTACCATCTGGAGCCTTTTTTCTATCAGAACTAAGATCAAAATCCAGAAAGGCTTGATGCGGTCAGGTTGTTTTCTAGCTACACTAATTATGTTTTTATGTAACTTTGTTGCATTAATGTTGGTCTTTGTGGCCTTTTTTTGGCAATACAGTACAACTAAACTGCAGTGCAGAAATTATAGTTAAATGAAGATGCTAGTAATTTAATCTACAATAACTGATCAGTTTGTGGTAAGTCGTGAAACAAAAATTTCACAAGTCTTTGCCTCAGCTCTTCCACTAGTAGGAACTCGTCTAAAGGGACTGGAAGTGGATTTCCTTGTCAACTGAGACAAAGCTAAACCTTCTATAAGTACCACAGCATGTTGTGTTTTTGTATTTCATTCTTTATTTTGCCTTCTTTCTAAACGTTAATCATTATAAAGCATCAGGCTCTGAGTTTTTGGTTCAAAACGGATTCCTAGAAAAAACATTTTCAAAGATACAGTATGCCCGCACAAAGAGCCAGCCACTGTGTGTCTCCTGCACGACTGCTGCTTTTAATGGAGAACAGACAGTCTGCCCTACATTTTATTTCTGTCCAGATGGAAGAAAGAAGTGTTAGTACGCACAGAAAACGCCCAGTGTCTCAAAATAGATTTTGGATCAATGTAATAGATGAGCTCCTACATGCATGCCCTTTTTTAATTCAATTTAATTTCTGGTTTTTACAAGATAAACCTTGATATTTAGATGGACAAATAAGATTCCATACATTTAGCACTGGTTTCTTGAGTTTTGATGAAAGCATTGCCGTCATACATAAATAATCCTTTTCTTGTTCCATCTTCTATCTTCAGATTCGGCGGCAGGGTGGGATCCAGCTGCTGGTGGACCTGCTGGACCACCGGATGACAGATGTGCACCGCAGTGCCTGTGGCGCGCTGAGGAATCTGGTGTATGGCAAAGCCAACGACGACAACAAGATCGCCCTGAAGAACTGTGGAGGCATTCCTGCTCTGGTCCGCCTGCTGCGCAAGACCACAGACGTGGAGATCCGAGAGCTCCTCACAGGTAAGGGGGCCAAGAAAAGAATATCATAAAAAAAACCTTACACTACAATCTTTATGTGCCCAACACCAAGACTGTGACATAATGTTATCTTGAACCCTCTTCCAAAAAGTACCTGTGCTGCAATTCTTCCATCATGACAGAATGTTTTTTGCATTTTTAACGATTTTCCCTGTGTATTTGGACTGTTATTTGACCAACAACATTTTAAGTAAAGTAGTCATATTAATGATCAACATTTTAGTGAAGCTATATTCCTATATTTATGTAAGCACAATGAGGCTTTTTGACAGAGAACTCACCCCATCCCGTCTGAACATCTATTTGACTATATCCAACTATTCCGTTTGAAATTTTTAAAGAACAGGCTCCTAAAGGACGTATGTGGGGCATATATTTCTGGAGAGGATCCAAGAGCACTTTGAATGTGTCATTCAATGATTCTTTTAGGACACAAAGTGACTATAAACGAGTTGCTCTGGAAACGTGTTGCTTTTGTAGTGCGTCTGCTCGGTTTGGCTCACCTTTGTTTTCCCTTCCCATGGATATGTGTTAGCACCTGCATTGTATCATACAGCACTCTGAACAACCAAAAATATCTGTTTGTATTTTAATAGAGACGTACACACACACAGTCAGACGAAAAAACACAAAGAGGGTTGTTTACCAGCTCCATGCTTCCCAGCACTCATGAGCTGTTGTCTTGTCGAGCTACACTGCACCAGGACCCATCACATATCTGCATCCTCTGGAAGTAAACGCATATCTTTAATGTCATTAATAATGTATTTAGGGTTGGTTGATTTAGGGATTTTAAGCACTCTTGATCTGGGAAGTAAACAAAGATGGATTATAGGATCACATCAGGCATGCCTGTAACGACATGCATACATACATGTTTCAAGTATAAATAAAATAATACTGAGATATGGGAAGGGTAATTTCCCTTCCCTGATCCAACACATTTTGAGGAGGAGCTGGATTGGGTTTGGAGGTTTGATACTTTCATCACAGAAGCTGCACTCATAAAGGCCATGTTGTTTCCCAAATGAGAGCAGCTGCAAGTTTAAAAGGATGATTTAGTCTTCAAATTTCAAACAAGCCCATCTAGACCAAACAAATTACTATATTTAGATGGATCATATATTAAGGGACTGTTTTTTTCAAACAAAAAAGTACTATTTTAATAAAATAATCTTAATCATAAAAGAGAGGGAAGGTTTTTTTAATCATTTGGATGCACCGTTTTAAAATGTCTCTGAACTGCCTGTGAGCGTAGTTCATCTTAATAAAGAGGGTTTGACAAATGGAGTAAGTGCTTCACAGATGTCGCACTGACTTGTAACCTTTCTGTGTTCATCTCTTCTTTTTAATCAAGGTTGCTTAAGAGACATTTTTCTTTTTTTTTTTGTTTATTGAATGCAGAAAAAAACATTCATTTATTTTTTCGTTTGAAAATAATAAAGCCATCGAGGCTTTATCTCCTGTGCCTAACACCCTCAATTGACATTAAGTGGTGGAAAAAAGATATAAAAGACCTCCTCTTGTATCGTATTTCACCAGTAAACAGCAGTGAAACTCAGAAAAACCTTCTGTATTAGGACGCTGCTCCTTAGTCAGCCGTCCTCTCCCAGCTTTGTGAAAGCAGGCTGTCTGTTTCACATCATTTACAGCAGCACGTACTCCTCAGGTCGGTGCAGATCTGAGTGAGGAAGGTTTTAGGAATCCTCTGCATCAGTGGGACGCTGGCAGCTGACCAGCGACCCCACGGCTTCCACACACCCGCTGATTTGATGCAGAGGATGACCCACGTGGGCCGGTGGTTAGCGGGTCCAGAAAGGGTTTTAGGCTTAGCGGAGATGGAAATAAAAGGGTTTTGTATGCTGCTGGAGTCTTAAAGAAGATTACCATATAAATTAGAGCAGCAATTCAAGGCACGGAACGCAGAAATCCCTCCTGTCACAAATCAGCTGAGCGACTGACCGGATGCAGGCAGACTACCACCCCCCCCCACCCCCGTACGGAGACCCACAGGAATCCACTCTGCCTCTGCATTCGGGTTTTCATAATTGGTGTATCCTCCTCCTCATCTGGTCCTCTTTCTCCATCTTCTCTTTCTTCAAATCACTGGCCCTGTCTGACTGCTCATCTACCTCTGGTGAGCATTTTGATTTAGGATCACTGTGGGAAGTCAGGCTGCCTTCATCTGCAGCTTTAGATTCAGCTCTGCACACACACACACAAACACACACACACACACACTTAAGCACGCAGTAAAATGTCTGTCTGTCTGTCAGATATGCAGTTTGCTTGAAGTCACGAAGGAGGCTGTGGCTTCTGTTTTCAGTCACTTTGATTTCTCCTTTTCATTTATCTTTCTGTCTGTTGTTTAGAACAAAAAATGATGAAGCTGATTTAAAACAACAGATATTACCTCTGCCTTTGCAGATTGAAATTCCATCTCCCTTTGTTACCATCCACCTCATCATGTCAGTTTATAGGACTCCTGATATAACAGCAGTAGTTATCAGACATATTTTCTCTATAAATAAAAGGGAAATTACTCTGTCGATAAGCAGCTTTTTCACGCATTCAGAAGACGCAAATAATAAATGGTGAATAAAAATAGAAGAAATGAACAGGTTTGTGCTTGCTGTGCTTCAGCATTGTTTGATATAGAGAAGACATTATTCTTATCAGACGAAAAGAAAATGTCTTTAGTTAATGCCATCGGGCTGGAGTTACCGGCTGTTTCTCTTTATGGAGAGCAAACAAACAAACGGACCGGTGTGTCTCTGTTAGAAGACATCCAGAATATCTGGGAGAGAGATACCTGCTTATTTCCGGATATTAAAGTACTTCCTGAATGGGAGCTCTCTTCATTTCCCTATTGTGGATATCCACCACAGTAATTCTTCTTTAGATTAAAACCACAACAGGACCAGCTTCTGGTACACAAACAGGTCCATTTGTTTACAACTAAAGTCATCGGAAAAACACTTTTTTTTTTGTTACTCTTAAGATGGCTATGTGAGATGGAAAAAAGTATTTGACAATAGACATAATGTTCATTGCAGAGTTGGAGCAGAAGTATAACTGGAGAATCTAATCCTAACCGGCAGGAGCTTAAACAAACATCAGAGCTGTAAGCCATGTCCCTGTCGTTGATATTGAGGAAATCACATAAATCTATCACAAAAACCTTGAAATGAGAAGTTACCTTGGTTTCCCCAGATAAACACAGAAGAAAAACAGACGCTACTGAACTGATCCACTACTTTTCTTTTTTGGGTATTCAGCTCAGTCATTCTGTTTCAACATGAGACCCATTTGACAGCAACGTGAGGCTGTTTATGGAAAGGAGAAGCCCGCTGAACTGCAAACAACACGATATCAGCCCTCTCGCAGAGCTGCAAGCTTTCCTTAACTTCTTTATTCACTTTTAAACTCTGCGTGCTGTCAGTCGCTGTGGTTCCACTTGTCATTATGATGCAGCTTTTTTATTCGCTCTCAGCAGCGCGCGTCTCGGCAACAGACACGGACGCCCCGTAATGCTGTTAGCTCTGCGGAGGCAGGGATGGATGTTGTTAGACTTGAGCTGTGATGGGAACTCTCTGCTCTCTGGATGCAGTCCAGGAACGATGTCCATCAAGTTAACGGAGAGCAGAGAGATGCAGGACGACAGCTTGGAGGGAATGAACGGGGAAGGTTTAAAAACACATTTCAAGGTGCAATTTAAAAATGGTGAAAAGTATAGGACATTTGAGTATTTTCATGTTTGTAAGCTATTCATTGCTTTATGTGTGTGTGTGTGTGTGTGTGTATAGTTAAAAAATCTTGTATTTCCTGACGAGAGCATATCTCCCATCAGTTCATGACTAAAACTGCAGCAGCCGTCTTTACCCGGGATCAGGGAACTTATGCAGACTGGAGCCAACTTTGGTGTAATAATTACACACATCACGCTGCGCTGGAACTACAACACCATGGAATTTAAGGACCTGCCCGCCTCATATAAGACAGATGAATGGGCCATGCTGCTGACTCAGCATGTCAGCCCTGATTGTTACAGCCGAATTCTCCATTTTGTTTTGACACCAAAAGGAAAACGGATTTTTCCACCTAGTTGTTCCACCGAGGCTCATCCTCCCACTGCAGACGCACTCAGAGGGAAAGCTCTCTGTAAGGGGGGGGGGGGGGATCTCACTCTCTACAAACACACCCTGCCACTTTCAAGGTCAAACCACAACCGCAGGCTCTTTTAGAGACTCGTAGAGGGTTGTCGACCTGTACACTAAATGAACACGAGCATGAGCAGCTCCTGAGGATGCCACTGATTGCTTGTTGTGACATTCAGTAATTACAGATGTTCAGATAAAAGCCTAGAAGCTGCTCTACATGCTAACAGAGACAGACACTGTTCTCCGTTTTTAAAACAATGTTTTCATGTGTTTTGTCATCTTTTCTGGTTAGAGTTTATTCCTCAACTTTGGACATAGAGGGACTATATGCTATTCTTATTCTTGATAATATTATTTTTGCACCAATGATTGAATTTCCACAAAGCTGCTGGGAGAATATGTCCATTGTAGCATAAAAACCTCTAAAGAGGAGCTTTGGACTGTCCTTTAAAAATGCCAGGATAGCTTCTCATGGAGACAACTTCAAGGACTTATACCAAATATTTACATCTTAGCTTGTAATGATTGTAGAATTTGTGTATGTGGCCTTGTTCATTGGACTGGTTACCAAAAGTGCATCACATTTTTTCTCATCTTCATCTTTAAAAGCGAGAATCTGAAGAATAAAAACTGTGCAGTGCCTCACAAGAGACAGAAAATCCAGGCACGTTGCAAGTGAGAGATGGTAAATGGCATCAGAGATAAAGAAAGATAGCCAACATATTCATTTCCCCTCCCTGTTCACAACAGCGCCCTCACAACCTCCTGCCGCCGCTCCTGATGTAAGGCTGAGGCAATTAACCCCCTTCATCTGTCACACACGCTCCCGGTCGGGCCTTTGTGTCGTCCCTCTCATGCAGAGCTCAGATCCTACCTCTGCCTGCTCATGTGTGTGTGAGGAAAGCTGCAGCCTGGCTCCTCCCATGATATCATGCCTGTGAGACAGTGTGTGTGTTTGGGAGAGCACGTCTCATTTCAAAGATAAAATCCTCCTGCCTCTCACCTCGGGGAGATGATGTCATACTCTGCACAGTGAGTAGTGGTTCTGGTGAACAGCTGACTTTACTCCAGATAGTAAAATGCCCTCTCCGTCTCGCAGCTGCAGCATGACATCATGCTTTCATTTGGACCCTCATCCACTGAAGCAGTGGCCGGGTGAGGGCTGCTTTTGAAATGGATTCATCCTCCTCAGAAGCAGAATTGGGTTATTTGCATGAGAAGTGAGGTAGTTATTTTCGTGTATACTCTACTGTCCTTGTAGCAGATTCACCCAGGAGACCACTTCTGAAAATGATTAAACATGTAGTACAAGTGCCACATAGCTACAGAAAATAATATGAATAATCAAATTCGTTGCTGGAAAATCACATTTTTCATGGTTGTTTCTTGTTTCAGATCTAAAAAGCACACTGTTTCACACTAATGTCGACTGGTTTATTTTTCTAATGTGTGACATGACAAAGGGGGAATGCATGCTGTGCTCGAACAATAAAGCCACGGGACATCAAACACATTATTTAACGAATTTGCTTTAAGAATTTGGTGGGTGTGATTCATTGCTTTTCATCACAGTGAGCATGCTCGGTCTTGTTGAGAAGGAAGCTAATGTTTGACTCTCATGGGTCTGTGTGCAGCACCCAAAACGCAGAGAGCTTCAGATGCTGTGCATCATCAATGAGAGAGGATGAAGCCACGCCGGGAATCACGGCGTTTGCAAATTGAGCTACATGAAGTTCCGTGTACTGATCTGCTAACCATCCACACACTAAGGAACGCTTGTTTTGCTTTTGTTTTACAACAAATTCAGTGACAGATGGGAGGAATTCTTACTAGGCAGTTGCTGTATTTGTCAATCTAAATTTTCATTTTGCTAAGATTGAGTCAAAGCTTGGGTAGAAAAATGTCTGTTGCTTTTTTCCCAAATGATGAACTAACTTGTGTCGTAGCGCATCAACTCATTGGCTGTCAAAGATCAGTTCCATTTCTGTGTATTTCTTAATAAACTGTGAGTCTGTTTAGTAAATTAGTGTAGCAATTTTACAACACTTTTTGCTAAAGCGGCATACAAGTGTGGTTCAAGTAGAAGTACCATGTGTTACCTAAATTAATTGATGAACATCTCTCTTTTGTCATTAACGAGTTAATGGGACTATTTCAGCTTATCGCTGTGATGACGAAAAAAAGTCATTTAGAAATTCCTTTTGATCACATCATTCTCCGTCTCAAATCCAGACAGCTGACAGGGTTAAGTCTGATTTGCCAAGGATCTTAGATACAGTCAGTTAAATGTATGCACGCACAAATGCACCAAAAGAGCAAACTCATTCATGAATGTATTACAGAAGCTGTAATTACACAGTCTCAGTTCCCTTGATGCTCTATTCCAAACACACAAACAGACACAGATCTGGGGATAGGACACTTTACCATTTCTACAGCTATAATTACGACCATGAAGAAGAGGCAGATATGACATGGGCTGACCCTTAAAGGAGCAAACATGTAATTACACATGAGCAGAGATTAAGACACAGACAGGGTCAACAGGACACCACGGGCTGTGTTGCTCTTATCAGTGTGTGTGTTTGAGTGTGTTTTTTCTACTACTCAAGATATCAACCCGTTTAATAGCTAGATGTGATTTGCCTCTTACCCTCTTTGTCCTTTGCGTGAAAGCGCTGGTTTCCAGAGGTCCTATGTGTGCTTGTGTCTGTGGGAAAAGGGGGGCTGTAATTGGTAGGCAGAAACTCGCTCCATTTCCTTGGCTGGGTGCTCACAGCGTGTTAAATTCAGGAGAGAATTAAAAAAAAAAACAGAAAATAGACAGATAGAGGGCCCTGTGGAGTTTTGGGTAAGTGATTTACTTCAAATGAGTTTTTTGTGGTTTTGTCCGTGTATGGCTTGTATGCCTTTTGCTGACTTTAAGGAAACTGAAACTTAAAAGTACTAAAGCACACTTTGGGAATTGAACATCTTCACGGAGGTCACGTTTACTGTCGAGTAGTTTTTATGTTTCTAAACTGTCTATTAAGAGTGCTATTCTATAGCAACACATAATTGTTTAGATTGTTTGCTACTAACTCTATTGACCTTTAAAGGGTAATTTTTCTTTTTCTTTATTACATTTGAAACCAACAGCGATGAGTGGAACAAAAACCTATTAGAAAACAAACCAAAAAAAACGTTGGATATATATTGTTAGACAGTTATGAGTATTAAACACAAAAGTGAACAGTTAACACCCTGCAAGAAAACGTTTAATTTTCACATGCAACAGATCTCCATCTTAATTCAGAAATGGAAAGTCCCAGAAAACTATACATTTTCCCTGTGGTTTCTTTAGAGCTTGTGCTTTACTGAGCCAGCGAGTGGCTAACTTTGTTATTTTCAAGTGTAGACAGCGTTTAGCCCTAAATCTCAAGCAGCTTTCATCATTTTCTTTGTCATCTGTCAAAATGTCGTGTGAATAAGACGTGTGATTCCACTTTTTGGAGCACGTGTCGGACTTTTCAGGCTGCTGTGAAGCCGCGACTAAAACTGTGGGCTCCTTCCTGCTGCTCACAGAAAGCGGCTGACTGGACGGTGTGCACTGTCCTCTCACCCCCCCCCCCCTGCCTGCTGTTTTCCAGGTGTTCTGTGGAACCTGTCGTCCTGCGACGCCCTGAAGATGCCCATCATCCAGGACGCCCTGGCCGTGCTGACCAACGCTGTGATCATCCCACACTCAGGCTGGGACACCTCCCCACACACACAGGATGACCGCAAGCTGCACCTGCACTCCTCCCAGGTCCTGCGCAACGCCACCGGCTGCCTCCGGTCAGTATAACCCCACCTCCATTTTCTCTGTCTCTAATCTGGACGATTCAGAGGAATTCAATCTCTCATGAAATTATTACTTCCCCCATAGTATTTGCCTTTCTCGGTTCAAAGTGTGAGAAAAGTTTAGAATAGATTTGGTTATGTTCTCTTCACTGTGGGAGCTGCTATAGATGTGATGATTATACACTAGAAGCAGTGGAGCTATATAATTATGAAGTCAAAATCTTTTCAGGAAAATTCCTGCATTACTTTAAGAAAAACATAAGAAATTGATCAAATTCTATCTCCATCAACTCATTTCATGAGCACTTTCTGTTCTTTGTATACATAAGCAAACATTTTTCTTTGTCCTCTTCTTTTGTTTATGTGTGCTAGTATTAAATGACTCATTTAACTAATTAGGAATATAAAGAAGAAAAGGGATAAGAAGTGAGGATAATTAAGGCATGTTTGATAATGGGGGTGTCTGACTAACCTCAAAGACTAATATATCATCTGCCACCATAATTAAACTGTGTCTACTTGCATTTATGTGCGAGTGTGATCATTTATCATCTACTGATGGGGTCCTTTTCTTGTACATTGCCAACTTTGTCAGAACTAGTTGGCCCTCATGAGGACCACAGACGTGTGCTAATGAGGCAAAACCCTCCGTCGGGTTACCAAACAGGCTTATGAGTCATATGAGAGCTGGTTATGCTTAAGTTTAGGGCTGGGTGGCCCCTTATTCTCCACATTACTTGCTGAGCACCCAACATCAACAGCAAAATAAATTAACAATGAACTTAGGAGGTATTTAGCTATAGATTTACCAGATGGTCAGAAAGGGGAAAAAAAGGAAAGCGAATGCTTCTGTTTCTCACCAACTCGCAGCCAAAAGATGGAAAATGAGCAACTGTTTGCTCACAAACTGACTGTTGAGACGTGATTGTGTCGAAATGTCGAGTTCACAACTTGAATTGAATTGAATTGAATTGAATATACTTTATTGATCTCCAGGGAGAGACTTGGGGAAATAAAGTTGACTGAGAAGTGACTTCATGAGCAACAAAATGAAAGTTTACATTTTTGTTGGTTCCCGTTTTAGTTAACTGTCACTCTGAAATAGTCCAGAAGTGTGAAGTTACACAAACTGCTGTTGTTTGCATGAGAGCGCCCCCCCCCCCCACCACTGGCATCTCACACGCAGCATCTGTCTGTTAAATATTCCCATTAACGCTTTCAGGATTTCCAGCACCGCCTGATGAAATTTCCGTGGCTCAGACTGAGCTCATGGATATTTCTCAGGGCATATCGGCCGTGTACCAGACATTTATATTTATAGATGTGTCATTTATTCCTGTCCATCAAACACTGGATCGTAAACAAAAGAATAAAGGATTCTGTCTGAGACCTGGGCGGCTGAATGGGAATCTCCTGTGTGTGCGCTCTGTGTTTGTGTGTCCGTGTGGCTCAGCCCACAAAAGCTTCAGGAGCATCTAGAGCTGCACATGTGTGGAAATGAACTCATCTGGTAGCGTAATGTGAGTATTTTTGAGCGTAGGGGTGTGTGCGTGTTGCGGGAGATAACTTTGAGTGGCTCAGCTCCCTAAACTCTAAGGGCTAATTCATCTTTCTCACGCCTTGTTAGGGAATGCTGGGAGTCTGATTAAAGATTGAATATTTCATGGTGGGTTTGGTATATTGCCGGCCACCTGCTCTCTTTTATTTCCCTCTCTCCATCTCCCATTATCCTCCCGCCTTCCTCATTTTCTCCCACTCTTCTCTTTAGTCTTTCTCCTCCCTCTCTCCAATGCCATCTCATCCCATTACTCCATTTCCCCTCTCCCAATCATGTTACACTGCTTTTATCCTTTTCTACTTCTGTTGTGCTCCATCACTGCTTCACTGTCTCTCAGTCTCACACTCACACACTTTCTCCCTCTCCCGGTTCACTTCTGTTTACACCGGGTGTGTGCAGATATCCTGTTGTGCCGACCAGCAGGCAGATCAGAATTTTGAGAGGTGACTTGCCAGATTGGACACCAACTCTACAGTAACTAATAAAAAGGAGATTAGCTCATTTACTGAAAGCTTGTGCCCCGATTGCACTCACTCTAGCTTGCTTTTTAGGCAGATTAGAGGAATTTTCTTTTCTAAAAGAAAAAAAACTACAATTCGCCAGCCCTTAAGACTTAACAGTACAATGTCAAGAGCTAAAGAGTGAAATCCTTTCGATTAAGTTTTTTAGCAAATACATTTTCCGCTGTGAGAATTGGTTGAATTTTCCTCCCAGACCTTTGTTCCAGTTAAGCAAAGGGGCGCTGTTTCAGATTTGCTTCAACGGGGAATGGAAACTGGTTACTTTTGCCTTGACTTGAATGGACAAAGAGGAGCCCTGCAACTCGCTGTATTTTTAATTTTTAATTTGTTGGTTCATTTACTCCTTCACTGTTGCCAGGAGGTGTACGTTTTGGGGTTTAATGGCTAAACTACGCTCGTAACATCTGTTGGACAATACACTTATGAAAACTCATTTTGTGGGTTTTTGATGGGTGTAGCCAGAAGCTGATTCAGAAGGAAGTTGGCAGCCGTGTCCCTAATCTGATCTAACGAGCTCCTTTATCTTAACTAACCAGGAGGAACTGCCATCGGTGCTCACAAGGACACCTGGATTTCTGACTCATGTAGAATCAGGGATTCTGATGTGTGGATACAAGCTGTTTTAGCACTGCAACTGAGCAAAGTGATACTGGAACCAGCCACCCAATTACAGTTTTATTGTCTAAGGAGTGTGGGAATTATAATAGTGATGTTGCTTTCTGAAACATTTGGACAAATGTACACAGAAATACATACAAACACAATGGAGAAGGGGCTGCTGCTTCAGTCTTAGATGTTTCAAACCCATTAGCTGAATCAGAACAAGTGAGACATCCAGGTGGAGGGACCCCAAAGAAACAGATGCTAAAATCAAGCTTTTCAGTTAGACTAAATCCTTTAATTTTGAGCATACATTACCCACACGGTTCACTCCCACTGTGTATTTGCTGAAGCATGTAAACCTATTCCATTAGTTCTCCAACTTAACATCTGTATAACTCTACACCCACTATCCCTGAACAGTGTTAGCAGCTGGAAGCCCTCTCATCTAAACACTGAGGGTTCGTGCATCTCTCACCCAAAGCAAATAGTCTTACATTAAAGTATATTTTTCTCAGCTCCTGTCAGTGGTGCCTGACAGGCAGAAAAACACTTCAACTAATAGATCCCCATATGCTTCAGCTTAAACTTCAGAGAAACCCAGGGTGTGTGTTGACAGGGTTTTTGTGTGTGTGTGTGAAACAGGAATGTGAGTTCTGCCGGGGAGGAGGCCCGGCGGAGGATGAGGGAGTGCGAGGGCCTAACGGACGCTCTGCTCTACGTCATCCAGACCGCGCTGGGCAGCAGCGAGATCGACAGCAAGGTAACGCACGCACACACACCCAGACAGCTGGCGCACAGACACACACGCTCCTGTCCACATACAATAATCTGGATGAATGCCACGTCATGCCTTAGCGTGCGTACACGCTGGTCTAATGTCTGCAGGACTTTACAGGTTGATTAGATGTGTGGAAAACCTTCCTTCATAAACTTTTCTCTTTTTTTTCCCTAGCAAACGGTGTATTATCACAAAATTTGCATGCCTACATCGAATAGTTGTTTTCATTTTACATCTACTGGCTGCAAGAACATTGCAAAGTTGTTTTTTGGCACTAGAAGAATTGCATGCAACCATGCTGTGAATCTCATGGCAAAGACTGACCGGGTCTGTCATCGAATCCGTGTCTGAAATGAGTTCAAAATTAGCTGGTTTACTTCATTAAACGTTTACCAATTTGGACCAGCTAATTATTGTACCCAAACAAAAATCCACATCTTCCATAGTATTGTCATTTTACAGTACACTTTTCCACTTAAAGGGACAGTTACACAGAGCAGGATTCTGTGTGCTTCCTGAGTCTCACTGAGTCACTGTTTGCATGTGAGTGGATGCTGTGAGTAGAGGCTCTTAGCTGGAAGATGTGAAGTTTTTAATCCTCCGAAATCCTCCACCAGATCAAAGTCTCTGACTGTTGGCTGCGTAGCCACTAACAACAATAGGATTAGTGTGTCTCTGTCTACATTTGCGCACCGCGAGTCTTTCTGTCTGTGGTTTCATTATAGCTACATTCTGCACCGCACCGTTCCTCTGTGTACACGTGTCCACGTTTCCACTACACAGCCAAGTTTTTTAGGTTCTGTTTATGGATTGCATCTGTGTTTCTCTAATGTTTGTCTCTCTTTTATCTCTTATTCTCCATCTCCCTCCTCCCTTCTCTCTGTCTTCCACCAGACTGTGGAGAACTGTGTGTGCATCCTGAGGAACTTGTCGTACCGTCTGGCTGCAGAGACGTCTCACAGCCAACAGGGCGGGTCAGAGGAGCTGGACGGCCTGTTATGTGACACTGGAGGCAAGGACGCGGAGAGCTCCGGGTGCTGGGGCAAGAAGAAGAAGAAAAAGAAGGGTCATGACCAGGTGAGAACGCGTTACTCACTGCCTCATCGATTGATATCGAATGCCTACTGGATTGCCTAGATGTTAAAAGACTGCCCTACAGATCATTTGTAGCTCTAATTAAGATCCACAACAACAACTGGAGTGTGATTGGCCTGACCTGGAGGCTGGGGGCTTTGCTGTCCAAACAGAAGCGTTTGTTTACTTATGAATATTTCCTGAGAGACTAGGAAGATATTCAGTGTTCAGAAGCTTTCTTTTTCCCTCAAAACTAAAATGTTTCCTTTGCCAGTATACACTCCAAAAATTTAGTTTCCCAGCAGCTCAAACTAGCACCAAGTCACAATGAAATAGTGCATCATCGTTTGCTGCAAATGGCCCATAATCACTGAAGCAGCCACATAGAACAGCATGTCCAATAAGCTTATCTTATCTACTTATGACCAGCACAACCTCTGGCCAACCATCTGACAAATATAATAGGCTATAAGCGTGAAGGTGACCAGGCTGGACAGACACAAGGTCACCATCAGAGGATGGCTAACGAAGCTCACCTCAGTGAGCACCCACACAGAAAGATGCCAAAGAACTGCTGGATGTTTCCTGTGGACAGCATGCCAGTGTGGTGATTTCTAACTCATTAAAGTCTGTAATAAAATCGATTTACAGCCATGGCCGCCCTCTCAATCACACTTTCTTCCTGACATAAAGAAAATGTGAACATCTGAAAGCCTGCCACTCTCTCAAACCCCCGGCTGACATCTTGGAAAACACTGTGCACCATTTGGGAATGTTAAATACTGCTCAACTTTTCCTTTTAGTGACCTCACGCATTTGGAAAAGTTGACTGTGTAGTTAGAATCTACAGAAGCTATGGGAAAGGGAAAACACCTGGAATAAAGAACCTGAGAATTTGTGAGTTTAAGTGCTGGCGTTTCAAAGGTCCGATTTTGAAAAAGCGACTAGAACAACCCCCAGATTAAGATCTCTGAATCATATTAATCTAATCATTCCTGTCCTCAAACCCTATCATGTCTTCCCAGTACATAAGAAGTGGTGCATGATAGTTGCCATTATCATTTTTTTGCAGCCGGTGTTTTGTTAAGTCAGTTGTACATACAGAGCTGTTCAACCTCCATCAGGGAACATTTGGCTGTTATGTTTGGGAAAAGTAGAACATAAAGTGTTTATATCAGCTCACATTTTGTGTTCTAACCTAGACATATATGCTAAAAACATATGAAAGTTTAGAGATTTATTTGATCTCCATCTTAAAGATAAGCTTAATTAGGGCATGATGTAAGCTAAACGTCTAAGCTAAGTATAATTCCTTATTATTTCTGTTGCTAAAGCTAAATCTAGATAAGCAGGAACTCCAGTGGAGGAGAAAAAGATCCTGTTAAAATGTCCTGTGTTTGGAAATGGTGACTGATTTCCACAGTGTCAGAATGATTAAAAGAAAAAAACAACTGGTTACAGATTCAGTTGTGTATTTCAGAACTCTGGTATCCTGGTGATTTTCATTTTCGATGCAAACGTTGATTAATTTTACAATCCGTCTCCCCACTCCAGGATTTGAATTGCCTATTAAAAACCTTAATTTCCTGACAAAGTGCTTACTGTTTAAGGGTTTCATTGTGTTTTTTAATGCTAAAACTCATTACACTATATTAATATACATTTTTTTGTCATTTCATTGTTTTTCTCTGTATTGAATAAGAAAACCATGCTTGAATTCGCTCTGTCTGGTTACTCACATGGAGCATTCATTTTATCATACTGCAATTTTATTCCATTGTCATCCTGTTTTAGATCGTTCTTTTTACCTTGTTGAAAACTAACTCCCCTGTCATCTACATAAATCAAGTTCTCATCAGCTGAACAAGAACAGGCACATGCACATGCACATTTCTGATTCTGATTCTGATTCTCTAATGTTACCATTAGAACTTTACTTAGATCACATAGGGTTTATTTCTGCTTATGCTTCTGGCATATTCTTTGACTCAAGAATATCAAGCCGATTTGCTTTTGCTCTCTGAATTTTTGAGTCTCATACTCGTGCAGCTTAACAAAAGGAAGAAAGAGAGTTCATTGAGCTGATGAACTGGCAGAAACCGAATGGCTGCTTTGGAGAGGCTCTGAGATCTTGTCATGCTAATAAGCAATCAGCATCACATTCTGATTGAGTGGAGGACGTCTTTTACTACTTCTACTGAAGATGTTGGGATTGAAAATCTAACACTTCCGGTGTGTCATGGTGTGTGAATTGCTCATTATCCCTGCATGCTATTTTTTTTCCATAAAACCTAAAAAAAGGAAAGAAAAAAAAGACAAATTAAAAGACACAGACCTTTAACTTAAACTTCTTAAACGAGTTAACCCCCCAGTGATTTTTTTTTAACCTATCTATGAGATTAGGATCATCAAGCTAACTGTGATATCAGATGAAACATGTCCGTTTATAGTAGTACGACACAGTCTGTGTGCCTCTGCTCTCCAGTGCAGCTGAGGATGATTATCATGAAGCAGCGATTAGGTTGCACGTTGAAGAGGGCAAAACTGTATCAACTGTGGAGCAATTAGTGTAGAGAGAAGAGCAGGCAAGTGAAGAAGATGTTGCAGTAGACATGATGGAAAATATAAAAGCAAGAAGCAACTATTCTCAGTATTACAAGTGAGAATGAATTATTAATGCTGTTTTCCATTTAAATCAACTAATCAGATTTCTATATATACTATAAAATTCATCAGCATAAAAATAAAAATTATTAGATTAATTATTTGGTCAAATTTAGTCGACCAAATTCTTATCATTTTGTAAACCCCTGTATTTATCCGAATGTATTTGACAATCTAGGGAGCACCTTAAACCTATAGCCTTTACTAATTATTATCTGGGGGTGACGCTCTAGTGCACAGGTGTCAAATTCTGGTCCTCGAGGGCTATTGTCCTGCAGGATTTTTCTGTTTCCATTCCTCATCACACTTGATTTACATCAATTCACCATTAGGAAGCCTGTGCTGAGCAAACTAATGGTTTAAAGAGATCCATTTAATATTATTCACATGTGTTGAAGCAGGAACATTTCTAAAATCTGCAGGACAGCGGACAACGTAAGACTTCAATGCAATTATTTAACAAAACAAAGCAAATCTGATGTATAATATTGATTATAGAGTGTTTCATATGATCCAGCAGGTCTGCCTTACTTAGAAATATTGCTTTTTATATTTCCCCTGTTGATGTTCCGTACATGAGTTTGCAGAAACACATTATCAGAACACAAATGTCAGGTTTAAAATTCAGAAGAGAAAGAAGAATAGAATTAGCGAAAACGTTTTAAATGCCTTCTTGTTTATAAACCATTCATGAATAGTAGTACCACTCCTCTTCCCGGCTTTTCTTCTGAGGGGATCCTGCTGGCTTTCAAACTTAGCATCGCACAGGACTTGAAATTCATTTCCATTATGAATTATGTGTCATCTTCCACAGTGGGATGGTGTGGGCCCCTTTCCAGACTTGGCAGAGCCCCCAAAAGGCATCCAGATGTTATGGCACCCCACCATTGTCAAGCCCTACCTCACCCTGCTGTCGGAGTGCTCCAACCCGGACACCCTGGAGGGAGCAGCGGGGGCTCTGCAGAACCTGGCTGCTGGCAGCTGGAAGGTTAGAGCTCCACCACTGTTGTTCTAAAGAGCAGATATTCCAGTGTGTGTCAGACCACTCTGCAGAAGCAAATTTGGGGATCAGCCAGAAAACGTTACCTATTCTGTCCTAAAAGACAGTAAACATTGCTTTTTAGCCCTGAACTGATGCATTGATGCAATGTATTCCTAAATATCTATTCTTCAATGTCTTTTTTGAATAACTGAATTGGTTACATCTCAAACACTTTCAAAATAAAGACCATACAAATGATGATTAACGGTTAGGTTGTCTTTGCTATGGTCCTCTAGAAATTATCAGTTGTTCCGTTTACTGAAGTAATTAGAATTATTTGTTGGCAATTTATTGATAGTCCAACAACTAAACACTTACATAAATGGAATAGATGTGTTCTGTACTGTACTAAGCCCCTAAGAACTTAATACATGTGTGAGAATGGCATCTATAAATATTTTAAACGGTGGTCTATATGTGATTGCATGTATACTATTTCAGTTGAACTTTTGGGTGGACTGACTTGGATTTTAGGTTGGCAAAATAACAAAAACAAACCCGTTATCCTATTTCAGTCTTCATCCACCGTCTTTATTCCTTCCCAGTGGTCTGTTTACATCCGAGCTGCAGTTCGCAAAGAGAAGGGTCTCCCTATCCTAGTGGAGCTTCTGAGGATAGACAATGACCGGGTGGTTTGTGCTGTGGCCACAGCCCTGAGGAACATGGCTCTGGACATAAGGAACAAGGAGCTCATTGGTCAGTATTCCATCTGCCAGGAAAATGTACAAACAGAAAATATTTTAACATCTGAATCGTATCTATTTTAATGTGATGGGGGGAACAATCATTCACACACATACCTTTGAACCTTTTGTATTTATGTAAAACTGAGTTGAATAATTGCAAATGGGATCAACAGTGATATTTTTCATGAGAAAAGTTGAATTATGCACCTAATTCTGCCTCGATTGAAATGACTCCAGAAAGGGGAATGCAATCATTTACAGCTCCTGTTGGGCTATAAATCTTCACAGGAGCTGTTATAATATCATTTGTGTGTAGACTTTTTGCCGTTAATGAGTTTTACAAATTTAACTTTAATTAAAAAGGCGAAAAAGAAACACAATCGTGCCTGTGTTTGCAGGCTGTGGAGTACTGAAACTAGATTCTCCTTTGGAGGCCGAGATATGGCGGTGATAAACTCTGCTTTTGTGCCCGTTCCCTTGGTAACAACCATGTTACTCTGCGTGGCGCATTAGGCTTTGAGTTATATGAGGTTGTAGTGAGTGAATAAAACCATCCATGTGTGCAGTCTGTGCAGACTGGGGAGTGTCGGGGGGAAAAGGTGTGTGTGGAGGACAGCTTGTGCTGCCCCCGGTCGGTTTGTGTAACACCACCGAGCTGCAGAAGCAAACTGTGTAGCCGCGGCCACAGAGCTCCAGCGGCATTCATCAATACTGTCACTGCTGACAGGCCTGCTGCCAGCGGGCTGTTGTTGACAAACGGATGCTGGTTTCAGCCATGTTTTAGTGCAATAAACCAGTCCCACCAGTTCACACTACTCTAAGAATAGAATGCTAATGTGGATTTAGGATTTAGTTTGTTTTTGGATCCTGGAGGCAGGACATGTGCAGTGTGTCAGGACAGGCCAGCACCCCCCGGGGGGATGACCCAATCAGAGCGAGGCCACAGGGCAGAGTGGACTACATTTCCTGACGGCTGTACTGAGGTGTCCTGGGAAATGTAGGCAGAGTGTGTTGGGTCACGGGACCATGTCTCCTTCAATGTCTTTCCAGTCTGGGTGTTTTCTGCCTTCCTGTAATGACTTTTTAAATGTGCCTTTTTTTCTATTCATTAGATAATAATATCTGGAGATTTAGACATTATTTAACCTCTTTTCTGTCAGATTTTACGTATCATATATAAAGATTTCATCTAAAGTATGACGGGGCATCTTTTTATTCAAACACACTAATGCATAAGTTATTTCTGCTGCACGTTACTTGTTATTCTCAATATCTCCTCCAGTAATTCTTCTAATTCAATGTAAATATATTCAGTGCTGAATGGTAAATAGTTCATGGTGTGGTTTTACGTTGAATCAACATTTAACAAAGGGAAAAATTCCTAAAATGACTACTCATTCAGAGCATTTATAAGGAACCCTTCAGATTTGTGCAAATAAATTTGATTATAGAAATTATGGCAAGCATTCAGATCTTTTGAATCAATAATACTAATCCTTCAAGGTAGGAATCATGAAGTCATATTAAGTCTCTCCAACTGTGTCATTACAGATACGATACCATTGGTGTGTTCTGAAGCAGAGTAACAATTGGTGAATGAGCTTTTACAAAGCTCAATTCTGGCAGAGAGCTGCGGTAGAAATGTTCAAAGATTTGCTTGAGTGGGTTGGGGTGTTGGTTTTGTTCTGGTGTAATACCTGCAGATGTCCCACTCGGTGTTGGAGGGTCACACAGCCAAACAGTTCAGCATTTCACGGTCTGCAGTGTTTCTCCAATAAATCTTAAAGCTGAAAAAAGATGTGATACTAGTTGTTTCCACAGTCCAGGTTTTAAAAAATGCAGATTTCCACAGGAACAATGGTCTTTAGAAACTCTAAAAAAGACACAAAGTAAGATACAATGTGTACATAGCTACAACTGAAGGTTGCCACATGCACAGTAATCATCTAGAACCAGTTTGTTCCTTTTTTCCCTAATTTATTTTTCCACCTTTTGACCTCGGACTATGGTCCGTTCCAGCTATTCACATGTTTCTCCTTTTTATCACAGGTAAATACGCCATGAGGGACCTGGTGCACCGTTTGCCTGGAGGCAGCAACAACAACAACACCAGTAGTGGGGGGGGAGGGGGGAGCACTAACAGCAGCACCCTGGGGGGCAAGACCATGTCGGACGACACCATCACGGCTATCTGCTGCGCCCTGCACGAGGTCATCACCAAGAACATGGAGAACACCAAAGCCCTGAGGGACGCCGGCGGCATCGAGAAGCTGATCAGCGTGGCTCGCAGCAAGGGAGACAAGTAAGACGAATGGGGGGGTGCTGTCAGGTGAAGGGGAGAGGGTCAGTGAGGGACGAGACGCCGGGGTCAGGCGCAGCAGAAAATGACACCATGTAGCAAACAACAACGCCTAGTGTGTTTAGAGCTATATACATTTATATATACGAGTATCCAAATAGAGATGCTCATAAATGAGGTCTGAAAGAAGCCATAGAATAGAGAGCTGGATGAGAGATCCTGCTGAGTGTGTAACGTACATCATCCCCGTTAATAAGACGGTCCTCTGTTTGACATGGAAAACAGAGCTCACAGCAAACGGGTGACCGGGGGGCATATAACAATTCACAGGCAACTGTCCGTGTGATTGGACAGTTGCCTGTAGAGATGGAGGGAAAACACAGAGGCTGAGAATAGACAGGGATTTCAGTGACTTTAGCTAATATACATTCATTAGTTTTACAATTCATCTAGTTTGGAAATCTGTTATCATCTTTAACTTAAGGCCTGGCGTGACCCCCCCCCTGTGGAGAGGCCCCCCCACAGATTCACAGGGAATCAACTGGTTGCTTTTGTCATCCACCAAAAATGTGAAATTACTGTGAAATAGTTATTGACATGACAAAAATCATCCCCAGAGGCATGAAATACTATCAGAGAGACACACTGCGGTGTGAGATGCACGACTATCTGCGTGACGACCCTGATGGGATCCTAAAGAGATGCTTGATAAAACTGAGGACTTGAAACAAGCAAAACAGACAAATTTACATCAAATCAACATGTGTAGATGCATAAAATATTAGGTGATTTACAATTGTTCTGTTCATTTTTAGGTAAGGGTGTTTCACTTAGGATTGGCCAAGTCTTGGACTTTTTATTTACTACGATAAATAAACTTTTTTTTTTCTTTCTCTGCAGGAAAACTTTTTATTCTTATTAACTTCATGTTGTTGTTGTTTTTTTAGCAAAGACATCTACTCATTCCCTTATTGTATCAATTTCAAAGGTATACAAACATGTTTCTTCCTCTTCCAAGAACCCTTTTCACAGGCTTTCCATCACTACACAGTCCCAAAGGCCCCCCCTCAGTCCAAAACAGAAACATTTACAAAGACATCTTGAATAAACTAAGTCTAATTTCCTAGGCTCTGATAAGACTGTGTGAGCCAATTAAAAGCCCAACCATTAGTCAGCTGAGTCAAAGCCTGAAGGCGGAATGAAATATTGGCCAATCAATCAGTCAGAAAAACAATTATGCAATTAAGTCTCAGTTCAATTGCCGGTGCTTCTGCAGAGTCTGTGAAGAAAAAGTTGACTGTTGTTTTGTGTTTCAGTTTCAAAGCTGTAGTCAGATGATGGTTTACATTTCTAAGTGAAGAGTCTGTCTTTTTTTCATTGTTCGACACTCTTTTGATGTTTTTATAGCCTCCATCTTCACCACGCAGCTGAAGAACAGTCAGGCTTTACGCTGTGTGTTTTTGTGTTCTGCTGAATTCCCAGACATAGTCCCAAAGTGGTGAAAGCAGCATCGCAAGTCCTGAACAGCATGTGGCAATACAGAGACCTACGGAGCCTTTACAAGAAGGTACGAGTCCGCTCCGGGTTTGGGACGGTGGGGGTGTCATTCATGTGTTCTTCTTAATTCTTCATGCTGACACACTGAGCAGTGAGCGTGAGGAATGTGAGTGCACGGCCATGTGCTCACGGCTCTCCCCCTCTCTTAGGACGGGTATTCTCAGTACCATTTTGTGGGCTCCTCCTCCACGATAGAGCGAGACAGGCAGCGGCCGTACTCCTCCTCCCGTACTCCGTCCATCTCTCCCGTACGGACTTCGCCTAACAATCGATCAGGTGCGTCCACCGCTTCCCTTCAGGCCTCCATCACTCATTCCTCCAGTAGAGTCCAGTCAAACGAGCACCGCTTCCTCGTAGCTCCAGTGAGCGTTAACCTTCACACCACGCTGACTCCTGATCAGTTATTCTTCTGCCAAACGGAAATCCTTGCACCATGCCCATTTAGAAAGTCTCCCGCCCTTGTGTTGTCAAAGTGTGGGTTTGAATAATATGGGCCTTCCAAGGCTTTAGTGATGACATTTTCCAAAAATGATCACCGTTTAGTGGCAGGCCGGCCCACTGACTGGGACTAGAGTCAGCCTGTACATACATCTGGAACTGGATCTTAATGTTTTTTCTTACATCAGTTCATGTCTGGAAAATCTTGGAAATATAAACAAAAGCCCCTTTTGGACTCAACATATCTATATGGTGAAAAAAAGCACACTGTTACATGTTTAATGACTAAAATTGGACTTTCTCACATACATATGTGGAAACATAGAAATGAGTGTGTTCAAAAGCAGCTGATGACAGATGGAGATGGGCCGATATTACCATAGACTGGTGAGGTCCAGTGAGGAATAATGAGCATCCAAATCAATCCTAACTGCATCGGGACATACAGGAGCCAGACAAAGAAGCAGATGTAACCACTCTAACTGGCTGTCCAGCCACTCAGGAGCTCGGAGCCTCCGTGTGAAAAGCTGTTGAAGATGATCAGTGAATTAGATGAAAGCATGTTCAAATGAACTGATAGACAGATTTCTTATGTTGCATCTTGCAGGAGCTAAATCACTCTCTTTGCCTGTCATTACATCACCCCCTTTTATATTCAGCTGCTATACAGTAGTTCAACATGGAGGGGGAGCGACTGATGATGTACTAACCCGGAGAGACATCCTGGTCCCAAAGAGAACAATGATAGTGACTTTAGCCTCAGATTCACTTTAAACTGTTCACTGTGACCCTGTTTGTTACTCATTTCAGACTGTAGAACATCCATTCAGAGTGCTGTGCACTGCCTGAGTGGCAGGCTAAATGCAGCAGCTCAGATGCTCTGAGAAATATGATTTTTCTTTGGCTTTTCAACTGTTCAAGGACTCCAGACTGATGTATATACGTGTCCTTCCTGCTGTAGGTTCCTCCTCATATGTATTGATGAGGGCTTTATGTACTGAAGGGTAAAGATATTCCCTGTGTGCCTTTCTGTGCTCAGCGAGCGCTCCCGCGTCCCCCAGGGAGATGATGGCGTTGAAGGAGAGGAAGGCAGACTTTGAGTCGACTGGCAATGCCAGTTACCATAGCAACAAGGGCGAGCACACATCCCGGAAGGACGCCATGACGGGTAAGTATTCCATCTTGCTCGTCTGTCACAAAGACACACTCTCATACAAAGCGGCGGCTGTCCTCTGAGATGATGGCATAGGAAGAGAAAAAGAGAAAATATGAAAAAGAAATCTGAATCTGTCACATGAACAGTACTGTGCAATAATCGTGAGCCATGTATTATTTCTTTATATGTTGCCAAGCACACCAGAAAAGGGAGAAAGGATTTACTGACATTTTCAGTATAGGGAAATACATTATAGAGGATAACATTTATTATGATTCCAACAAGCTAGACCAGGCTCTTTTTTTACTGTTACTGAAGAAAACCACAAACAAATACTTGTCTCCCCAGGTCAAATGTCTGGTTTGTCAACACTGCACAGAGGAGCATATGTGTCTCCCACCGACGATCTCAAGTATAATCAGGTAGGAAAGTTTCTGTTCTGGAAGCATAGCCCTAATTATAGAGGACTTTCTGTGACTGGTGACGCTGATCCCTCCCAAATACATCCATGTTCTCCTCTTTTAGTGTATCTGAGGCCTCCCTGCAAGTAGATGCGATTCAAATGAGTTGCCAATTTGCTGAGATTTCATTTCGACACTGAAGTCTTAGATGTTTCAGATTCTCTGAGGGATCGTTTAAACGCCCACAAAATTCCTAACCTGATAGACGAGGAGACCTTTGCATCACTCTCCCTGTGGGTGATGGTGTTTTTCATTCTGCAGTGCAAGCTGTTCTTAAAATGTTATAACTCTTCCCACTTTTAGGAGAACGATATGCTGCACAGTCTTTCAAACTACACGTGTAAGGTTGGGAAAACATTAAGGCAGCAAGCCGTACACCTCTTTAGAAATTGATTTAACCATCAGCGTTTTAGCAGAGATGGTGTGATCATAAATAACCCTCATTACCTGTAACAGTGTTTGGCGGTGATGACAGAGGGTGGTCATGTCTGGTGGCATTTTTACAGCCGTTACTCACAGCTGTATGACACAGCTAGAAAAGCACCATGTTCTGAAGCAATGTTCTCACAGTGTAAGAAATGAGGGAAAAAACGGAGTGCACACCCCAGTGTTGGGTTTTGTTTGTGTTTGCGAAGTGTCGGTTCCCTTTGTTTAAGCTGAAATATTGAGGCAGTTTGCTCTGTCCACAGTCTAACACCTACCAAATATTACATTTTCTTCCACAAAGAAAAGTATCAAATAAAAACCGAAGGTTGAAACCTTTACTTCTTCTCTGCCGTGAGCCTCAAAACTCTTGCAAAGTTTCTAAGCTTTTGCTCATTTTTCAGGTCTCCTCTCAAGGCTTGCCGTCAGAGCCTTACCCACCTTTCCAAAATCCCCCCCCGCCCGACAACGGCAACTACGAGGACCAGGCCTTCTATGAAAACCAGGTCCATGCGGGGGGGCGGCCGCCACAGGGGGAGCTCAACATGCACCTGCAGGGCCTCAAGTCCACCGGCAACTACGTGGACTTCTACTCAGCCTCACGGCCCTACAGCGAGCTCAACTACGAGACCAGCCACTACCCCGCCTCACCGGACTCCTGGGTCTGAGCGGAGATACGGGGGAGGGGGGGGGAGGAGGAGGAGGAGGACAGGATGAATAATGGAATGCAGGATGGTGAATGGGGGGGTTCCTGAGAGCTGTTTTGCCTCCCTCCTCATCCTCCACTGTAGCTCCTGAGTAGCATTTTAGATAGCAGGATGAAGGGGGGGAGAGGGGGGTGGAGCACAAGAAAGTAGGCATGAGGACATTGTTGTGACTTTACTACTTTTCTAGCTGTCTGAGGGAGGAAGAACTGGAGGAGCGGCCACGCATGTGCATGAACACCACCAACCAAACTGACAGAACCTTTTCTTTCTGAGTTGAGTTTGTAATCATGATCACAGCTGGTAGAGGCAGAGAGACTTCAGGCCCCTGAAAGTGTTAGGAAATAAATAAAGGAAGGCTTTGGTGAGAGTTGGTCCGTGAGGGAAGTGTGTAAATAAACGCACTAAGATTGAAAGGGACGAGGAAAGAGAAATGGTTATGTGGAATCGGAATGGGGGTTTTGCAAATGCAAAGGAAATGTAAGAGAAAAACCCGGAAGCCACCTGTAAATATGTGGTGTTACAACCTGGTTTGTAGTAACACCAAGCACAAGAAGCAGAGCTGTAGGATGCGTAGGCCTGTCTCTCAAACTCTGGTTTCTCTCCATGGCTTCGGCAAGACCAATCCTCCTCTGGGCAAAAGACTTTTGGTCATTTGTAAAGATTATATTCTTTCTCATTTTGGTTGCTCTTTCTTTTGTTGTGTTTCTACTTTTTTAATTCTGGTTGTATAGTATTGGATGTACACTGTACATTTACAGCGATGCGTTGCGTACTGTACATTGCACTATTTTCTGTGTCATGCCGGACCTTTGTTCCCTGGATCAGCCTCATCCTTCCCAAGTATCTCCCGCCAAACACACACACACACACACACACACACACACACACACACACACACACACACACACACAGCAGCAAACTCGCATCACAGATGTCGACTTGATATTAATGCCAAACACTGAGTATGATTTTCAAGGTCCCGGTGCTCTCACTGCCCAGCTAAATCTATACGCACAGGCTGATTCGCAGAAGACAGGATAAAAAAAGACGAGCGTTTTCTTCTGCTTGTTTTTTCTCGTTTGCTTGTCGTTTGGAGGTTTCCATCGGTGTGTCAGGACCTTTTTGTTCCACATTAACTTAACAATTCCTTTTTGTTTTGTTCCTGCTAGCCCTTCCTTTGGGTGATCTGTCCCTCATTGTGTATATAATTGTGCCAAACGAGCGTTACCCCCCACCCCCCACCCCCCACCCTCCTAGCTGAAGAGGGGGATGCTAAAGGTGCGTAAAAAGGGTCCAAGTTGAGTTGAAGTTTTCAGCTGAACATCCTCGCAGTTCTAACAATGCCTGTTTGTAAATGCTTTCGTTTTTCTAAGCTGTGTTTTACTGAGATGAGAATCGTCAGGCTGCACCAACACCAGGAAGGAAGAAGAAAAAAATAAACGCAAGAAAAAGAATCGACCAACAGAGGCACAATGAGACCAGTTGCAGCCTCAATTCCTCAAAAGTTGTACAAAATTGGTTGATTTCTGTGTTGTAAAATAATCAATGTTTGACTTACAAAAAAAAAAAAGAAAAAAAAGATTTTCTGAGAGATTGGGTGGCAGTTCTAACTTCATGGTAGACAAATCTGTTAATAGAGTACGGATATATATTATATAAATACAAATATATACTTTTTACGTGCAGATGTGGATGTCACTTATAGCAGCAACATTTTGGGAAAACACTTGTAAGAAAAAAAAAAAAACAGCTACATGTAGGAACTTTCTTCACATCTTATTTTCTGGTTAACACACTGAATTGTCAACTTTGTGTAGTAATGTTGTTGCTGTGTGGAGTAGAGTAGACCAGGGCCCAGGGATCCACGTTGTCACTGAGCCAGTCCAAAAAGTTGACACATCCCTGAGAAGTATTTCACATCTGTATTCTGACTCTGAACAAAACGCTTGCCCCCCCCCCCTCTGCTGCACTGATAGCCACTCACATGTTAGCAGGTGTGAGTCTGACTCTGACGCAGGCACACACCGACTCACAACACTTTTTCTGGTCTTGTCGTTTGGAAAGGCAGAAGCTACACCATGAATGAGTATTTTGTTCTTAAGTGAGAAATGCTGACTCGTAAGCTGTGACAACAGACCCTGGCTCTCCCTCCCCACCGCTGTTTAGAAGTCCTAGAGGTTACCTTCCAATGCTTGAAAAGTGACTCATCATGCTGCTGTTCCTCACAAACATGCACTGGACGAAAAGCAGATGTGCCGTATTTGTTAGTAAGCATCTGGAAACTGACAAAGTTGTGTATGTCTTTGTGATCCTTAGGCAGAAAATCTGACTATACGACCTGTATGGAGATATAACGTTGGTGCCCTTTTTTGTTGCTAGACCAAATGTGTTTTAAAAAGAGAATTGTGAATCTTTCTATTGCCTCAAACGAATTGCAACTGCTCCAAAAAAATATAAACGGACCGTCAAAGAACTTTTCATTTCTTGAGTTGTTTGTTCATTATGTAAAATGTGTACAACTTGTGGGTCCCCCCCCCCCCATCCCTCCACAGCCCCAACCTGAAGTACAGACTGCTGTCCACTACATGACCAAGAGACTTGCTAGTTTCTGCAAAAACACCTGACTCAGTACTTGCGTTTGGCTTCTAATGAAGTGTTTCTTGAGAATATTTAGTCATGGAAACTAGGCCAAATGGGTAACTAGTCATGGTATCTCATTTAGACGGGTTGTAATTTGGGCAGCGTTATTATTAATCACCTTGAAAGAAGCAAACCGTAAATATACTAGTTTTAACTGTGAATGGTGGAGATTGCATTGAGGAGTCAGGGTTGGTTGCCTTCACAATGCATAAATATTACCCAAAACCATGTGAAACCCCATAAGAGCTAAAACTAACTACCTGCAGAGGAAACTACGTAATGTATGTTCTGTGTGTCAACTTTCTTCTTCTGCCAAAAGAGAAGACAAGAAGCTAAGTACAAACCCCCAAGGGATCATCTCTAATTATGAATTATGAGCTCCGTGGGTGTGAGTGTGAGAGAAAGCGTGTGTGTATCATCCAAACCTGTGGAGGCTCAGGAGTGCTCTCTGGTGGCCACTAGAGAAACTGCATCTTAGGTCAGGATGGCAGCCATTTTAGTCTCAAAGGCCTGTTAAGCATGACTCTCCACAGATGGATCTGCACACTACATGCACGGACCTCATCTGTGAGAGGTGGCAGACCAGTGTTTTTCTGTGCACGTGCAGTGCTGGAGGAGGATGCAAAACCTGGGCGGACCCACTGTTACAGCTCCAAAGTTAGGCAGCATCAGGAATAAAACACCATCCACCTCAGAATATGTGAGCTGCCAATTTTATGAATGCAAATTGATGCCTCTGTTGGGATCAAATCCAAAGATTCTCGCTGTCAGGATGCAGCTGGACATAAATATCAGAGTCTACATAGTGCTTACAAGTCTGTTACATTTTTGTACAGATTTTGAATGTCAAAAATAAATCCTATAAGTATGGTGAAACGCTGCACTGATATTGGAGCGATTCTTCAGCCGAGAGGCCTGAGCATTGCAAATCAACCAACAGTAATTCTGTTATTCTGTGTGTTATGAAAAATCTCTGGAAAACTTCAACCATTTATTACAACTGCGTGAAAAATCCCGCTTTACCGACTCCCCAAAAATCAAAGAACATTACAATTATGCGTAAGCTCTTTAATTCAGCTGAGCTTTCAATATCGGTGGTAAAAAAAAAAAAGTACATCAGTGTTTTTAGATGCATCACAGTTACATTCAGCATTATACAGTCAAATACAGCAACGTTCAAGTATTATGTGTATATATTCCTCATAAACAGGAAAGTGCAATGTGAGGCGTTTTTAAAGGAATTTAGTCTCTAAAGCTTAGAAGATGGAATTCCAAATTAAATTCGTGAGTTTTGTAAATTGCTCAGTTGTTTGTTTTACTGTCATTCTGTTTTAACATTAGAGAACGATGAAATATTTTAGGTTCAATTAGCCAAACTTGTCCGACTGAAGCATTTACATTGTAAACCTGTACTGAATTTCTGACAACAAAACTTAAAAATATATCATTCTTTTTCCCTGCTGTCTATATGATGATATGCTATCACATGTTTTAGAGACGGTCCTTTGGGAGGTGTAAATGAAAGAGTCCCCACAGAGTCTCACATTCTGCTGCACACACAGATGCTCAGTGAACATTCAGAACCATGACAGCCGTTCTGTTTTAAAGCAGTATCACCTAGAAATATTAATTTTTTAACATAATTGATTCTATATTTTTTAATTAAGACGATGTATCGTAATTATTTCAAAGTATTTCACTTGTTTATTCCTTTCACATGAATAGAAGAACTCCTAACTTAAAAACAGCAAAGTAATTCAAACATGTTGGAACATTTGAGAGGGGCAAAGTCAGCCATTTTGTTTTTCGAACCATTTCAAAGCCTTGAATCAGGGATTTGATTTGGTCCTGAGTGTGTTTGGCACCAGAACTGAGCACAATTTTACAAGCCCGTGTTTTCAGTTGCAACTAAAACCAGCCGAGACTTTTATAAACTGCTAAGTTACTTTGGAAGATGATGATTTCAGATAATGTGCTTCAGTACTCCAAATGCATTACATGTTGTCTGTTTGATATTATTTTTTGCTTATTGGTTGGCTATCCAATGCTCTGCGTATGTCTACATCCAGACCAGAGTTGTCATCACCAAAGAACCATACTTGTTGTGATTTTCATCACTGAGTGACATGGAAAAGCATTTGTCTTCTTTTCTTTGTTTTTTTTTTCATTACTACAGTTTCAAAGCAGAACTTCAACAATGACTGAGTCCCCAGGCAGACGGTTAATAATGGCCCTCTTATCTTCCTCGGCATTCACAGAACAGGTGTCACACAGTAGAATGGCTCACCACAGAATTCAGCGGGGCCACGGCAAAGAACTAAGCTGTTTATTTTTAGGCTCTGCCTTTCAGCTTCCCCACAAAGCCTGCGTGAGCCGGCCCCTGGGCTCAGCTGCAAACTCTTTGTTGAAAATACCTGTTGAACCTGCTACCAGTGGAGATGGACGTCTGGACGTCTGGACGTCCTCTGGCAGGCCGGGCGGTCCCGTCCAGATTCAGGTCTGCTGGAACAGCTGGCATGCAGCTCCTCATCCTGTTAAAAGCCCACTGACTGATGTCCTTTCAGTGCCCACTTCTTCCCTCTCAGTGTTCACTTCTGGCAAATATCATTCCACTGTATGGCACTTTCTTCTCCTCTCCTTTGAAACACCTCACATTAACTTGATATTTCAAATGTTCCTTTTTCTCCCGGTTCTCAGTACATTTGAAACTAAGATCAAACCAGAGAATGTATTCCTGCAGTGTGTACAGGACAGAGAATCAGGTCACTAATGTGCATCCTTGTGTGCGTATGATACAATGTAAACACTGATGGTTGAAAATCTCTGAAGATGGCTTTGGTGTCGCACAGTAAAATCCGCCTGGTCTCTCCTCCTCCAGCAGCAAATGTTGCGATGCTCAGCTTGAGGGCATCTTGTTTAAAGCACCCTGACACTTTGGCTCCACCTGTTCCTCCGCCGGATGCGTTAGGCTAACTGCAACACGCCACCGTAAAAGCTGACAACAGGAACGGGATTTATTGAGGACACATCCTTGCAAATAATGAATATATCTCTGTTTTTTTCATGATCCTCTATTGCCCACATCACAGCTCAAAGTGCACCTCACAAAGAAAGTGTGTGAATCCATGTAGAAAACAAGGCAGTAAACCCAAAAAGGTTTAAGAACTTAACAAAAATGAAAAGTTTTTGTCTGATTGTATAATAATGGTTCAGCCTCTCTGCAAAGCCAGTTTTTTTTTTTAAAAAGACACTTTGAAGTCACATCCTGCTTCGTATTCTTCCTCCCATCCTTTATCTCCTTTTCATCAGAGATAGCATTCGTTGCCTCTCTTCCTCCTGCTTCCTCTCGATTTTCTTCATTTTGTAGTCCCACTTGGGGATCTGGAGCTGGTTCTGGTTTTTGCTTCTTCTGAGATTCTCGGGGACGAAGCTCGCGGGCGGGGCCTTGCAGAGCCTCACCTTTGGCACCACGAGGCCCGAGCGCATGCTGCTCCTCCTCAGCATGTTGAGCGGCAGGAGGCTGGCCCGCCGGACGGCGGCCGTGGAGGCGGCGGCCACCTCGCTGAGCAGCTGCGGCTGCAGGCTGGCCCTGCGGTCCTGCGACTTGGGAATGAGGAGCACCCGGGAGTTCTGGAAGAATATCTTGTACTTGTTGAGCCGCTCCGGACCCAGGCGCTTGAGCTCGGCCACCCGTTGCCTCCTCAGGATCTCCTGCACGGCGGGGCGGCGCTTGCCCACGCAGGGCGGGCTGCCCGGGCACACGGTTTGGCACGCGGTGGCGATCAGGGGGCTGGAGATGCCGGTGGTGACGCGGACCATGTGTTCCAGGACCCCGTCGTCCACGGGGTTGACCTTGTTGCTGATGTAGAACCTGTAGTGGCAGCAGGACAGGTGGTTGATCAGACCCCGCCAGCAGCCCTTTGGTTCTTGGGCCTGGAGCACCAGGTCCTGCAGGAGAACAGGTTTGGACATTTTGAATAAGCATGAGGTTTTGCTTTCATCCCTGAGCCTGAAGCCTAAGGTAGTGCATTAACCTCCAACATGGGCCACTCCAGGGGAAAGGAGTCGCAGAATTGCTCGGCACAGGGGTTTGACATGAGCCGATCCATCATGTAGGCCGTCTCATATCGACCGGTGAAGAGGGCCCACTGCTTGGGGGTCATTCTGCGGCCGTGGTCCCGAGCCTGGATATCACCTCCTGGACACAGAAGGACCTTTTAAAGAAACATGCTGCCAAAGTAAAGTTCTGTCACTTCTTTCCTTTCTCCATTATTCAGCTGGAAGAGCAGACAAACAAACGCAACTTCGCTCTGGTTCTTGAATATTAGACAATGTTGCTCTGGACAGTCCTAAAGATTTGTCATTTAATGCAGCTAAGGTTGGTTTGACTGCTGGGAAGAAGCTGCACAGGAATCACTGAGTGAGCTTCATCTTCAGAGATGTTCCCTTTGCTGTACTTCTGAAGAGAGGCGTTTGATTTGATGATCTTAATCTGACTATTTTGTTTCTTTTTCTCCTTCCCACATTTTCCATTTGTCATTGAATGTACTGAATGCATGAGAAGAATGAGCCACAGGAAAACCCAGGCCTATGGGACAAAGCAGTTTAGAAATCTAAATTGTGCAATTATCCATCCAGCAGCTGCTGCGATCTGTGATAGATTCCATGTTTAACTTTTTCAGTTCAACACAAGATCCATAACAAGATTGTTTCTAAAAGAAGAATTAGTCTAACCAGCTGCTGATGCACCAATTGCAGAACAGGAACGTGCATTTGGAATAAGTATTTGACAGCATGATGCAAATATTTGGTGCACACTGAGGGTTATCTAAATGCTGATGAAGAGGGTGAAGTAAACTCCATAAATGATCCACTTAGAAAGAAAAATGAGTATCGTCCTATTCTTTTGAGCAGATCATAGACACTTCCTTTACATTTGAGGAGATTTAGCCTTTAGTTTGTGTAGAACTGTGTGAGCAGGGGGACTTTGGGCTGCACCTACCTGCCAGCATGAGGGCTCTGACGCACTGGGACCGGCCCTGCATGGCAGCCTTCATCAGAGCCGTGAAGCCGTGACAGTTCCTCCTCTCGATGTCCAAACCAGGGAAGTAATTCAGAAGGTAGCTGGTGATCATCATGTAACCTACAGATCATAAAGGAAGACAGGTGTGGCATGAACCTCTGCAGAGAGTAGCTTGTAAGGCATTTTCTCTTCTGCTCTATTTATATCATTTTGTTTTGAGTTTCAGTATTTTTACAAGTGCAAGTCTGCCATAACAATAAAAGCACTGCTAGGAAAATGTTCTTCCAGCAATTGGTGAGAATGTTAACCTGGAACTTGGGCCATAAATTGCCCCTGGAGGGGGACACAGCGTTGGTGCAGATGGCGGACAGCGTTGGCCTTGTCTCAGCAGATCAGTGCAGAAACAGCCAATGAATGGCATACAGAACACAACAAAAAGCCTAAAGGGACTCCCCACATCCTAATCCGATAAAGCATCTGCTGGATGCGCCAGAACAAGCCTGATTGGTTGTTAATCCATACCCCTGGCTTACAATTTCAGGAGAGCAAATTAAGTCCCTTGTCAAATAGACCCGAGCTAAATAATGTCTGGGACTGTCCGTTTTGGTTAAAGTAAGTTGAGAGCAACTCTGTTTCGCCGTGCCTCTGGACTCATTTTGGAGGTGAACCTCAATACAGAAACATGTCTGAAGGAAAGGTTGAAGTCCAGACTGAAGGCCTGGCAGCATGTGCCTGAGTTTGATAGCCCAAATCTATCAAAAACCAAAGCCTTTGTGAAGTTTCCCAAAAAGCCTCTGACATCGAGCATTCTGTGTGTGGACACTCATGGCTGGTCACCTGTTTTCCCAAAGGTTTCACAGAGTATTTTCTCTTCAAAGGTGATCAATACCTCGCTTAATGAAGCAGAAAATAAAGAGCAACTCTGCAGCCATTCATCAGGGGACGCGGTGAGCTATTCATCATCATCATCATCATCAGCGATGAGAGGCTGGGCTGCCTCCTCTGAAGCAGCGGCCGCATTGCTATGAAGTTACTGATGATTGTGTTCTCTAACGCCAGTAAATATCAGTGACTTTAGCAGCTGGAAGCAGCAGACCTCATAATATTCCATGAGCTTTAATTTGGTTCTTTAATAAATGTCCCCCCACTCACTTCTTTGCAGTGGGATTTCTCCGTCTGTAAATTGTGTATCGAAAGTAAACAGATCATGCATTTACCAAAGGACCGTAAAAGTAAAAAATGTCGAGATGGTATGTATGTGAATTCAAAAATGAGAAAACAAGTGCTGTTTTCTTTTCAGCTGTATGAAAGCAGGAAGGCAGATCTAATAGTCCTTTTTTCCCAATGTTTATGCGCTGCTAGGCCCAAACAAAAATTAAACAACCCATCATTATTCTTATTGTGTGACTCAAAATGTGCTGGATTTCTTCATCTGATCAGGTCCTATTTGAAAAGTGCTCTGTGCTCATCTGACTACATGTGTGTTTTAATGAGCAGTTTTTTTCCCCTCAATAAGTTTGATTTTTCCTTATGACAAAAGCGCACTCCAAGATGACAATGCCCAGATTCATTAAGCTCAAACTGCCTAATCACACCTCATTTTCACGTATGGATTTGTCACTTTAGTCCAAACCATTATCCCATTTTGTTGACTTTCTGCTATGTTACCACTCTTCTTTCATCAGTACATGTTCAGAATGAAAATATTTGAGGCTCTGGGCATGAATAAATATTGCATTTTTGTTCTGTTTTGGGGGTTTTTTTCCAAAGAGAGTGAAGAAGAAACTTCACTTTTGGTAATGCCTGTATTGTTAAAGGCTTTTCTTGTTTAGCATCCCACCAAAAGCTGTGTTTGATGAATCCACATTTCTGTGCAGTTTCCTACCTGCTTGTGCAGCAGTTATCAGGGCGGTGTTGCCCTCATTGTCCTGCCAGTTGACGTCCAGGTACTGGCAGTGAGACAGGCCCATGACCACATCCACATACCCACGGTAGCACGCCACGATAAGGCCCGACTGAAACACAGAAAAGAGAAGAAACTGATTCTAAGAGATTGAGAAGAGACACCTGGACTTCTTGGATCTTGAAGACATTTCACCGGCATAATCCAAAAGGCTTTTTCACTTGTGGACTACATTTTAGGGAGTATCAGCCAATAAGAAAAGAGGGCTTTGCGGATGTAAGAATCATTCGTTATCCTCACCTGTGGGTTTTTAAGTGTCCAGGTGGGAATTCCTCCCATGTATCAGTGCTCAGCAAAAGAATAAACAACACATGGAAACTCCAAGAATGATGACAGACTACCAGTACAAAGACTTTTTTTTTACCTTTGTGTTTTTGTTTAAATATAATGTCTCACTTGTGTCCCTGTTACATTTAATTTAAAGAAGTTCAGTGTTTATAAGGACTCATAATGGTCCAGCAGGACATGAAGCTGTGCCTCAATAATATCACATCAATGACTAAACTAGCCAAACAGAAACACAAACGGTTTCAGCATTTAAGATTACAATGGTGTAAATGGGCTGGGATGTTCCTAATGACCTGATTTGTTGTGATTTTTATTCGTGTCATGTTTTTGTCATTTTGATGTCTGTTCATTTTGAAAAGCGATGCCTGACTCTAGTAAAACATGCTGATAACACCGTTCTCCATCTGTTGGCTTTTCAGTTCAAATTAAACAATGACTGACTTAGTGTCAGCCGAAACATTAACTGTTGATGAAGCTGTTATCGAGCTCAGTAACATATTTGTGTTCCTTCCCAACACAGTCCTAGAGTGTTATGGTCACAGTACAAAGCTCCTCTGTCTAATCCAGCTACAGAACACTGTATCTCTTACGCAGCGCTAAGGTCAGTGTCCTTTTTTCAGCCCGTTAAAAGCTAAGCTCCTTCTTTAAGTTGTTACTGTGCAGTTTACACTCCCCATCTGTTACTGAAGGCTTAACCAATTCTCTGAACCTTCTTTCAGGATTTGTCCCTCCACGTGGGTTTTAATGGTATTTTGTTTAATCTAATTCCACCATTAAATTACCCATGTTGGCTTGGAGATATTCAGTGGAATTATCAACACGACTGAATCAGTTTTACCAAACATTGTCTGCCACAGAAGAAGTTGGTCGTGGTGACCTTAGTATTTTGAGCTGGATCAGAAATTAGACCATGACCTGATTTGAGCCAGACTTTAATCTGCGAAGTTCAGTGCAGACAGGGTTTAGTAGGTTGCCCCGAAGCGAGTGTGTGGGCTTTGAGACAAGATATAAAAGTGGGTGATGGCCTTCAGTTACATTTTGTCAACCAGAAAACAACAATCTTTGTACTTGAAGATATGTAACATATTTTTCAAAAGCCTTCTTCAGTCCTAACTGAAAGGGAGTCCCAGGTGTTGGGCTACACTGAAAGTGATTCCAGTCTTCAGTTAGCCCAGAACAAATGTAAAACAGCCTCAAAACCGTAACTTTAAAGTAAATGTACTGAGCTCAGATACCTACTCTTCCATTCCGGTCTGTTTCCTTGACTTCTTCTTTGGTGATTCCTTGTCTGATCATAATCTTGACAATGATGGCGTTGTTATTGCAGCAGGCCTTGAAAAAGGAGATGGGTTCAGGGCTTTCGGGGCTTGGCGAGCGGTACATTCGGGTGATGACAGCATTGTCCGGGGGATAGAACGAATCATCTGAGGTGATGCTTCGTGTGTCTGGGTGATCCGGCAAGGCCTCAAAGTCCAATTCCTCAAACTCCTGATAGACATCATCCTCATCCTCCCAATAGTTTTGCATGTAGTCAACTTCAACCTCACACTCTTCTCCATTTTCGTCAACCTCACTGATTGACATGGTGGGTGGACCTGCAGCCACTTTGTCAGCTCTGTACTCAGAGTCAATAGCTCCAATCCTTCCAGCCACTCCATTCTCTTGAATCTTTGAATCTTTCTCTTGCTCCTCTGTTATTAACACCATTTAAATCTTCCCCCTGCCCCCCACTTACCTTTCAGAATTTACGTGGGGTTCCAGTGCAGTTGTTGTAGTACCTAGAGTTTAAGTCCACCAACCCATCAGAACGTGAGGTCTCATTCTACCCATCACACTTCGGAGTTTCTGGCTCACAGGTAAGCAGTCTGAAGATGCCTCAGAGGAGCCGTGACATAACTGCACTCGCCACCAATTCTACAGCATCATTGAATAAACCCGTTTAAGGATTCCAGAGAAGTCACAACTTCACAAGATAATGTCCAAGTTTTGATCATAAACATGATTTGAGGTAGTCGCCATCTAGTGAAGTGACAAAGCAGAGGTGATGACACCTGAGGGGAACATCATTGCTCCCTTAGCTTGTATGTGAAAATCGCATTTCCAAATACAGTGAAAGGTCCAAAAACATCCATGAGCCTTTAAAATGCGGAAAAGCCACTGCCCTGGTCCATTTGCCTCTTCCCAAAAGTACCAACAGCCTCATCTGCAGCAATGCACAGAACCTAGAATTCCCAGATTGTTGATGATTTGAAGTTGTCCTCAATTCAGAAAGCAAAAGAATCGGCAGCCCTCCTGACCTGAAAAGGATGGCACAGAGCAACTAATCCGGTGCTTCCCTTCTCTGTGATGACGGCCAGCCGCGGGATGAGTGGCTCTGTGGTGAAACGCCTCAGGATAATCCATTCAGGCTATCTCTCTATCTCTTGCCCTTCTGCAAGAATACAAAAATCTTTAATCTTTTGGCAAAGTCTGCTTTAAAAAAACTGCTTTAGTTCATTGTGGTCTGCAGCCATGCATTTATCAACAGCTTCCTAAAGGGCCACAGCTTTTGAATTAGGTTATCTGGACTTTGATTGGGCCATTACTACAAGTTGATTCCTTTCAGCAGTTTAGTTTAATCTTAAATTAAAGTCTAGAATAGACATGAACAGCAGTGTATGCAGTAGTGTTGTTGGTCTTCTCATGACTGGGAAGTGCCTGGGTTATGTGGCTGAAAACAAGCCCGAATCATCAGCCCTCTACCACCGTGCTGTTCCTGGTTTTATATGCGATACCTGAGGTCTTGCCCCAGAGCAGGCCATCTAATCTGTACAGTGCACTTATCTCTCCAGAACTCCTTAAGGAGCGACGTCACAGAGGCCTTACCCCAGGATTTGATCACCATGAAATATGCTGATCCCATTGTGCTCTTAAAAATCAAGCACAGGTTGGATAAAAAAGGGGCCCAACATAAGAAATCTGGTTTTAGCTCCATGTGCTCCTAATCTGCCCTTGGACAAAGTGTTGGGACTTTGCCTTAGCAGAGGTAATTGGATTCAGCAGAAATAACCCCACATCCTGTTTCCTAAAGCCGCACCAGCTCCAGAGATGATCCTCCAATAGTGATGAGCCGTTATCAGCCGGGACTGAAATATGTGTTTGACTGTGATGACACAATAAAAGTGATGAACGTCTCGCTGTGGCATTGTTTAAAGGAATTTAACAGCTCCTGATAAGGTCAGTTGTAAAATCCAGAAGTCAGGCATTTACTCAGGCATGAACCTGGCTGAGAGAGTGGGCTCTGCTCAGCTTCTTGTTGGATTCAGAAGCCTAAAAATCAGATTGTCCTTGATTCTCTGGCACTTTAAAGCTTTAGAAAGCTTGTGAATACACCAGGATTTAAAGTTATGTGTCGCAATCAGTCTCTTTAACCTAACGGCTTTGCGAGATGGGTTTTCATTGTTTTGTAACTCCATAATCTTTTTTGTGCTTTTGGCAGTGTGAAGAACAAACAGCACTCTAGCTTAATCTTAACAACAGTTTATTATCATTCCATGTGACAGAACCAACAATCAATAGTGTTTACCTTATGTTACAGTACATGCCACCTCCATTTATGCACATATAAAAAAATAGAAATCATTTGGTTTTAGAAATTGAAATTCAACACCAAAATTGTCCAGCTCAGTCTGAAGGTACTAAAAGGTCACTTTATAGCATCTTTTATTTATATTTGTGTGTGTGTGTGTGTGAGAGAGAGATGGAGCAGCACTACAGCTGTTAGCACAAAACCTAATGTGATTCACAACCCTTATTAATGGAAAAGCAGTTAGTATCTACTAAAATCCTAAGAGTGCCGTTTAAAAACACAAATTAAATCCATTGTGCAGTCAAATACTGACATCCCTCAATGTGGGCTGAGTAAAATAAAGTGAAAAAACACACACACAAACCCAGCGATGATGATTGTGTTACAATGGAGTCTGAAATGATTGTAACCGTGGTATAAAGTGCAACGCAATAAAACATGAGAATGAACAATGAAAACTCTCATTTCTACATGATCGGTTCTGATCCCCCCCCCAAAAAACAAAACAAAACAAAACAAAAAACAAAGCATCTTCTCATTGTCAGGAGGAAGCACTGGAAGAATGGCTGAGGCTCACTGTCAGTTCTGTAGTGATTATTTTCGGTTCTGAGGTCAACAGTCCTGACTTCTACTATCTGAAACGTGAAAGTTAAGCAGAGCTGAGTTGAACTAGTGGGACGCCAGGAGGACGACGGCCAAAAGTAAAGCCTTCGCCTTCACATGCAGAGCCTTCACAGAGCAGCTGAGGTAAGGGATGCAGAAACAGACTGAAACTTACTCCCTAACTTTAGGAGAATCCGCTTGTCATGCTTTCACACGTCCAGTGAGAGATCTATTTAAGACTGCAAGCTGTCATTTATCTACCTATTTTTCTCTGTATTAATCAGATGAGATGTTTTGGCTCTGGAGGTGCCGGTTGGTGCTGCTCATGCTCAGTGCATGCGGGTCCAAAAGCACAGCATTTTTAAGATGCAGCACCTCTATCAGGGCTGCCAGTAAAGCCATGACAGAAAGGTCCACAGCTGCCTGAGAGGGCTTAGTTTGCCAAGCAGAGCGTCAACACGCCAAAATAAGAATGGACACAGGTAACAACCTGAGCAGGATTCCAAAAGCCCTCACTGATTCTTCGAGAAGGCCGCTTTCTGGTGAGTTCACCTAGACCTCGGTCCTTTTGCTTTTTTTCAAAGAGCTTTCTGACCTTTCACTCTACTTGCTGAGGACTTGGTTGAGACTCTGTCCCGCCTCCTTTCTGGCGCTGTGTGGCTGACTCGCCCGCCCGGCCTGTCTGCACTCTGAGCCTGAAATAAACATCTGCACATCAGACCTACAATAGGTTCTGTGTTTTTTACTGATGAATTACCAGTTGATTTGAAATCTGAGAGCAAAGTCCAGCATTCTATCAGACCTCACAGGAGGGTCTGTCCAAAAGCAAATTAGTTTCCTCCTTTGCTTTTTTTCTTGAATTTTATCTCCCTCAACAAACATATTCTTAAACAGCAAAATAAAATACAGGACTAAAAAAAGACATCCTCCAGCACGGTGTCCTGCCTAACCACTGACTTTGAGGAGAGTCGGCAGTGGGAGCAGGACCAACTCATCACCAGCTCTGTAAGTATGAAATGACACTCAACCTAAGTAGCTTTTTTCACATTTCAAGCAAAGCACAATCTGAGGTAACAGCTACGCTCTACTTACCTGACTTCAACCTAAAACTTTGTAAAATGTACACTGAATCAAAAAAGGGGGAATGGGTGCGTATTTGACAGGAGGAAGAGCCAGCTGTCCGTTTTGCAGGTTGCTTAGAACCTCATGCAGGTTTTTATTTACTGTTTTTGCCTCCTTGCCAATGGCTGTTAGAGGGGTTTGCGGATAAGAAGGAGTAAACAGCGGTCAGAAGTCTGTGTGCTGTTTGAAGTTGACAGCCAGGCAGAGAGGAGGAGAAAAGGTTTCCCTAGAGAAGCTACAGCCAGTGATCCAGCTCAGGGCCAGCTCTACGAGGAGCTGCTGAGGGAGGAGGTGCTCGTGCTCCTGCCCGCTTTACGCTCGTAGTTTACAAGTCGCTGTCCCACCAGGTATCTGGGGAGGAGAAAACACATCCTTATCATTCATTCTTCTCTTATGGATGACCTGGATGTTTGTCCCACTGCAGCGAGACGACAAAAGGCCTGAAGCAATGCATCAAAATAATCAGCCTTTTTTATTCTAACGCAGTTTTAAGCCTACTCACTTGTCATTTTTGATGTGTTCATAGAGGCGTTTGAACTGGCGAATCTGAAAGGACAGTATGGCCAATATTATGACCACCATCAGCAGGAAGGGGTAGATCCTCCTATCCACCAAGGTCTGCATCTCTGGGGTCACGCCTGCAAGCAGAGAGGAAGTCAGGTCTGGGCAACATGGCAGAGATCTCTAAGGCGAGTAAAACATGATCCACTGTAGACACGGGAGACTGTACAGGAAAATCTGCCAGCAGACCATCACATGTTATTGAGATACACCTAAACACTTTACTGAGATGTGGATAGCATCATTCAAACAGCAATTACAAGCCCTGAGGAGACATCAAAGCCAAACAAGCTGAACCCAAATCAGCCACAGCTCAAATGAGTTCAGAACAAGCCCAGCTTCACCATGGGTAAACTCCTCTGGGATTTCATTATTTCACTCCAAACATGTTGTTTCTATGGATCTACTATATGGGCACTAAAACTAGCTGTTTTCACACTGATTTGTTTCATATGAAGTTATTCCTAACAGATAAAAGAACAACTCTTCAGGATACGGAGAAAAAGCCACGTTTCTTTGATCATTTTCTTACTGGGATGCACAGCTGAAATGGCACAAACAAAAGCAAGTGCTTTTTGAGCTGCTCAGTGATTGGATATGTCACATGTATTAAAGTGGAAAACAGAGCTATTATTCCTCATTAGGACATCTTTGACATGATTCATAAAAGCCGAGCAGAGTGCAGAGAGCAGATGCAGCTGGGAGGAAACAAAGGAGAAAATCAGTTCTTTTCTTTCTGAACTGGTTTCAAAAGCGATGCCTGTTGGGGGGGTCGGCAGGTACCTGAGCCATTCAGAGAGACTCACCCAGCACTGGCGTGACGCCTTTAGAGATGGTGTAGGGCACGCAGAGAGACAGCAGCAGGACGCAGATGACGGGGGCGGCCAGCCTGCGCACGATGAAATACAGGTCGATGTTTCTAATGCCGTTGGCATACACCTGCAGAGAGAGACAGCCACTCCTGCTTCAACTCCAGATAAAGTCCACATGCATCTTTAGCTTCCAGAAAATACAGATGTGTCCAGGTTTGAGCATCTTTGAGAGGATTGAAGCACTGACCTGCTCTATGACTGTTTTGAGCCACCACTGAGGCCCCATCAGTGTTATGGCAGCAATGATCTTAGCATGAAGGACGCCCAAAGCCCAGTCCTGCAACACAGAGAGAGGCAGAATAACCATCCAGACTCTGTATCCCACCGCATCAAGTCAGCTCTGACACGATACCAATGGGGTCATTAACACTTTCCCATTTAGCAAAGCAGTTTTTATTTCTGGATTTTTCTCGTCCCATTACCTGTCACTCTCACTTATACTCCTACCTGCCAGGGGTAGAACAGGGGTGTCTGGTCCAGTGGAACTCTAAGAGGGGCGACGATGACCAGCTCAAACAGCAGGCCCAGCAGCAGAGGAATCACCCCCGCCAACATCACAGCCACCAGGATGGTCTTCAGAATCTGCTCACAACCACACCAACCGAAGAGATACACGTTCAAATACATGTCTAAGATGCCATTAGCTGGGCTCACGACGGGGACACTTTACCATGAGCGTCCACTCGTGGACTTTGAGGATGATGATGTTCCGGCCCTGTGGCATCCAGGACAGCAGCACGGTGGCCGCTCGTATGGCCAGCCAGCAGACGTACAGGCCGCTGGCTGCTGTGTACAGCTCGTGCACCATCGCACTGCCCATCCACAGAGACATGAGCCAGCGACCCACACTCACTGGCCCACAGGAGGAGAGCAAAAAGGAGAAGTTAGAGGCAGGGGTACACGGATGGTGTCCTGAGAAATGGGATGTGCAGGCCGACTGGGCGTAGGCTGTCTTACCCGGCAGTGTGAGACATATCAGACTTGCTAGTAAAAGAGTCACACACATGAAGACGACAAGCAGGACGATCTACACAAAAGACAAAACAAAACTGATTTAATATAAGCACAATTGTCTTTAACACCATCAACTGATCAAATAGGAGCACCTTGAGGGAGAAGTTGGCAGGCCGGATATACGGCTGGAAACCCACAGGCCCCCCCTGCTGCAGGATGGCCTGATGGGCAGCGTGGAGCCCCTCCCCCATGCCCGGGAGGCGGTTGTTGTTATGGCGCCCTGGAGGGTTATTCGGTTGGTTTTCGTCGTCTTCGTGGTCCCCCAGCAGGTATGAGTGGAGGTCGCTGAAGAGGAGAAACGTTTCCTTTGACTGTTTTGCAGTAACCGCAGCAGATTTTCGTGATCTCCAGAGCTTTTTCACAGTCGGGCTGACGCTACAACTGCACTGAGCTGGGTCTGCACATTTTAAAAGCTCCAGATTCCACCTGCCCATACAGAAAATTGCAACATGTGTGTGTGAGTGAGGCCTACAGCACATATCCAGCGGTGAAGGTCCAGGCGTGGACCAGGCGCTTGAGCCACTGGCGCGTGTGTCCCTGCTCCAACAACGCCGGCAGCACCACCTGAAGCAGGAGCAGCTCCAGGGACAGCTCGCTGACGGGGGCATCGCTGTAACACACCCCAGACAAGACGCAGATCACTCCAAGAGACAAAGCTGCAGGCAGCAGCTTTGTTTGTCCCTAAGCATCCTCTCATCCTCTATGAAAACTGAGAAGGGGGTTCTGCGCACCTATACAGCATGACGTTGTAAGGGAGGAAGGTTGGGAAGAACAGCTTAATGATTCGGATTGGAAGCCAAAGCATCAGCAGAACTATGGAGCCAAACACCACCTGGAAATACACACATCAAGCACGATCAAAACAATGGCACACGTAACACAAAATCAGAAATTATTTTATTATTAGGTACACTGACATGAGCCAAAAAGAAAGATTGATGGAATAGATTCAAATTTAGCTGAACTCAAGTTTACGAGTCACCAGAGAAACCAAAGCACAAGGTCAGATCTGAGGGAGAACTGGAGTCATTCCTTAAGAGATTGTTAATTCTACTGTTCAGGTTAGTTTTCTTTAAAATATTGGCTTTAATAATATACAAACTGTATTTTGTTTCAAGAAAAATCTGCATCTTTCTCCTGTAGACATTTTGTAGCTAGCAGGACAGCCGAGAGAGATTTGGGGCGTCACAGAGCAGAATGTCATGTGACTGACCACTGAGAGTATAAACCTCCTGAGGTGTCTGTAGATGGGAAGGTGGATCATCTCCTGCACAGGGTTGAAGTCCGGATCATTCAGATTCCTCAAAAACCACAGAACACCAGGGCGCAGAACCTGTGACACAAACACAGCATCGTCAAAAAACCACTGGAGATTCTCTCTTTCATCCTGATCGACATCACAGTTTGTGGCTGGGACTCCACCCTCACCTCTCTGAGTAAAAGAATGAAGGAAGCGAAGTAGAAGACGTAAACCATCCCAACCAGCCAGTGGAGGAACATGGTGGTGCCGGGGGCGGAGTCAAAGCTCTGCTCTCTGTCCTTCAGAGTGGCATCAAACATTTCCTGCAACCAATCAAAAGCTCTCTCAGTTCAATACACACTGACAAATATAGTTCGTGTTTTGTTGGTGCAGCATCATCACAGTGTATCATTAGTTTGCTACGTCAGGCAGAGCCAGCATGTGGCTGAACAACAGCATCAAATGTGGCCACTCAGCATGTTTGTCTTACCAGAGAACAAATGTCGAGCCACCAACCACAGATAAGCGGGAACAAGCCTATCTCCATGACAACCAGCAATGACACCTGGGACATAGAAATTGTTTGTTTTATTACAACTACTTAAGTTTCTGTTTTTATGTAAATTGGATGTTTTTCTAGTTGGAAAACCGTCCTCCAGAGTGGAGACATCGGTGTACCTTGACAACAATGTAGCAGACTCCCAGAAGGCGCCTGGAGCGCTGGAACCGCACCAAAGAAGCCAAAGCCTGCAGCGGCACAGGTTAAGGACTCACACATTCTATGACATACCATGTACAAACATTATCTGGATCATTTGTACTTCTGATGGTCACATTCTGGAAGCTCAAACCATTCTGGAAAACAACCGATCTGACACCGGTGTGTACAGCAGGCCTGTTATTTGGAATGATGCTGAGGATACATGGCAGACAATGAGGGCCCCAGCCAGGAGGATGTAACCCAGTATCGTGGTGATGAGGCCGTCAAAATGGGATGCTTTAATCTGCAACAAACCATGACAAACAGGATTGAAAACATCACTGTGCTACTCGTTAGAAGTGGTGGTTTCTCTTTCTGCATCACTTACATAGTCTTCAAAGCCCAGTCCAACTACTGAGAAATGGCCAATGTGATATGGGCAAAATGCTGGAGGGACACAAGCACAGTAGGTCAGAGCTGCTGAGGTCGGGCTTCATACTGTACACAGACTCTCTCGTCCGGCTAAAATACCAGAAAGACTTTGCAACGTGATAAAAAAGAACAAGGGAAGAAGTTTCTTGAGGGAAGTGAGGGGGTGGGACTTACCAAATACCAGGATGAAGAGAGTGTTGAGAGACACCACCCAGAAAACATGCTCCTGAAGAACACACACCATTCGTTTTCATTCACCTTGCAGTGCTGTTGCATGAAAATGTGTGTAGAAAAATCTGTTTTTTCCTATTTGAACTAAAACTAACCATGAAAGCGGTCAACACAACTGAATACAGAGCTTTCTGAGTGCACACTCACCAGGAAAACTAAGGAACCATCCAGCCCCAGCATCTAAAACACATTGAGCACAGAAGTAATCGTTGCTACTTATGACACATTCCCTAATGAAGTAATACAAGCCTTCAGGACAAGTTCTAATATTACAAAGAAAACTGAGGGCTGTGTAGGCACACTAAACCACGAGAAAGACCATTTCTGTAATAATGGCTTTACATATGTGTCCTCTTACTCCATTTACAATCTTTTTTTTTTCTCCAATAGCCACAGTGCACCACTTAATGCAGTAGACGGAGAATAAAAAATGTTCTCACTCTTTCCCAGGTCAGCTCTTCTGCAGCTCTGTCCCACTCCAGCGCGTTCCAGTTCAAATCCTCTGAAAAAGGAACACCCACATAGGAAAAGGCAGGAATAACAACTAGCTGGTAGGAGGTTTTGGGTACACAGAGTAAAAAACAGGCTTAAGTAAACCTCTCTCAGCATGAAATTTCAAAACCTTTAAGAAAGAATTATGCAACATATAATTACACGCAAAGTGCTTGTTTTATAAAATTACAACAAATTATTATTCAAGTGAACATTCAGAAACTGCTGTTAGAAATCGGAGCTAAAACAAAGACCTAAGACATAAGTACCTTGAAAACAGCATTACTGTTTTGTTTTTTATAAGCGCTGACCTTGTCCTCCATTATTGGCATCAGCAGCATCTTCCTCTCTTCCCTCCTCCTCCTCTTCCTCCTCCTCATCCTCTTCGTCATCTTCCCCATCATCATCTCCTTCATCCTCATCCTCCTGTTCAGCTGGGTCGTTGCCGGCGTCTGGCGGGGCGGCCGGCGCCTGCTCGTCAGGACCCGGCCCTGCCTGCTGCTGGCCCGCAGCCTCCTGACCATTGACTGGACCGTTACCTTCTGGGTCCTGAGGGACAAAAAGTGAAAATGTCACCATACACAGAGACATAAACTCCAAATTATCCATCCATCCATCCATTATCGTAACCGCTTATTCCCTAATGGGGTCGTGAGGAAAACTGGAGCCTATCCCAGTAGCCAATGGGCAAGAGGACGTTCACCCTGGACGGTCCCCAGTCCAATAAGCGGTAACAATAACGGATGGATGGATGTTCAAAGGCAAAGTGGAAATGAAAACTTTTCTTCCAGCTCTGATGCTGGTGGAGCATAAAGGTAAATCACCTCATGAGCCTGTGCGGGGCCGTTGGGCGGGTTGGGAACCAGGGGAGGGGGGTTCTGCTCCAGCCACTGAGGGGCGCCGCCGTGCACGATCTGCTCTCTGAGCCACACCAGACTGATGAAGGCACACAGCGTGCATGTGACCACAAAGCAGCCCTGAAGGCAGTCAGCGAGCAGGTTCTGCCTACAGGGGAGACAGTTTCCTCCTTTACATCAAGATGCTTACAGTCAGTACAAATGATTCTACAAGAATCTGAGCAGAGGAGGTCACAGGATGGAAAGAAGGGACTGCTGGGGTTTTTGTGAAAAAACTCAATTCGTTATCACCTCTGCAGAATTTAAAAAATTGGTTGAGGATGAAATGTACACATAAGAGAAGAAAAACAAGAGCAGTGACTCACGTTGAAAGCATATCTAATGGCAGAGTAAGAAGAGAGCTCACAGAGCCGGTAAACAAGCACTTGTAGATGCGACCTGTGAGAAACAAACAAAATAATGGCAATAATATTAATAAACATCTTAAACTGTCAGCTAGTGAAAAACTAAAACTCTTGTTTCTCACTCTTAAAAGGTAATGAATTTCATTGTGAACTGAAACATCTATTTGTCTTAAAAATAAAAAAACAATAGACCTAAAAAAATATTTAGAGGGCTGCAGCCGTAGCCTAATGGCTAGAGCGGGCGGCCCATATACAGAGCCTTTGCTCGCAAGCGGGTGGCCTGGGTTCGAATCCAGCCCATGGCCCTTTCCCGCAGGTCTCCCCCTCTCTATCTCTACCCCCTTTCCTGTCAAGCTACTGTCATTAAAGGCCACTAGAGCCAAAAGAAATAAAATAAAAAATAATATTTAGACAAAAATTTACTGGTTGAGGCAAATCAAGGATTCCAGCAGTTTGCTCCCCCTAAACAAGGCCAATTCCCTGTGTTTTCAAACTAAATTACAGCGTCCCAGTGCTCCAACTATAATTCATGGTCTAAAACAGAATGTATCTTCCCAAATTTAGCTGGAGACATTACAAAGAAGCATCATGTTTAAGTACAACGTCAGTAAATGTCTGTAAGGGGGGCATTAACAATGAGCAAAAACAAGAAAAAAATATGAGCAAATCTCAGTTTCTCAATTTTGTACAGCCTGAAGTCACCAAGAGAACCAAGAAAGTAAACAGCATCTTCATGAACAGAAAAAATAAATACAGTCTGCTAGGTTGTGGCTTACATGCTGTGAGAGGCACTACACCTAGCCAGGCAAAGGCCACCAGTGTGTAGTGGAACCAGTATCTTATAGCTGTTCCGATACTGGTGACCAGACCTGCAAAGATATCCTGGACAGGAAGGCGAGATGGCATGTCCGGAGAGTATACTGCACACAAGGATTGTATGGGTGAGAAAACAGACAACGGTCATTTAGAGGCGCTTGACCGAGACATTAAATCTCCTCCCTGAGAAAAACAAGCTACTTACTTGGAGTAAATGCAAACCTGTGTTTGCATAGTTCACAGTATTCTTTTCGACTGTGTTTTAGCCACTGCAGTAAGCTGTAAAAACAAAAGCACATGCTGTTATTTGCAGCTGGTCTGCCCTTAAACAGTATCTCTGACAGGCCTTGACCTTTAGTGACATGAACCAGAGCCAAGTCAGGACACTTTGGCCCCCTTCACACCAACATTTGAGTCTCTACGCACCACTCCTGGTGGATGAACTTGATGCTGCCCGTGCACACACAGGGGTGGTAGAGAGGCTTGTCCTGGGTCCCCTCTGACCGGCACACCCGGCAGATGTCCCCTGAAGAGAGAGAAGACAAAACCCGCAAGCTGACATGGTCCCTGGGTCATTTAACTGATGTTCCACAGAAATACAAGGTCTTACACATTTGACACAAAGTGTAAGCAGAAGACTTTATTGAAATGTTTTGGACCAGAGCTGGCCCGGTGTCCAATCCCGGGATTACCCGTGCCGCTCACTGACCAAAATAACCCGGCTATAATTAGCCCGCGTGGGCAGCATTCAGGATATCCCTGGTATTTCCTCACTGAACGTCTTCAAAATGTACTGCCAGTCGTACCAATAAGAACTGAGCATGGATAAAGAAATAGTGCTCGGTCTCAGAAAAAAAAAAGAGTTTAAAATACTTTCTGAGGTTACATAAAAAACAGTAAAAGAGAAGAGAAAAGACAAATTTCAAACGACTCGCATATTATTTCATGACAAATGACCGTCCACATGCTAAAGGAGGCTTAAGCCGCTCAGCTGTGTATAACTAGCTTGTTACTGTATGTGATGTGATAACGGTTACGTTCGATAAAATTAATCAACGTTATCTTCTGAAATTACAATTGACGTGCATCTGACATGGCCAACTGTTTAGTCTTTTACTGCCCTGACACTGCAGCATTCAAAATATGTTTTGCTCGCTGTAAAAAAACCCGACACCTATTACGGTTTCATGCACAGCTCTTAGGTAACGGGTGTTAGCTAATAACCGTTAGCCGGGTGGCTAAGGCCAATCTGTCAGCGGTTTCTGGTCAATATCATCGTTTCTGCGTCGTTTGCCTCCGAATATAGATTAATGTGCCATGGACTGTGACTCATAATGTGTCATTATAAGTGGCAGAATAAATAAACGCCAAACTATAAGGTAATAAAGTTTCCACATGAGCTACCTTCCTCTCCGGGGTCCATCTTGACTGGCTGCTCAAGGCAACTCTGCACAAAGCAGTCGTCCGGTTAGACGGTCCGTACAAAAGCAGTGACCGCTCGCTATCTCAACCTAATCATTTCAAGTTTGTGTTCTGTTGACGCCGCCACAGAATTCTGTCGGTAGCGCACGTTTCGGGATGGGAAAGAGCTTATTTCAGGCAACAGTTCATTAGCTAGCGGTCAGGACATGCTCACAGCGTCAACATGTGATTCTGCTGCGTCCCACCGCTAGATGGCAGCCAAGAGCAACGACACGGCTGGATGATAGAATATATTCTTTTAATTAGAAATTCATAAGTTAAAAAAGACAGCACAGTGTATTTTTATGATTCAAAAGCACACACAAAGCTTTCTTTCAGACGGGGCCATTACAGTCTTAACACAATCATGTTTAAAGTTACCTTCATGCACACATCTGTACTCTGTTGTTGAGCTTTAGATGGAAAAATAGCCACCCTTTATTGCTTTTATTTTCAGTTTTATAGCAAAACAGAGCATGGATCAATCCATCTTAAAGCCTTACAAAGGTTGTACACTTAAGGGAGAAAAAGACCACAGTCAGGGCTTTTTGATCTCATGTGTGCGGCTCTGTTGTGTCCCGTTCTTCTGGGGCTGTTTTTCCTGTGGGTCCGCGCTGCAGGTTGGAGTTAAATGTTCTGGCATCATACACCCACACAGTATCTATGCCTTCCCCTGCTGTATTTTCGGGGACCCATGTTGGAAAGGGGAAGCGGCAGGCCACCACTTTGGCTGTGCTCGGCAGCTCACTCGCAAGTTTGTGTTCCAGCTGGTCCATCTGCAGAAACAGAGAGCAAACATCAGGGTAGGGAAGATGGGAATAGTCTGGCATATGCGTCATATTCCAGGAAAGTACGAAGAATGTTTCTCTATTTGGGGCAAACAGCAGAACTCACCATCTGAGGAACTCCAAAAATGACAACATTGGAGTACTGAGCAAAACTGACCTGGAGTAGGAAAGATTGGGAGGGACAAAATTCTTTGTTAAGACTAACTGTCAACTTCATCCAGGTAACACAGGCACATTATGGCATCGATGAGGACTCACTGACCTTCCACAAGTCACAGATATGGAAAGAAGTGGAGCGGTGGACCCCCTCTCTCCAGGCCCTGTAGCGGGAATAGCACACCAGCCAGGGGTTGAGCTCCAACCCGGAGGCCTGGAATCCCTGTTTAGCTGCAGCAATCACCTGCAAAACGTCAAAGGATGCCCTCCAGTTGTTGCATGGCTTTGTTGCATGGTTTTGTAAAGAGTTTGGCAAATGAATATCTCTTGACATTGTGAAGCAGATCCAGATAACCTTCCTGAGGACATTTTGGCTTACACATGACAAGTATGATGGAAAAACTAAATCAAAGCAAAACATGGGCTTGAGTTTACTAGTGCAGGTGAAGATGGGTGTCCTCAACACTTACTATTCTTCCGTCTCCGCTTCCGATGTCCACCAGTGTCCCTGAACGCCTCCGCAGCACAGTGAGGACGTTGTCCACCTGAGCCGTGGTCGCCGGGACGAACGGGAGGCAGAACTTCCTCAAGGCGGGGGCCACAAACGGGGCGGCCACGGCGTACAGTGCGACCAGAGTACCCCCAACAACCCCGGTGACGACGAGGCCGAGCCGGCTCCTGGCTCCTTTCTCCTTAACTCCTCCATTAGGCTGTACCGAGTCTGCAAAAATGTCCTCCTGCGGCATGATGCTAACTTTTCGGAGCTATCAGCGGAAGCTAACGCTAGCTGAGCTTCATATTAACCCATGACCCAAGTACGGTTAAGCCGCAAATATCAAACCAGGGTTGTCACGAAAACATCACTGATTAAAACAATACAAAAACCAACTAAGATGGCCCTGACACAAACATTAAATCGTACATGTAATAAACATGGCTTAAATTGCAAAGTGCTGTCTTAATACCGACCTGTGCAACACTGAGATCCTCCGGGTTCATCACAACAACAGGTTTCAAAAGTTCCGCCTGAGGCAGATATCCGATATGGCATGTTCATGAGATTGTGCAGCAAAGATATAATACAAAGTGACAATATCATGTTGAAATTCATAGTATTTAATCAAATAAATAAACAAATCAGACACAAGATGGTATGAGTCAAAGATGGTAAGTGAAGTCTAACATAACACATTTATCCTAGCTTTGGCAGTCCAGTAATGCCCCAAATCAAGGAAGCAGCAATCATTATAACCATTCATTCACAAAGGGATCACAAATATGATTAATCGTTAAACAATATGTATAGTTTTAACCACAGTGGAAAGGTCAGAAACAAAAGAGGCCAAAAGGGAACGGTGGTTCTAAGCAGATGTTATAGGTTTACATTTCTAACTTTGATCTATTCCTGTGACACATCACATTCTTGCATTTCCCCTGTGAGATATAGATTTGTAATTCTTTGGTTAGGGGGGATTTCAGATAAAACCACAGGTGCATGTTTATTTCACAAGATTCAGTACATTCTGCTCATTTAATGCAGAATCTGGATTTCCCCTGAACATACTATCACAAGTCTAATTAATCAGCATTGTAATTTTAAAGATAAGATTTGTTTTAGGCTACATAAGGAAAAATAAACAGACCATGACCTAAACTTTCCTATCCTATCCTATTTTCCAATCCACTCTTTGCTCATTCCTCCAATTAGTGTAATTGTGTTTCAATGCTGATTTCTCTTTTTAAGATGTCCCTCTGCGGTGAGTCAAAAGTCATTAGATAGTGTACGATGGACAGTGTGGCCCAGCCCTGATGCACCATGGGGGATCTGATGGTGGTGCATGTGGTGCATGTTGTTACTCGGACCGACATCCATCATCAAGTCGTCCTCCTCGTCCTCTGGCCTGTAGCCTTCGGCCCCATCCTGGGAGTAGCTGTGCTTCATCACCAGGATGCTGCGTCGGCCTGCCGGTGTGTTGTGGTGGGACAGGTGTGGCGACATCTGACCCACCATCGCCGGGGAAACCAGAGCCCCCCCGTCCGGCGCGATGGTGGCGTCCCTCATGCTGAGGTTGCTGCGGCTCCCGTGGATGCTGCCGTGCATGCTGCCGTGCACGCTTCCCTGATGGGAGCCGCAGTGGTGGTCCCGGATGCACTTGCTTTCGGAGCGCCTGAGTTTGTGAAAGTCCTCGGCCAGGGCGGCCTCAGTCAGCTCCCCGGAGGGAGCCCGGCGAAGCGTGCAGAGCTCATAGTGAGGCGGATCGAAGCCGGGATGGAGGTCCGCAGGGTCAAACTCATCTCTGTGGGAGAGATTTAAGGTCGTGTTTTACTTGAACCTTTGTTCTATCCGTCACATTGATGTCAGTTTCTACTGATTACAAGCTCAAATGTTTTACCAGCTCATTTAGATTTCTTGTGAGCCCTTTACTGCATCAGAAAGGCTAATGGCTGTTTTCTGTTTTGCATTACGCAACAGATTTATCAGAAAATTTTTATTGTGTTCTTCAGAAAATAAGGTTGTGAAAGGGAAAGTTGAGAAATTTTTCATTGTTCAGCCTTGAAAATGCTAAAATAAAAAGCTGGAGAAAACATACGTACAGTTAAAATATCAATTCAATTGAAGCTTCTGCAGGCTCACAGTTCATTTTTCTGTCTTTGCTGGTCACACAGAATTTTCCGGTGACATATTAATCATTATAGTGAATTAGAAATCTCTCACCTGCGAACAATGTATTTCTTGCGTGGCTGTTTGATCTGAATGATGATAGAAATGACGAGCAGGACGACAACCAGGCCGCAGGTTACTCCAATGATAGTGAGGTTTGTGTGGTCCAGCGTGTCCAGGATACTGGCCTTTCTCTTCTCTGCTCAAACATGCAGCACATAAGAAAGAAGAAGAGTCCAGTGATGTGCTGGGAATGCCAGACATAGCCGCTGGCCACAGTGGCTGGTCAGATATTCGTACCTTTGCAGCGATTCTCGTCCCATGGGTAAACACAGTTCTGGATCCCGTTGCAGACCAGGCTGTTGTTGATGCACATGTTGCTGTGGCAAAAAAACGTGTCTCTTTCGCACGGAGCTGGAAAGCAAAAGGTAGACGACCGTTCTAACTTAGTGTTGTCACTTTGGTTGGGAGTTTAATCTGTAATACAACATCTCAGACACACAGTGACTGGAAGACACAGTTGTTGGTTTTTTTTTGGGGGGGGGGTGTTTCTTTTTTGGCAACATGCTAGCAAAAGACATAATAAATAATAATAAAAACTGCATATAAGTGATAGACAGGGATTGTGATGCACTGACTTGTCATTCCCTGCCCTTGTTGAAGGCGTAGGAGCTGGAGAGTGATTCCAAAGAAGCCAATTGGAATTTCTTTAGGGATTTTTATTTGGTGACATTTTTTTTTCTTTTAAAAATTCCAGCAGCCCACTAATCAGAAAAACTGTCTGTACTGGAGTTAATGACTCGTGGGAAAAATTAATGATGTATTATTTGATGAGAGAACATCACTTTTTTTTACTTTTTACGGGAGTCTGGAGTTGGAGCCATGATGTTTTCTCATACTAAAACACCTCCCCGGCAGCTGTATATCTGAATGCAGATGTCTCCATCCATCTGTTTATACAGCCAGTTTACAGCAAAAAGAAACATCGGAAATGGGAAATTATGCAATTCTTTTTTTGCAATGGCAATGTGGTTTGTGTCTGTGTTTTCAAATATTAAAACAGCTCTTTTCATGTTAAACATGTGCTCTGAGGGTTATTTAGCTCCTCTGCACAGAGGACCATCAAAGTTCTGAGTCATCTAATTCTGAGAAATGTGTTAAGGAGAAAAAGAATCGTTTGTTTTGTTTGACGCAAAAAATATTCCTGCACTCACGTTCATGGAAAGTTGTGAACAGGATCTTGAATCTGCTTTTCCGGCTTCCCTCGTCCGCCCACAGCCTGACCACGCCCAGAGAGGTGACCAGCATCACGTCGATGGCCACCGTGGAACAGAACTTATTCTTCAGGTGCTCCACCGAGCTGCTGCCATCATAGATACCCACAAAGTTGCGCTTGCACTCGTTTGAATTGTGCATTTCATATTCCAGGAAACGCATGTAGATCTGTGGGGGGTCAGGGTGAGTAGAGCAGAGAAGAGGGGCGGTGACCTGACAGCATTTTAATGGCAATCACACCTTCTGAGTACCTTCAAGATTCAAGAAACCCAAAAACAACTGTTAGGATTTTTATTTGAAGTTTACCAATAGGTAGGCTCAGACTACACACAGAGATAATATGAGACTAAACAACTTAATATCTGGAAACATTTATGCTGGTAATAACAGGCATTTCAAACACTGCTGGTAGATTTTGTTGTTAGCAAGCGGTTGTTTTTGTCCATAAATGCCTATACATCATTGTATGTGAAGTGAATTAGTTAAAGACTGTGCACACCTTAGCTCTGGGTGGCGCCCTGATGTACCACCTGCAGTCCACTGCATCGGTTAGCTGCGCACGTCCTTCTCTGGCTATCTGCGCCGATTCCACATAACCCTCTGGACCGGTCAGCTCAAAGTCACAAACTGTGGAGGGCAACAATTTGACAGGTTGAATTTAACAATGACTCGTGTATAAGAATAATATGCGATCTCAGTGATCTGATCTCAACAAGAAAGAGACAAATATTTGGCTTCAAATTCAGATTCCCTTTATTAATGCTATAAAAGACATACAAATACTTTCTTTGTTTAAAGATTTGTCTTAAGATTTTGTATCCGTCACATTTTGCCATTTGTAGCTTCTCATCTTAAAATGTTTGGTCATGAAAATGAATACTCACATGGCAGAGCAGGCAGCTCTCCAAGTTCTGTAAACTCAGGATCTGAGAGACAAATGTGCACCACATTAGATCATGTGAAAATTCTTATTAATCATTCTTTTATTGACCATTGTGCTCAGGAAAAGGTAAAAATATTTTTAATGCATCATTTAGGCACCCCATAATTTATAGATTTTAGAAAAACGTTCAGCATCAGCCACTTGAGGTAACTGTATTTATTGGTGATGTTTTCAGTCTCACGTTGATATTCAGGAGTTTTGTCCCATTCTTCTTTGTAACATTGCTTCAAATAGTTCAGCGCCTAAAGACTTATTTCAAAACACAGCTCTCTCTCACAGTATTCTGATTGCACACTTTTACTGAGTCGCCCTCTTTGCTCACTTTTACGCGGCACCTTGTTTCTTTTTCGTTCTCTATAGGTTAACAGAGGTTTTCATGTTGGCTGAATAACAGCAACATAACAGAGGTTTGTGCTGACATGCTGAATTTTTGGCAAATACAGTGCTGTGCATTTTGGCCAAACAACCCCACAACAGGACCCTGATCCATACGGGTTGTGTTTCGTTCAGCTGCCTTTTCAGAAATCTAGGCTACCATGTTGTTTTCGGAGAGGAGAAGTCCACTTCAGCCAATCTGAGAAGCTTTATATGTGAATGATCTTTCCCTCTAGAATCATCAGCTCCAAACAGCAACAGCCATTTAGCTAAAATAATTTCTTGTGTCTGCTTCCTGGATTTTTGAGTTGCATAATGCAGGCAGGCAAAATTACTAAACTTTTCATCTAATTATTTTGAAGAGCGCCACCTAGTTGCTGATTAGGTCTCAATTCCTGTGGAAGAGGTAAGGATGAGTTTAACTGTTCACACACTGCTTACATTTCTATATCTTATCAATATTAGGACACATTTGTCTCAGTCTAAGAACTGGTAAATACTGTATTCTACACATATTCTGACAAAAAAATCAGGGGTTTTGTCTTTACATGAATAATCTTTGACAGAGGACTCCTTGTAAAAAAATCTACTATTCTAGATTTCTGGGTTAAATGCAGAGAATAAAAACACTCAATTCGACGCATATTGAAAAATACAATCTACGGCTGGCTGAAGCTTACATGATCTTTTTCAAGCACATTTCCTCTGTCCTCATTTAAACACCCCTGAACCCGCTGTCCTTCATAAAAAATATATGTCTAGCATCAGAAATGGAAGAAATATTGTGTCCTAAACCTTTGTGCTGATGAATC